GGATGATTCACACCCTGGCCGGCACTTTCTTGATCTCCTGCCCTCGGGCAGAAGATATAGAAGCAGGATTAGTCACACCAACAGGGTAGAGAACAGCTTCTATCCCTGGGCTGTTAGGCTGCTGAATGAAAAGATAACAACAGGGCAACTGACTTTCGGGTTTGGTGGGTGTGCGTCAGTAAACGAGGGGAATTAAGACTAATTGAGCTGAGTGGGGGGTGCTCATGTAACCTCATTGTATACAAGTTGTACAAATGACAATAAAGTATTTCAATTTCAATATGGGATCCACCAGGTCTGAAAACCAGATGGATCACATCACTCTATTTATAACCTTTTACTTCATTGTTTCAGGTGCTCTTTGTATTCTGGTTTTTATCACCAATGGGCTTATTGTTGGTGTGAATGTTACCGACTGGATGAAAGGCAGAAGTCTGATGCCCAGTGATGAAATTCTGGCCAGCCTGGGGCTGTCCAACCTTTGCTTCTGCACCTCACTAATTCTGGACTATTTCATTTCACTCACCTGGAAGGAGTTCTTTAGAAAGTTTTACATGGTGCAAAAAATCACATTCACCCTCGATATTGCCGCAAGCTTTTTGAGCTTCTGGTTCACTGCCTGGCTGAGTGTTTTCTACTGCATGAAGATTGTCAACATCAAGCAGTCGTTTTTGCTGAGGGTGAAACTACAATTTTCTAGCCTTGTGCGTTGGTTCCTCCTTGGTTCTGTGCTGGCTTCCTGTGGAGCAACATTCCTAGTCACCCTGACTTTTAAAACAGTGTCCCAAGCATCCGACAATCTGAACAACCAGACTTTCCTCAGCCTTCCCTCTGACTTTAACTTTACAAACGACTACAAAAAGCAAAAATTGATACTCGTGCATATGACTATGCCTTACAAACTCCTCCCCATTATCCTGGGCTGTTCTGTTCCCCTAGTGATAGTGATTGCCTCTTCTGTCCCAATTCTCAATACTCTTTTCAGGCATGCCAAAAACCTGGAACAAAATGCAACCATTTTCCACAACCCTCGCCTGGAGGTTCATCTCAATGCAGCCAAGTCAGTGCTGTCACTTCTTATAAGCTATACTGCCTTGTTTGTTTGCGAGATAATAATCAGAACGGAAATCTTTCCCAACTGGACTTATCAGTATTTTCTGTGTCTGATCTTTCAACTTGCTACCTTGGTGGCACAAGGTTTCATTCTGGTTGCAAGTAATCCAAAACTGAAGCAATCAGCTGTACAAATTATTTCCTGTGTGCAGCAGTAACCTTAGAAAATCCAAACGCAGTTGCTGAGCTTTTGGGGGGCAATAATCCCCAAAGCTGTTGAGCCTTTTTTGGTTGATCGGAAGTGGTGGATGAGCAGGCTTTTGAAATTGCCATTTAGGAGGCAACAAGGAGGCTGTGTAGCGGGGAACAGATGAGATCCCAGACATTTATTATTATATTTACTATTAGCCCCACCCTGCAGACATTAGCGGAATTTTCTGGTTTATATGGCAACCCAGTGCTGATAGAAAGGCTTGTTTAGGTTTGTAGAAAAATCTGGCTATGGATGACATTGCTTGGGCATTAGGTATAGCATCATCAACACCCTTATTACTTGTGTAAGTTTGCAACTATTTAAAAAAACTTTATTCTTTAGGTAGGAGGAATAAGGAATAATGGATAAACATATGTCTGTCTGTCATGGAAACTGTAAAGCTGGGATGAAAACAGACTCACATCACAGGAAAACAAGCCACTGTTGCTTCACTTTAACTATGCCTGTCTTTATTTATAAAGAGACTTCAATTTCACTAATTACAAACTTGAATGGAAGGGATATATTGGGATGTAATGCTCTTGCTAAAAATTCACATGGCCAACTAGAATTGTTCCAAGATTCAAATCTCAAGGACCTGGTACAGGGTCTCATTTTGAGAGCGATATGGTAAAGCAAACCCATATCTGACTGGTTTTGCAAATAAAACAATGTTACACAAACACCACTGAAAGATAAAAAGTGCATAATACGAGTGCATGGAGTAAGATAAGACTCAAACAACAACAACAAGAAAAGAAATAGTACCCATGTAGAAAACAAAACAGAAAAACAACAATAAATTGTTTTGCAAATATAAAATGTGTTGTCTGCTCGTGACTTTGGACAAATCACTGCTGGCTGCATTGCACATGTGAAAATGACTGAATTGTAATGTGGCACAGGTTTTGGCATGAGATGAACGATCGCAGGTTTCCTCCACCATCGTTTGCTTGAGTTTCAAAGATGCTATTCTGAGTGTGAAAATGGTTATAGGTTTGGAAAATGAATCCCAAGCAGCAAACAGCTCAGCTGTAGTTCCGGAACAAGGTGGTCCCTCAACTAGGCTGACCTAAAGTTATTCTAGGGCTTTTTATATATTACCAAAAAGACTTTCAATCTGCCCCAATAGAATGCTGGTAGGTGTTGAAATGTATGGAGGGCACCAGATTGGAGAAGCCTGGCCATAAACCAGTAAGTCATTTCAAAGCTCTGTGAAACTAACAGTTGGAAATTTAAAGGCGACAGAAACATTGGCATGACAGAAATGTCAAGATGAAAAATTGGTTTATTTGCATCATTTCCATCATTACAAAAGAGATTTAATCAGATTAATATTTTGATACTATGTTCCTCTACCATTTAAAAATAACTAATGAGAGTTTATTAATCAGAAATTGTTTACTCAGTATAATACAAAAGTCAATTTTGGTTTATTGGATAATTAGGAATATCTACAAAGTAGACAGTGATTAGAACATATTGATTGTGTAGGCACTGGCCAGAATAGTAATTGACATGAATTTTAAGAAATGCTTAAGCAGCAAAGATCCATGGAGCAGGAAACAATTTTTTTCAAACACAAAATACCAGGGCAAATGCTTTCAATCAGGTATTTTAGCTATTATTGTCTCATTTAACCTTAGAATGCGATTGGGTTTTCTTAATTAAGCAAATAAATCAGAAATGAAAATGATTCCAATGGCAATTTAAAAATAAATAGATTGCTTCCAATCAAACTGCAAAATAATAATTATAATTTTTAAAATCAAAACCCCATATGCTTTCTATTCCAAATCACCCAAACAATCTGTGTTCAGTTTTCAAAGTCTTTCATTTCAATGCGAATTGAAAGTGTGTATTTAGATCAGGGTTTCCCACACTTGGGTCTCCAGATGTCTTTTTGGACTACAATTCCCATCATCCCTGATCGCTGATCCTGCTAGCTAGGGATAATGGGAACTGTAGTCAAAAAACAGCTGGAGACCAAAAGTGTGGAAAGCCCTGATTTAGATGCATAACTTGCACAAATCAGGATTTCATGTACCTATCTCAATGACGCTTCTTCAACCTCTGGTAAATTACTGCTGGATCCCAAAGACCAGCCTGGAATGCTTACAGTGTTTCTGAAGGTGCTGAGACTTTGACTCTACTGCATCTGAAGTGGGAGAGGGTTCTATAATTGGGGGTTTGCCACCATGAAGAGGGCCAGGGAGTGTGAGATATGGAGTGTGAGCTACTTTGTTTCCTCATCTGATCCAGAAGAAAGAATTTCCAGTGTTCCATCTATCATTCCCTGCCTGCCGGCATGAGATATTTACTGTAGTGTTTTTTCTGCCTCCTTCTGACCCAATTCAACAGGTAGAGAAATCTTCAAATCCCATGCTTCCTTGGAGCCAACGACCATAATTTCCAGTGACTGAGAAGTTGGGAAAGCCTCTCTTATATCTAGCAAACCTGTTTTGTTGGTGGTTAAAAGGTAAAGGGACCCCTGACCATTAGGTCCAGTCGTGGACGACTCTGGGGTTGCGGCACTCATCTTGCTTTATTGGCCGAGTCATGTGGCCAGCATGACTAAGCCGCTTCTGGCAAACCAGAGCAGCGCATGGAAACGCAGTTTACATTCCCACCGGAGTGGTACCTATTTATCTACTTGCACTTTGATGTGCTTTCGAACTCCTAGGTGGGCAGGAGCAGGGACCGAGCAACGGGAGCTCACCCAGTTGCGGGGATTCGAATCACTGACCTTCTGATCAGCAAGTCCTAGGCTCTGTGGTTTAACCCACAGCGCCACCCGCGTAGTTACCAGAGCTATTTTTCCAGAAAAGAAGGTGCCGGAACTCACCACGAACACCTCCCTCATTCTCTTAGAATGGCAATGGCGCCCATCTGAGAGGTGCCAGAACTGAGGTCTGGCGAGCTCTGGCTGAAAAAAAGCCCTGGTAGTTACCATCATTCCCTTCTCAAAGCTAAAGGTTTTATTTTTTGCTTTGCTGAGGGTTAGGATCACCCATTATAATTATTCTTATTAGGAAGGTTTATTAAAAATAAGTCCTTTTTTTTGTTTGCAAAAGCTATCTTCTTGCTATGGGAAACAATATCGAGGTAACCTCTCCAGCCATACCACCAGTGTATTCTCCTTTGCTTGAGCACAAGGGGAGGAGATGCTCTAAAATTCGGGGGGGGGGGAGGGCTACAGGAAATTCAGGACCCTCCTTCTCCCTTCCTTGCCCCATGGTTTATCTGGGGAATTGGAGCTGCTGTATCTCTACATACCCTTCAACGTTTCTCCAGTGAAAATAGGGACATCCTAAGGAAAAGCGGATCAAGTCAGAAATGGGACGGCTTCTGTAAATCCGGGACTGTTCCGGGAAAATAGGGAGACTTGGAGGATCTGCCTCTACAGAGGGGGAGGTATGCGTTGTTCCTGTTAGCAGGTTAGTGTGCATTCAAAGTGATTTAAAAACCACCACCAGCACCCACAATTGGCCATCTTGAAATTCAAGGCAACCTGTTTGGGTTTCTCTCCAGCCCTGAGTGACTTGCTCCAGCTTTGCACTTCATTCACACAGTACCAGAGGATTGTCCGGAGACAGGTGCCCACTGAGATTTAAGAAAAGAACTAGAGTAAGAGCAGTTTGAGAAGCTTTAGCACGTGAACGACCGTCAGTAACTACTCATTGGCAACCGACGTTCAGAGTCTGCTCTGAGAAGGGGCGAGAAGCCAAGTGAACGCCAGAGGGATGAAGAGCAGGCCAGCAAAAGGAAAGTTGCCCGTTGGGCTGAGAGCCTTGGAGGTCACCGTGGGAGGAGTCGCCTGGTGCTTGGCTTTCCTTTCTAGCGGAGGTGCAGGCGGGGATCTGGAAATGTCCTTGCAGGGCTCTGGTTCAAGGTCAACAATGTCTCGGACAAAGCCAGTCTCATTTCTCACCACCTCCTGGAGGTCAAGAAAGAAAAAAAACTTTAAGGATCTACACCTATTTTTTTGTTGTAGTCGTGAGGTTGGTACTACTTCTCTCTTGGAGAGATAAGACATAGTTTGAAATGGAAAATGATGAGGGACAGTCTCTCTCGGGAGGTGATGGAATCTCCTTGCTTGGAAGTTTTTAAGCAGAGGTTGACTTGCTGTTGCAAAGCACAGCACTTGTTCTCCTCTCTATTTAAATCTCCCTTTGTGTAGAGATTTTCAAAAGGGATACATGACAAATCTGAAGAATCATGAATTGTGCAGGATGTTTATATTAGCCAGATTTAATATGATAGTGAGAGGAAGATATTTAGCTCTCCCAGAATCAGAGCATCTCTGCAAATGTAGTAAACAGGAACCTAATACTTTGGAGCATATTTTCTTTTCCTGTGATTTTGGCATTTATGCCAGAAGACAATTATTAGAGGCCTTACAACTCAATAGGCTGATTTCTACGCTACCAGTAATGATCAAATTACTTTAATAGTGGCTGAATTTCTGAGTGCTGTCCATGTAGAAAGACTGGGCCATTATAAAGAGATTGAGTGGTTGTATTGTATTATTTATGCAAATTGATTTTCTTTGGAGTTAAAGATCTGACTGGGACAAACCTTGTTATGTTGATCTTGTATTTTGCACAATTTGTATACGGTGTCTGTTTGATAATGTGTGGTTTGCTATGCCTAATAAAGGATATTTGGGGGGGGGGGAGCAGAGGTTGGCCATGGATGCTTTAGCTGAAATTCCAGCTCTACAATTCTATGATTCTATGATAGGTTGAAAAACGAGATGCTAAAGGGACAAGCTCCAGGGACCATTTCACAGTTCTGTTCTCCTACCCACCACAAATCTACTTTCAGGTAAGGCTGTGCAATTGTAGCAACAACTGAACAACACTGAGGTTCTTGGACCCCCACCCACCCTAAAAATCAGCTTGGGAGGGTTGGGGGACCCTATGGAGCAGATTTGGGGAGGATGGGTGGGTGAGAGAGGAAAAGCAAGTCCCACTGTGTGAGTGCAACTCCACTCATGCACTGCTGGACACCCCCCAAAGATTTTGATTTGTGCTCTTGTGTGAGGGTAGGGGAGCTTTAAGCCTTTAAAAGGTAAAGGGACCCCTGACCGTTAGGTCCAGTCATGGACGACTCTGGAGTTGTAGCGCTCATCTCGCTTTATTGGCCGAGGGAGCCAGCGTACAGCTTCTGGGTCATGTGGCCAGCATGACTAAGCCGCTTCTGGCAAACCAGAGCAGCACACGGAAACGCCGTTTACCTTCCCGCCGGAGCGGTACCTATTGATCTACTTGCACTTTGACATGCTTTCAAACTGCTAGGTTGGCAGGAGCAACGGGAGCTCACCCCGTCACGGGGATTCAAACCACCGACCTTCTGATCGGCAAGCCCTAGGCTCTGTGGTTCTAAATATTACATGGGGCCTGTGTCTGGAGTTTGCCTTGGAAAAACTTCCCATTTGCTTTATCAGGAGCTTTCCCCCCTGTGGAAATTGCAGTTGTGAGGGGACCATTGGTTAAACCACCTCTATTTCCCCCAGTGTAGGGTCCTGATCTGGATCAAACCCTCTTGCATTAGCCATTCCTTTAATCCCACCTCACCCCACACTTAAAGACACAGCTCCTTCACCAACATAATGTGTCATTTGTTCCTTATGGGTCGGTGTCAGACTCGGGACTTGAATGAACCAAGAGCAGGACCTGTCCTAGGAGCAGAAGGGTGTAAGACAAGGAGTCAGCCTATGCTGCCACCATCAAGTCCTGGCCAAAGGAGGGAACTGCAAGGAAACCAGAGAAACTTTGGATCCCCTTTCTGATTTTTCCAGCTGATGTTAACACCAAATACAAAAAAAATGCCCCCAAAACCTTGCTTACATCAATTGTTTTGATGACCACAATCTGATTGGCCTCCTTGCAAGCCTTCTCTGCTTTCTTGATGGTCTCTTGGTCCCATTCCACCAAGTTTACAGCCATCATTCCTTCCATTGCACTGGAGGGGAGAAATTGAGGAGCAACACAGGAAAAGAAGATTAATGCTTCACAGGGGCTGTGCCATAGGAAGTTGGCAGCATGGAAAGAGAGGCTGACCTTGGAAGAATGAAGACGTATGGGCCTTCCGAAGGAGGATGAATGTGGTTTGAGCTTTAAACACACATTCTCTACCCAGGAAGGCAACCAATGGGTGGCTCCAACTTCTTCCATCACACTTCAGAACAGGGATGAGTGGCTAACCCTTTCTTTGGCTTGACAATGACCCAAATTACCTCAGGCAACCCTCCAGGGGGCTCATGCTTGTATTGAGTGTGGATAATCTACACAGCCGCCTTCCCAAGGCAGTTACACCCAGGGGCACACAGCCACCCAGAACTCTGTGGATCAGCTGATGAGGGAGATTACCACCTGTTCCCCACACCATCACATGATAGATCTGATGAATGAGGGTGGGCCCAATTCAAAGTGCTGGTTCTGACCTATAAAGCCTTAAACGTCTCAGAACCGCAATACCTCAAGGACTGCCTCTCTCCATATGAACCTACCCAAACCCTGAGATCATCTTCTGACGCCTTCCTTTGTGTGCCTCCCCTTTGAGAGGTCAGGAGGGTGGCAACACGAGAACGGGCCTTCTCTGTGGTGGCTCCCCGCCTGTGGAATGCTCTCCCCAGGGAAGTTCGCCTGGCGCCTTCATTATACACCTTTAGGCACCAGGCAAAAATGTTCTTTTTTAACCAGGTTGACCTGATTGACATCCCATACCCTTTCAAAATGTGGCTATTTTGGGGGGGGTGTATTATTAGGTTATTGTTCTTATTTTGATTTTATATACTGTGATCTTTTCTGTGAACCGCCCTGAGTATAGGGCGGTATATAAATTCAATAAATAAAACAAGTATAAATCCCTATCAGGGTGGTGGGGGCTGAGCCCTATTATTTTTACTTTTTGGACACTGCTGCCAAAATGGATTGGATTGCATGCATCCCCCCGAAAAATCCACTTAAGGAGGCCTGTTTAGCCCCCACAAAAAACCGTGGATTGGCAACCGCTGCCTTAGAACGGTCTGCCTGCCTCTGTCCTGCAACACGATTGCGGATCGGATGCTGCCTGTGTCCTGCCGTGGCATTCAGGCACCTTCTCAGAAACACTTACTCTGCTGCCTCTTGGCCCAGCTCACGGGCCACCTGCTGAATGTCTGGGTATCCCATGCAGCTGGAGATGTTGTTTCGAGGATAGTAGAAGAGGAAGGCCAGGCACATTTCGTTCAGAGTACTTGGTCCGCCCTGAGGGAAAACAAAGGCCAAATTCATTTAAGATGCAAGAGTTTTGAAAAACCAGAAGCTTTTCTATTAGGAATTTTAGGTGCAGATACAGTGGTACCTCGGGTTAAGTACTTAATTCGTTCCCGAGGTCTGTTCTTAACCTGAAACTGTTCTTAACCTGAAGCACCACTTTATCTAATGGGGCCTCCTGCTGCTGGCGCGCCGCCGGAGCACAATTTCTGTTCTCATCCTGAAGCAAAGTTCTTAACCTGAAGCACTATTTCTGGGTTAGCAAAGTCTGTAACCTGAAGCGTATGTAACCTGAAGCATATGTAACCCGAGGTACCACTGTATAACAAAGGAGCAGGAAAGACTATTTACGCACGTGACGACAGCAGCGCGGATACTTTTGGCCCAGAGACAGAAAGAAGACAAAGTGCCGGCCAGAGATAAAGATGATGGATTTACGCCGAAATGGCAAAAACGACCAGGAAGATCAGAAATCAAGAAGATAGAAATTTTGCTAAGGGGGAATGGGAAAAATTTATATGTTACCTCCGAGAACATTGTAAACAACTAAAAACTTTGGCAGGACTGTAACAACACTTGTAATGTAACAAGAACTATGGGGAAATAGGGAATTTTAAGAAAATGGAGAATCGTATAAGATGCAGTTGAAAAAGGAATGTCAATGGAATCCACGGAGGGGCAGAGGGAATTCTTTGTGTATGATTATAATTATGATTATGATTTGAAGACAAATGTAAACTGCAAAAACCAATTAAAATATTGTAAAAAGAGAGAGAGAGGGTTTTTGTTAAGTTGTGAGTGAACATATCAGACAACACAGCGATTCTTCAAACAGCTCTTGTTTATTCACAGGCCAGAACAGAACTGGACTGAAGGGTTCAGCCAGCCTGCTTATATAGAGCTCCAGTACAACGTACTGTAACAATTTTCTAAAACTATCCAATCACTGAACGTCACTTTCGATCCCTAATTTGCATAACTATCTACAGTATCCCCCTGCTGGCCCAGGGTGAGAACTTCAGTACATAACAGTTTTGGCCGCAGCACAACAGCAGCTCTTGCTTGCTCCAGGTCTCAGCACAGCCAGAGTCAAGACAGTGCTGTGCAGGAAGAATAGCAGAGACAGGCACTACAGTCCTGTGCTTTTGTACAGTAGGAACTGGGTCAATTCCCTGGCAGGTGGGAATCAGTAAGGGATTTGTGGGATTTGTTCACAAATCCACATCTCAGCCTTGTTCTGCGCATTCTGCCCCATATCTCACCCCACAACTCCCCTGATACTGGCCTGTGCTTTCCCCTCCTTCCACCACACCCGGAAACCTTAGGTGGCCCTGCAAGCTGTTACTAAAATATTTGGATATTCTGGGGACAGCAAGATTGGATTTAGCAAAAGTTGCCCTCTCCTGAAACCACCTTCCCCCTAATGCTTAGGTCATGGGTAGGCAAACTAAGGCCTGGGGGCCGGATCTGGCCCAATCGCCTTCTAAATCCGGCCCGCGGACGGTCTGGGAATCAGTGTGTTTTGACATGAGTAGAATGTGTCCTTTTATTTAAAATGCATCTCTGGGTTATTTGTGGGGCCTGCCTGGTGTTTTTACATGAGTAGAATGTGTCCTTTTATTTAAAATGCATCTCTGGGTTACTTGTGGGGCATAGGAATTCATTCATTCTCCCCTCCAAAAAATATAGTCTGGTCCCCCACAAGGTCTGAGGGACAGTGGACCGGCTGCCTGCTGAAAAAGTTTGCTGACCCCTGGCTTAGGTGGTTTTCAGTCAAGGACTTACGAAGGTCAACCCTGTCCGGTCTTTGGTTTGATAGTGACATTCCACCAGGAACTCATCTCCCTGTAAAACACAAGAGGACGCGGGGTCAAACCTATAGCAGCAAAGGGTCGCTGCTGAAAGTTGCTTCTTACCACCAAAGTGTGGTCCAAAGGGAAACACTGAGATGACGTACTGATTTGAAAATGACCTCCTCCTTCATGCCTCTGGTCTCCTGGAGATTGAAATCGTACTTGTTGTCTTCACAAATGACAGTCAGCTGCTCTCCATTCCTGGGAGTGGGGTGGGGGTGTGGAGACAAAGAAACAGGAGAGACAAACAAACCTGAGATGCCGCTGAGAGAAAACTGTAACTGGGATGCAACCAGGATCTGATCTAATGCCTTCCTGACAAACATTTCTAAGAGCTAATATTACTAAGTGAAATGACATCTGTTGGTTGTGTTTCAGTCTTCAGTATGAACAGTGAACTGAGTTTTCTGTCTGTGTTCCTGTCCCCCACCTGTTACACACTGAGCCTCTTGGGCTTGCCAGTCAGAAGGTCAGCAGTTCGAATCCCTGCAATGGGGTGAGCTCCTGTTGCTCCATCCCAGCTCCTGCCAACCCAGCAGTTTGAAAGCATGCCAGTGCAAGTAGATAAATAGGTACCACTGCGGCGGGAAGGTAAACGCCGTTTCCGTGCGCTCTGGTTTCTGTCATGGTGTCCTGTTGCGCCAGAAATGGTTTAGTCATGCTGGCCACATGACCCAGAAAGCTGTCTGTGGACAAATGCCTTTGACTGGACTTAACTGTCCAGGGGTCCTTTACCTTTACACACCATGAGTACACAGGCCTTCACTTGTTGCAGAATAATGGGGGTGCTTTCATTTGAAAACTGGGAGTGATCCATGCTATACCTCTTTTCCCCGCAATGTCTAGGCCTCTAGGGCAATAGTGTCTCACACCGAATGTAAACGAACTGTGAAAAAGGCTATGAACGGAAAGTGGAGACACTATATGTACCTTTCCTTGCTTATTTGTTTGTTTTGTATCACAAACAAATGTTGTAAATAAAAACAAATTAACAGAAGTAAAAAAACCACACCAAAAAACTAGTGTGGCCCACATAGACACTGGCTTTTCTTACCGGTACTGGACTCCTCTCACTCCCAACCCAGCCAAGTGGGTATGCAGCAAGTAACCAAAGACATGCATATCAGGCACTGGAACGCCATTCATCTGCAATCCAAAAACAGGAGGAAAAGGCCCATGAATGGCATCTGGCCCAGGGGCGGAGGAAGAGGGGGTCCATGGGTATGGGCCACCTTTGGTGTCACCACTGAAGGGGGTGACAAAATGCCGGGCAGCACTCACCGCGGGGCCTGCAGCGCACGTGAGCCACGCATCTCTCCTGGGAGAGATGGGTGGCTTGGGCGCACGCAGGCTCCCCACTGCCCAAACGGTCTGCCCTCTACCTCCCCCCCAGCTGTAGGGCGGCTTTGTGGGAGGAGGCAGGCAGACCCCGGAGGCCCTGCAATGCGCCCCGTCCCTCTGGGCAGCTCGCCCCACCCCCAGGCTCCAGAACAGCTTCCTCCGTTGCTGATCTGGCCACTATGCTTTGAACACTTGCCCTGGCAAACATCTCAGGAAATCATCAGACATCTATGGAATGTTCTGGCAGCCAAATTTCAGCACCAAAACAGCCATGCTGGCAATTTGCTGCTTATTAGCTACAGCAGTGGTTTTCAACCAGTGTGCCGTGGCACCATGGGATGCCATGAATGCCCCTCTTTCCTTCCCTCCCTCCTCTGAAACGTAAAAGATGCAGGAGCCTGGAGCCTGGAACCTGGAGAACAACACTGGCAAGCCCACACAAAAAGCTCAAGAATTTGTCCTAGCTTCAATTTCTCTCCACAGTGAGGAACAAGCACTTCTCGCCTGCAGTTGCCACTGCAAGACATTTTTACAGCTGGAGGCTGAGCCCTGTCTCCATCCCTACTGCTAGGGCAGCCCCGTTCCCTGCGGTTCCCCTGCTCAGCCCGTTAGCCTCCATGGCTGCTTTCTGCTGGGGAAATGTGCATGTGTTTCCCATGGAACGGGGAGTCTGACCTTAACCCTGAGCTGCTCTTTGTAGAGCTTTTATATAGAATGCAATAAGAGCATGTCTTTGAAATAGTAGCCTGAATATGAAGTATCAACGCTCAGTGCTAGCATTTGTTACTGAACTGGGGAGGGCGAAGGGCTGTGGAATACTCCGGAACTTACATCATCAAACTGACTGGTATTGCAGACACCATAGGACATGAAGGACTCGGCTCCAGGGGGCAGGAAATGGATTGGAAATGTGAAGAATCCTGTCTGTAGAACCCCCATGTCATAAGGACGCAGCTCCGTAGTATAATAGAGTCGTATCCCCGAGTTGTCAATCAAGCCTTAGGAAAGAAAACCTGCAGCTGAGCAACTGGTTCTGTATAAGTTTCAGTGCAACTGAAAATAGGGTTTGTTCACACTTCACTTTGTTCCATGCCTAGAAAATCATGAGTCCAAACTGTTTTCTGCTTTCTAGGCATGGGTCTGAGCGGTTTTGCCGTTGCCCTGCTGCTTTCCCCCAGAAATCCTGCTCTGTGGAGAACTCAATTGCTGTTTGCTCTGATTTAGCGCTAAACCACTGGTTTTCCCAGGGGAAAGCGGTGGGGCAAACAGAAGAGTGGATAAGCCTGTGGTGAGAGGCCACTTTACCACGTGAGTGAAAATTTGGGGGGCTTCCGATAATCAAGATAGTATACATCTACTTGTACATTCAAAAGGGATGCGGGTGGCGCTGTGGGTTAAACCACAGAGCCTAGGACTTGCTGATCAGAAGGTCGGCGGTTCGAATCCCCACGATGGGGTGAGCTCCCTGCTTGGTCCCTGCTCCTGCCCACCTAGCAGTTCGAAAGCACATCAAAGTGCAAGTAGATAAATAGGTACCGCTCCAGCGGGAAGGTAAACGGCGTTTCCGTGCGCCGCTCTGGTTCACCAGAAGCGGCTTAGTCATGCTGGCCACATGACCCGGAAGCTGTATGCCGGCTCCCTTGGCCAATAAAGCGAGATGAGCGCCGCAACCCCAGAGTCGGTCATGACTGGACATAATGCTCAGGGGTCCATTTACCTTTTCCTTACTTGTACATTCAACAACAAACAGACAAACAGGACATCAACTTAATGTCCTACTTGCAAACTTCCAGAGGCATCTGACTGGTAAACATTGCTGGCGTAGATGGACCCTCAAGTCTTACCAGTGTGACACATGGGGCCTACCTCACACTATCCTGCAAAGTTCCTCATAGTGATAAATATTTACTAAAGGACGTGAAGAAATATGAATATTTATAGAAGCACCATTCAGATAACTCCAGAAGCGTTTTCCAAGTACAGTTGTATCTTGGAAGTCGAGCGGAATCCGTTCGACTTTCAAAACGGTCAAAAACCAAACTGCAGCTTCTGATTGGCTGCAAGAAGCTCCTACAGCCAATCAGAAGCTACAGAAGCCCTGTCGGACGTTCAGGGTCCAAAAGAACGTTCTCAAACCGGAATAATCACTTCGGGGTTTGCGGCATTCGGGAGCCAAAACGTCTGAGTTCCAGGGCGTTTGGGATCCAAGGTACGACTCTATCAGTGCTTCCGCTGGCCACAGTCCCCAACACCAGCATCTCCCATTGTCCATGTCTCCTGGTGCTCAATAGCAGCTGCCCTAACATTTCTCCACAGACACTTCTAATCCAGTAAGACCAAAAAACAACAACAACAAAAAAGGCCTCCAAATGCAGAAGCTGGCCTTCCTGTGTCCATCACTCTTTGTATGTCTAGGACTGCCATACTCCCCCCACTGGCTCTCCTTTCCTCTGCAAAGGAAACACCAGCAGGAATTAAGGAACCCTGAGACGTGTAGTTCTTGAGAGAGGCACATATCTGTCAAACTACAACTCCTGGAGCTTTCGGTACAAGTTTTCCCGCCCCTGAGATCCTCAGATAAGTTTCATAAACATCCTCAACCATCACCTACAATTTAGCCTCAATTTCCCCCCTCCTGGAAATAGGTCGGAAGCCTATGCTGTAGTCCCTTAGTCCCCCCCCCCCCAGTAAAGCATGCCCAATTTCTCTCCCCATGCTCTGGCCGTGTTCCCTGCCCCTCATCAACACATCACCTTCCTCTTACGCAATCAATATGTGTGCTTTACTCACCTGGAATGCCATTAAAATTGCTGTAGTGGACTTCTAACCGGATCCACTGGGGATCAATTGGCGTACCTAAGGAGATTCCAGTTTCATCTGGGAACATGTAGCTCTAGTTGGTTGGTGGGGGAGAAGAAAAACAGCTATTAAAAAATGATCAGTTGACTGTTGCGTCCCCTGTTCCCTTGGCTTCTGAGCTTGATGTTGCACAGAAGTCAGTAATATTACAAATTCAGTGAGGCAGCAGTCCTAAACCCATTTACCTGTGAGTAAGTCCATACCCTCCAACATTTCTCCAAAGAAAATAGGGGCGTCCTATTTACTACTACTGCTACTACTACTACTAATAATAATAATAGTACCTCATGCATCTGACTGGGTTGTCCCAGCCACTTTGGATGGCTTCCAATATATATAAAAACATAATAAAACATTAAACATCAATTAAACCTTATGGGAGAAAACCTTCCCTATACAGGACTGCCTTCATATGTCTTCTAAAGGTTACTTATCTCCTTGGCTTGGGGGGGTCACATAACTCCCTAAGGAAAAGTGGGACATTCTGGAATCAGATCAGAAATCGGGAAAGCTTCTATAAATCCAGGACTGTCCCTGGAAAATAGGGACACTTGGAAGGTCTGTAAGACTCATTTAACTCAATGGGATTTACTGTTGGGTAGACACATAAGGCCGTAAAACCTCTGGCAGGGATCAATAGCGATCACATCTTCTAGACGAAATATTTAAAATAGTCGTATGGCACCAGTGAATGGTAGCTTGTTAAGGGAGCTGAAAGTTTTTAGGAAGGCCCTTTATTCAGAAAGCTACAAACCCCAGCCCAGTATCTAGACTGGACCAGACACCTTTGCTGAGCTTCCCATTCACTTCAGTGGCACACGCTCAGGAAAATTTAGCCCCGGGGAATTGAACCCAGAAACAATGAAACCCTGGAACCAATTTAAAAAAAACACCACAGCACCAAAACTCTCTCAGAGATCAGTTTTGAACTTCACTGCAGTAGTTTGACCACAGGTGAAAAAGCAGTTCTCATGGCCTGGGAAGTTCCCACATACTCACCCCTCCTCCTACAGCCCAGCCCACGACTATCTGGGAGCAGAGGGCAAAATCAGGATCAGCTCCGTAGCAGTCGCTGACCCCAGTCGGCAGCACACTGCCATTGCCACACGCATAAACCAGGATGTGGTGAACCATGGTTTCGTTTCGAGGTGTGATCATGGCCTCAAACTGTAGACAGAGGAAAGAAAGAAGGAAAAACAGTGACTACTTCATTAACCGGGATGGCTTCTGTAAATCCAGGGTAAAAGGTAAAGGTGACTGTGGGGTTGCGGCGCTCATCTCGCTTTCAGGCCAAAGGAGCCAGCATTTGCCCACAGACAGCTTTCCGGGTCATGTGGCCAGCATGACTAAACCCCTTCTGGCGCAACGGAACACTATGACGGAAACCAGAGCGCACAGAAAAACCATTTACCTTCCTGCTGCAGTGGTACCTGTTTATCTACTTGTACTGGTGTGCTTTTAAACTGCTAGGTTGGCAGGAGCTGGGGCAGAGCAACAGGAGCTCACTCCACAGCAGGGATTTGAACCGCCGGCCTTCTGATCGGCAAGCCCAAGAGGCATAGTGGTTTAGACCACAGCGCCACCTTTTACCTTTTTAATCCAGGACTGTCCCTGGAAAACAGGGGCACTTGTGGGCAGGGGGTGGGAGTCTGTGATCCCAGTGCTGAAGAAGAAGAAATGTTAATAAAATATGAATTACTTATGTGCATTGGAGTTATCAAACAACAGCAAAAGTTTATCGAGTGGTCCCTGGGGGAATTTTCAAGCGAATTTAAATTCCTCCCCCTTCATTGGATGGAGTGCATCGTTTGTCAGTGTTGATGTGACACCCCCTCCACCATCACCTGAAACCATCATTTTCTCCTCCTAAAAAACGGCTTACAGTGAGGTCTTCAGCTGAAACCTTTCTATGCTTCTTTCCCACAGTTACCTTGTAGATGTGATGTTTTTCCTTGACTATTGGCAACGGTATGAAAGTGCAGGCATAGGTGGTGTCATCCTCTGGGATAGGGAACTGCAAAACAAAGTCAAAACAACGCTGAGCGTTGTAGGGTTGCCAGCTTCTGGAATTTTCTATTACAATAAAAAAGTGAAGGCTGGCCCTAACATGAGGTAAGATAACTCAATTTGCCTTGGGCAGCAGATTGGAGGTTGTGACTGAAGGGATGGCAGGTTGTGGACCGCTTGGTGTCAACCTTTTTGAAGAAAAGCGAACCCGGTTCCCCAGATTACGAGTCTACCGCTCTTAACCACTACACCACACTGGCTCTCAAAAAGGAAGCTGCTACGTTAAGGTCGCTGTTAAAGGGCCGGAAAGGAATTTCCCTGCATTGGCAGGTTTCGCCTTTGAAGAGTGCTTGTATGTTGCTGACATCCTACTATGGTATCCTGCTATTAAGAGTTTGATCATGAGAATACTTGATTTCCTTTGAGCAAATGACTATAGTGGTACCTCAGGTTAAGAACTTAATTTGTTCTGGAGGTCCGTTCTTAACCTGAAACTGTTCTTAACCTGAAGTACCACTTTAGCTAATGGGGCCTCCCGCTGCCACCGCGCCACCACGTGATTTCTGTTCTCATCCTGAAGCAAAGTTCTTAACCCAAGGTACTATTTCTGGGTTAGCGGAGTCTGTAACCTGAAGCGTCTGTAACCTGAAGCATGTGTAACCTGAGGTACCACTGTATTCTTGAATCCACTGCGCTAGCAGGATGCAACAATGCTCATCTTCTGGGTCAGTGGTAGATCAGTCTCCCCACCCACCAGAATACATTGGGTTGTATTCAATCGTTGTAATACTCAGATGAGATAGGGCTGCCATACGTCTGGGAAATGTCTGGGAAAATCTGCTGGATGGATATTGTTCTCCTTTTCTCTCTCTTTCTATCTCTCTGTTCTGGTGTTCTGTTTTCTGAATTCTTAGTGTTAAGGTTTAGCAGCACATCCTCTGAAACTGTTCCACTATAAAATCAGGAGGTTTTCTAACTCACACATTTAGGTTAAAAATGTTACCTTGCCAGAAATGCTTTGGGGAAATTGCTGCTACAGAAAAAACTTACTCATCAGTTTGAATTTTTAAAAAAGTTTTGCAAATAGGTTTAATGTTGTTGGACAACATTTAGTGCTAAGAAGGCTCTAGGGGAAGATGAGTGCCTAACTCTCTTAAAGTCGAGCAACTGAATTTCCCTTGATTTAAGCAAAAAGGAACAGCGCAAGAAAAGAAAGAAAAAAATGTTGCAGAGGGTGATTTGAACAGTGAAGGAAGGAGCTTTGTACAATCAGCCACTCTTCTGAAATGGTTAAAATGAGTTTAATAGCGTGGAAGAAACCAATGTCAATATATTTATTTGCAATACAATATTATTATTTGTCTAAGTGATTTGCAAATTTGTATTTTTACTTCAAGCTGCAATAATACGTATGCTGAAAAGCAAACAGTGAAAAATATACGCCCGTGTCAATAACACGATCACTAGTTTGAATAAATGAATGAAATCTGTCTTAATGGGAAACACTGAGACTTTTTGGTGCTGAATGGAAATATCCAACAAGATCCATCCACTTTGCTGTAAGGCAGCTAGGGAGGTACTACTCACATCGTTGAGCTTCAGGTCATACACCTTGTAGACACTGGGTGAGTGCAATTCATCTTCAGTTGACAGCAGCATCAAGAAAAGAGATTTGTGGATTATTCTCCCTTTGAAGAAGTCAATTGTGTCATCCGTACCATAGCCAGCAATCAGTCGTAGTGTGTCACCCTGTGCAGGGAAAAGTTAAAAAGATAAATCTCCCCTCCGTTATCATATTGTTGCAGGTAAGCTGGCAACTAAAAGAATAGATGTGGAACCTTACAAAAGGACAATCTGAGTGGACTCTCCTTGCCCTGACCACGGCAAAAAGACTGATACTGATGAATTGGAAAAATTAAAAATGCGGCTCCCTTCTACAATTGGATTGAAGACTTATCCAAACTCGCAACATATGAACAACTTGCATATAAACGCAAACTTGCCATGGACAAATTCAATGGCATTTGGAATCCATTCTTACAAATGCTGTAATAGGTTAAGATCTGGGGAAGTACAATAACAACTTTGTAAAATATACAGTTTTGGGGTTTCCCCCCATTATTTTCCCTTTTCCACGGGTGCTGTTTCTCTCTTTTTCACTCTTTTATTTACATCTCACCATGTTTAGTGCACATTTAGTTATGCACTTTTTGCATTTTCAATAAAGATGTTAAAAAAAGAAGAGAAAGAAAGTAAAATCCTCCCATTTGCTATATTTTTGGTGGGATTCGTCTAAGCAGCAGCACCAGTGGAAGCGCTGCAAAAAGACTTCTGCTTGCACAATAGGGCTTGCCTCTTCTCTCCTCCCTCTCCACCCCCCAGAACAGCCTGGGGGGCAGAGAGGGGAAGATGTGGGATCATTCCATATTTTTCCCCCCGAGTCACACCCAACCACGAACCTCATGTTACAAACCTTTTCCTCTAAGTACCGTTGCATTAATATTTTAGTTGTGTGGTTTTTTTTAAGTGCCACTGATTTTATTGGGAGTGCGAAGCACCCACTTCAGCCTCTTGCATTTTAGCAAACGAGACTTTTAAAAGTGCTAGGACACGATCCGCTCTAAAGCCCGCTGGACTTGGATGTGAACTGTAGCTGGATATGGCTGCTTTGGTTACCGTGATGTCCAGGTCATGCTCATCGCAGGTACGGAAATATCGCCTGAATGCCATGGTTGTGGTTGTCTCATCCTGGGTCAAGGACAGCAGCTCATAGTCTTGGCTTTCATCCTCCAAGACAGTTTCTTCATCTACACCATGCCAGTCCTGAGTGAAACAGGGAGAACAAACTTTTGGAAACACAGGAAGTCAAAAGAGCCAGTGTGGTCTGGTGGATTTCAACTGGGGACACCTGCATTCAAATTCCTCATCAGCAACACATTTTGGGGGGGATAGCCTTTGACCACTAATGTGCATGTCCATGCTAATTCCAAATCCATCTCATCTTTTCTTCTGGGGCACAATTTGTTGCCATCCCTAGCTGAGAGGCATACTGTATCTTCTTTAAAAGTATTTCTAAACTACGGAATACTTTAAGAAATTCTGAGCAGTGTACAAAATATGCAGGAAAACAACGATAAAAACAGAGCTAAAAACAGGAATCCAGGAAAGCCTGTCTGAAGCCAGTAATTAATGCTTTGTGTATGGCAGAGTAAGGAGCATTCTAAAGGGCAGCAGCAATAGTGAAAAATGGCCGTTTTCAGATCACTACTTTATGACAATGTATAGGGTGCTGGGCCATGAGTAAAATATGGAGGCTAAGGAAGTAAGAAAAATGCCTACCAAACTCATCTGAAACACAGTACAGACAACCTTCCCTGTTCTGAGAGCTAGTCAATCTCTATATCCATGCTCTGGAACATCTATGTATGTATATCATTTTACTGCAATACAAACAAGCACTGCAGATAGGACATATGTATTACCCAAACACAAGGCTGTTGAATGGAGGCAGCTCAGACATTCAGGGCCAGTTTTCAAGCACAGGTGCTGACCTTTAAAGCCCCAAACGGCCTCAGCCCTGAAGGAGCGTCTCCACCCCAATCATTCAGCCTGGACACTGAGGTCCAGCTCTGAGGGCCATCTAGTAGTTCTCTCACTGCGAGAAGTGAAGCTACAGGGAACAAGGCAGAGGGCCTTCTCGGCAGTCATACCTGCCCTGTGAAATGTCCTTTCAGCTGTTGTCAAAGAGTTAAAACACCTATATGATTTTTCGTAGACATCTGAAGGCAGCCCTGTTTTGGGAAGCTTATAATGTTTGTTGCTGCTGCTGTTTTTCCTGGTTTTTTTTGGGGGGGGGAAGCTGCCCAGAGTGGTTGAGGCAACCCAGTCAGATGGGCAGGGCTTAATTATCTCCATCTCCATCCTCATCATAGCATGCTCAGACAGCACAGGTTGCACACTCCATTTTCTAGTGCTATACCATCCCTTTACCTTCAGCTGGGCAGCCAAGTGTGGCCCCATCTGCAAGCTGAACTGTATGTTCAATGGGTCTGTTATGTTAAGGAACCTACACAATGATACCTCTCTGGAAGCACAAGTTCTCCTGGTCCTGTGAAATCATCACCTCTAGATCCATTTGTAACTTCCGTCACAACGAAAGCAGCCTCCCACTCCCTGCCCCGGTATGTGCAGATACAAACTCCTTGCAAAGAGGAAACGACAGCTCATATTATTTTCATCTTACTGAGAAATAGACGTTGCCATCGGGAAGGACCCCGCCAATCACAAAGTCTGCCCCGGTCATCTCTCCGTGAACAGTGAAGCCAAAAGCCACCCATCCCGTTGTCTTGGCTTCCAGCTCAAAAGTCATCAAGCTGCTACTGTCTTCATGGTCCCACCGCAGGTAGATCTGGTGTGTGGGGTCGAGGAACGCCGAGAAACGCAATGGAGGAACCGGGGAATGGCTGGAGCAGAGGCACAAGGTGGACAAGAGGAACAGCAGACTTTTCATACATGGGTGGCTCATCCTCTTGGGAGCAGAGAGCACCCTTTCTTCTCTCGCTCTCTCAGTGAGATCTCCCTCAAGCTAGCTAGCACCTTATACTGTGGAGACCCGGTTTATATGAAAAGCTGGGACTTGCTGGGACCAGTGCCAGAGAGGAAGGGCAATGGTTTTTATTCTCCGTATCAGATTCAGAAGGTGGGATAAGTGCATCATTTTACATAATGCTATGGCACCCTTCCCAATGGATATTTGTTGCTGCTGCTATTACCCCTTCCCCCTTTTTGCAGGTTGGGGGTGTGTGTTTTTCCTTGCACATGCATTGTGCAAACTGTATAAAACACCTTCTGAAAGTATTTGATTGTGTAAAGCTCTAGTGACTGCAGAGGTAACTGAGCTATCCAGGATCAGGACCTCATACCTGTTTTCTTTGTTTTGTAGGTTTTCTGTTGGAAACATAGAAACTGTTCTATTCATGGCATATCTTCACTCTATGAAGTATATGTCAGTACAGTTACTCAAAACAACAACATATTTATATATGTATTACATATTAATATATGTATTATACATATTAATTATAATATGAACTGGAGAAAAATTATCTTGCCATTCTCTTGCCTTTGGCTGAAGGAAGAGGGACAGGAAGCACCACCAAAGGATGCAAAGCTTCCAGGATTTGAATAGTAAGGTAAAGGGACCCCTGACCATTAGGTCCAGTTGTGACCGACTCTGGGGTTGCGGCGCTCATCTCGCTTTATTGGCCGAGGGAGCCGGTGTACAGCTTCCGGGTCATGTGGCCAGCATGACTAAGCCACTTCTGGCGAACCAGAGCAGCGCATGGAAACACCGTTTACCTTCCCGCCAGAGTGGTACCTATTTATCTACTTGCACTTTGACGTGCTTTCGAACTGCTAGGTTGGCAGGAGCTGGGACCGAGCAATGGGAGCTCACCCCGTCATGGGGATTCGAACTGCTGACCTTCTGATCAGCAAGTCCTAGGCTCTGTGGTTTAACCCACAGCGCCACCCGCGTCCAATAGTAGTTGGATAGTAGTTGATAGGAAAACTGGCCCTTGATAGCCAATTGCTTTGGTGCAGTGAATGGCCTGTGCTTCTCTTTGTTCATTGGATCTCATTACATAATGCAATCAAAGCTCCCTCCTCAGCCCTGCCCCCCCAATCTCTAGCATGCAGAATGTGTGCTTGTTCACTGCCTAATTCTTAACTGAGCCATCATAGGCTGATCATACTAATCTGCTGGAAAAGGAGAAAACTGAGAAGAGGACACTTAATCTTTGTCTTAGGAAAGGATTTCAATTGGCTCACATCATTCATCTCGGATTTTATTTACTTAGATGAGAGACCCGCAAGGACTTCACTAGTCCATGGATTTGGCATTCTGTCCTGTTTTTGTGAAGTTGAAAGCTTCACCAACACATTTGATGTTAGCTTCCTTTGGTCATTATTTCAGAGGGGCTAAGGAAAGCCAAATAATATTATGGTGTGTGGACATGTTCGGACTTAAGGGTACCTGTGTACCTGTGTGTTGCGTGCGCATTAGTGTGGAGGAGCCAAAAACAAACTCCTAAATACAAGTAGTCTAACATGTTTGAAGATATGAAATTCATTAAGTAATAGTGATACAATATCGATACAAGCTGACCTCGATTTGAAAAAATGGTGCCATGTGTTCCAGTAGTTGTCAATTCATCCCAGTGCCTTTGTACGCATTGGCCAGAAGAATGGAAGGTGAAATAATGTTTGCTATGTACTGAGCAACCAGGTGGAATTCTCCCTGACCACACATGAACCACCAGCAAATTCACTCCTTCTTGGTCATATTATTCTTTTTTCTCAATTTAGGTGCAGAAAAGCTATTCCGCAGAGGAAAGCATGCATTTGATTTGGGGGCTGCTTTTGATATGTTGGAAAGGGAGAATACTGAAGAATAACAAGCAGTAATGGCTTAAGAAGAGATAAGGATAACATGGTTCTTGGAAAGGGAAACCTTGAGCAAGGCTCATTGTCTCCATTCTGGTGTTTTAATGGCATTTGAGATGCCTTCAGGAAGAGGAAGATGTCTATGTGACAACAGGGAGAGATTAAGGTGTATTAAAGGAGATAAATAATAAAAAGGCACTTGTAGAAGACTTAAGACCTGGCACAGAATGGAGAGGGAAGGAAAACAACGAAATATAAGTCTGCTTGCATGACAATGGATGCATTGAGAATCCATGTCGTTAAGGGGAGAGTGACATGTGCCCTGACACAGATGGGGAGGAGCCAGTGGTTGTGAGTGACAGCTGCTTTAGTCAGTTCATTGTGTAAGGGAATAAAGTGACAGGAACTGATAGTGAGGGAGGTGGGCAGGCAGAGGACAGGATGGAACAGAACCCAGGGGGTGGGGTGTCAGACAACCTAGGCATTCCTGAAATACCTGTTGCCCTGGTGGATCTCAAAGAACAGAAGCTAAAATGAATTGGCTATTTCATTCAGATGTCCAGTACAGGCATTTACACAACTTTAACAACCCAAAGGCAGAGTCCTGCCAGCATTAAGTACTTTTGGATCACATTAATTTAAATCACATAAAATGTCAGGGGGGAATCAATCTTGTTGACCACCCTGAGCAATTCGAAGGAAAAGTGGGATATAGTACCATTATGAAGAATAAATGAAATGTCTCAAGGTAGCACTTATTCATTAATACTATGTGTTGCTGTTTAGTCGTGTCCAACTCTTCTTGACCCCATGGACCAGAGCACACCAGGCACTCCTGTCTTCCACTGCCTCCCGCAGTTTGGTCAAACTCATGCTGGTAGCTTCGAGAACACTGTCCAACCATCTCGTCCTCTGTCGTCCCCTTCTCCTTGTGCCCTCCATCTTTCCCAACATCAGGGTCTTTTCCAGGGAGTCTTCTCTTCTCATGGGGTGGCCAAAGTACTGGAGCCTCAGCTTCACGATCTGTCCTTCCAGTGAGCGCTCAGGGCTAATTTCCTTCAGAATGGATAGGTTTGATCTTCTTGCAGTCCATGGGACTCTCAAGAGTCTCCTCCAGCACCATAATTCAAAAGCATCAATTCTTTGGCAATCTGCCTTCTTTATGATCCAGCTCTCACTTCCATACATCACTACTAGGAAAACCATAACTTTTATATGCCTGTTGTCTTTGTCCATGGAGTTTTCTTGGCAGGAATACTGGAGTGGCTTGCCGGTTCCTGCTCCAGGTGGATCACGTTTGGTCAAAACTCTCCACTATGACCTGTCCATCTTGGGTGGCCCTGCATGGCATAGTTCATAGCTTCTCTGAGTTATTCAAGCCCCTTCGCCACGGCAAAGCAGTGATCCATGAAGGAGTAATACTATGTATACGCTGCTTAATATGCAAAACCCCAAGCAGTTTACATAAGGCAGTGAGCAAGCAAATAAATGAGGGGTGGGGCGTAGAGAGGGTGGGGCGTACTAGCACCCCTGTTGCTAGTAGGGATGGAAAGGCCTGCCCCTTTCAGTTCTCTCAGTCTTTCTTTTTTCCAACCTTAAATTCAGTTCCCTAATTTTTGTATTTACATATAAAGTCCTCATGAAAATTCATCAGCATTTTCACACAAATGTCTCCAAATAAATACATTCTTATATGAAGTTTTGATGAGTGTCCACATTTTTGCAAGCGACTTTCCCTCATACAATGCATTTTTGTTAGTTATTTCTCCTAATATATTCCTTTTTATGCACCCCCCCCCACTATATGCATTTTTGTAAATGCTTAGTTGGGGAGCGGTGTTTCAAAATTCAGGTTAAGTGCAAATTTCGATAATGATAGCTGCATTTCAGGCCCCCCCCTCTTTAAAAAGTGTGATTTTGATAAGTTTCCACTTTAAATGTGCACTGAATTTTATTTCTCCTCCATCGCTAGTTGCTAGATAGGAAAAATGCACAACCTGCAATTAAAATGAGGAGGCATTTTGCAGACTTGATAAACCTTTGCTCTGGGAAAGATGCCATTTGGTGGCTGTAGGTGTGTTTGTCCACTAGGAGGTGCTGCACTCTTCAGAATGAATGAGCTGCTCAGATGGTGGGTCTAAAAACCAGCTTTTCCCAACCTGTGGGTTGCAAAGCCTGTGGGAGTGGGTTTAATACCTATATGAAGCCGCTGGGAGAGATCATCAGGGGGTTTAGGCTGGGTGTTCATCAGTATGCAGATGACACCCAGCTCTACCCCTCCTTTAAATCAGAACCAGTGAAGGCGGTGAAGGGACAGGGGGTGGGCGGGGGTGGGGGACGCCCTGGTCCTGAATGGGGTAACTGTGCCCCTGAAGGACCAGGTGCGCAGCCTGGGAGTCATTTTGGACTCACAGCTGTCCACGGAGGCGCAGGTTAATTCTGTGTCCAGGGTGGCTGTCTACCAGCTACTTCTGGTACACAGGCTGAGAACCTACCTGCCTGCGGACTGTCTCGCCAGACTGGTGCATGCTCTAGTTATCTCCCGCTTGGACTACTGCAATGCGCTCTACATAGGGCTACCTTTGAAGGTGACCCGGAAACTGCAATTAATCCAGAATGTGGCAGCTAGACTGGTGACTGGGACTGGCCGCCGGGACCACATAATACCGGTCCTGAGAGATCTGCATTGGCTCCCAGTACGTTTCTGAGCATAATTCAAAGTGTTGGTGCTGACCTTTAAAGCTCTAAACAGCCTCGGTCTTGTATACCTGAAGGAGCGTCTCCACCCCCATCGTTCAGCCCGGACACTGAGATCCAGCACCGAGGGCCTTCTGGCGGTTCCCTCATTGCGAGAAGTGAGGTTACAGGGAACCAGACAGAGGGCCTTCTTGGTAGTGGCGCCCACCCTGTGGAACACCCTCCCTTCAGATATGAAGGAAATAAGCAGCTATCCTATCTTTAAAAGATATCTGAAGGCAGCCCTGTTCAGGGAAGTTTTTAATATTTAATGCTGTACTGTTTTTAACATTTGATTGGGAGCTGCCCAGAGTGGCTGGGGAAACTCAGCCAGATGGGCGGGGTATAAATAACAAATTATTATTATTATTATTATTATTATTATTATTATTGGCTTGTTCTGGACCGCAGGCCTAAAGAAGGGCTTGTGGGAGTGGTTGGGTGCAGGGATCCCAAAGAAGGATGTCAAAAACACCAGAGTGATCAATTCTGTTGCTTTATTCTGTATTAAAAGAAAGGTGTAGACTTACAGAAGATCAGTCTGCCAGGTCTCCCAGCCTTTAGAGACTTGGGACAGACACTGCAGCAAGTATATGGTTTGTCCTCACTCAAGCAAACATTCATACATTCTTTATATAAAAAACAGCATATGGCACTTTGGCCAGGACTTCCCATTGCTCCACCTGACCAGATGAGGGCATAGGTGGCAAATACCCAAATCTTGCAGATAAGATTCCCCTTTCTGGGCTCAGAGCCCAGCCCCTCAAGCCCACAGATAAGGATAGCATCAAAGCAAACTCCATTAGCTTCTTTAAAAGCAAGTGAATATATGAGCTCATTGCTACAACTGCCAATTAATTGTGTGGTTATCTTGACTACCAAGATGGTGTTTGCAGAGCTTCTGGGACAGTTCACCTTTGGTTCTACGCAGGGCTTTATGAACAAACCCAAAACAATTATTGCTTTTCATATTTCACTGATATGGTGACTACCTCTTATGACCATTTGTTTTGTTGGCATATGACAATAATGCTGTGTTGACGTTTGCAACAGAACACAAGAAAGGCTCGAGTCTTGCTTTTTAACACTTGGAAACTGCTCTCTTGTTACAGATCCATCCATGATCATAGAACTGTAGAGTTGGAAGGAACCGTGAGGATAATCTAGTCCAACCCCCTGCAATGCAGGACTATGCAGCTGCCCCATACGGGGATTGAACCTGCAACCTTGGCATTATCAGCACCACGCTCTGACCAACTGAGCTATACATCTGGATCAGCAAACAAGGTGCTCATGCAGGGAGGCTATGGCAGCTCTCCTCTGATGCATGTGTCAATGGCAGTGCCTGCACATCAGAGGGAAGTTTTTATTTTTTTATTTGGATTTGATATCTCGCTTTATCACTACCCGAAGGAGTCTCAAAGCGGCTAACAATCTCCTTTCCCTTCCTCCCCCACAACAAACACTCTGTGAGGTTAGTGAGGCTGAGAGACTTCAGAGAAGTGTGACTGGCCCAAGGTCACCCAGCAGCTGCATGTGGAGGAGTGGGGAAGCGAACCCAGTTCACCAGATTATGAGTCTACCACTCTTAACCACTATACCACGCTGGCTCCAATAGTCACTCAAAACTACTCCCTATATGTGGCAACTTATCACTTTTCCTTGGCTGCCTCACGCTATGGTTGTAAAATAGGCAAACTTGCAGCTGAAGTGCACATACAGTGGTGCCTCGCAAGACGAAATTAATCCGTTCCGCGAGAGTCTTCGTCTAGCGGTTTTTTCGTCTTGCGAAGCAACCCTATTAGCGGCTTAACGGATTAGCGCTATTAGCGGTTTAGCGGCTATTAAAGGCTTAAAGGCTTAGCGGATTAGCTGCTAAAAGGCTATTAAAGGCTATTAAAGGCTTAGCAGATTAGATAAAGGGGGAAAGCGAAAAAAATCTCTAGACTCGCAAGACATTTTCGTCTTGCGAAGCAAGCCCATAGGGAAATTCGTCCTGCGAAGCAACTCAAAAACGGAAAACCCTTTCGTCTAGCGGGTTTTCCGTCTTGCAAGGCATTCGTCTTGCGGGGCACCACTGTAATTGATGGCTGGAGAGCAAAACATCCAAAATTCACGTGACAATAAAACAATGGGTCACCATAACACGTACATTTGAACTGGTGGATTGGCATATCAAAAAGGCTGGGAACCACAGATCTAAACTAAACGGCCCCCGATGTAATCTTTCCTCCAAGGGGAGTTGCTCCAGCCCAGGGGTCAGCAAACTTTTTCAGCAGGGGGCCGGTCCACTGTCCCTCAGACCTTCTTGGGGGCCAGACTATATTTTGAAAAAAAAATATGAACAAATTCCTATATGTTCATATTTTTTTTTCAAAATATAGTCTGGCCCCCAAGAAGGTCTGAGGGACAGTGGACCGGCCCCCTGCTGAAAAAGTTGCTCCAGCCTATGCCCCACAAATAACCCAGAGATGCACTATAAATAAAAGCACACATTCTACTCATGTAAAAACACCAGGCAGGCCCCACAAATAACCCAGAGATGCACTATAAATAAAAGCACACATTCTACTCATGTAAAAACAGGCTGATTCCCGGACCGTCTGCGGGCCGGATTGAGAAGGCGATTGGGCCGGATCAGGCCCCCGGTCCTTAGGTTGCCTACCCACACTCCAGCCCATCAATCATTTTGTTGGGTATTTATCTGAACCGTTTCCAGCTGTACAACCATCTGCCTTGTTGAGGTGTTCCAACCAGAACACTTCACAGTATTCAAAGTGCAGCTGCACCTACATTTGTATAGAGACATTATAATATCAGTAAAATTAAAGCTGTCCTGCCCACTGTGAGCTCCTATCGCTCAGAGGAAAAGGTAAGGAGGTTGGAGAAGAGCAAGAAGCCGAAGCACTGGAAAAAAAACTAGCCTTTCAGACCCTATGATCTGTTCAGAAAGTTACTATGGGACTCTACTGGTTCAGGCGTTCAGGCATTCACAGTCATCAAGTGGTTTCCTCTTCCTTTGCCACATGACTTCCTGTTCTCCCACCTGTGTTTTGCTGCATTAGGTCCCTGATGGGTGCCAAGGATGTTGCTATGTCTCCAGTTGGCTCAGTCAGGCAATGCCTGCAGAGACACTCCTTGTCTCCAATGAGCTTCCATCTCCTTCTCGCTTTACTGCTCTCATCAGGTAAGTGTCCAGTCACCATGTTATAAAGCCAGACTTTTGCAGATCGGGTCTCGTTTATAACGCCCACTGGAAACACCGAGCTCAGTTTTAATCTTCCACTTACTGGAATGACTGAAGAAATACAATAGCTTTAAAGAGAGTTGCTGTACTGATCTGAAATGGGTGAAGCGTAGTGACAAGGCAGGATAAACGCACATGCCATGTGGAATGCTGCCAATGTCAATTCTCTGAGAAAACTGTTGTATGTTTCCAGCCCTTGACCATCCTTCTCTGACCTCTCTGCTCTCTTTGTCTCTGTCTGTTCTTCTCTTCCTGTCTCCTTCTCCTTCTCTTTTTCAAACAGGAAAGTGGTGTTGGTATCATTCAGTCCTAATCCACAGAGAATATAAATGTTTTAATCTATCTATCTATCTATCTATCTATCTATCTATCATCTATCTATCTATCTATCTATCATCTATCTATCTATCTATCTATCTATCTATCTATCTATCTATCTATCTGATATGGTTGCAGATATTTGCCTTATAAATATCAAAAGCATCAAAGTGGGAAAGGAGTTAATAGAAGTTCTCAATTCCAGCCTCTTCTGAATAGTCACTCATATCACTTTTTTTGTACTTTCCACAATGTTGTGATAACAAAAGCACAACTTAGGCACAAAAATTTACAGGGCACAAATGGATCCATGTATTTGGGGGACCCTTATGTCACACAATTCTCCCTTTATACTTCTGATTCACAATTAAATCTTTCAACTCTTTTATTTTGCATTTTTCTCCTTATAGGTTCTGCTCTTGATCAGTCTCAAGACATGGTCGTCAAGAAAGGGGACAATGTAACCCTAGACTGTTCCCAAAAAAATTCCAATTACGTTAGCATGTACTGGTACAAGCAAGAGCGGAAGACGCATGCACAGCTTCAGCTGGTGATTTATTCAACAGGGACTTCTGATGTTGAGAAGGAATTTAAAGACCGGTTCAAGAGCCCTGGAACACAGAATAAGCGGCTGTCTCTGATCTGTGAGGGAGCCCAGCCAGAAGACACAGGCACCTACTTCTGTGCCAAGCAAGATCACACAGTGAGACACCAGCTGAGGAAGACAAACATAATTCTCTTCCCAGGAAACAGGACCGCCTGAATATATCTTGCAGGCCAAGGACAAAAATACAAGGGGGAAGGCTTTTTGTAATGTAACATGGGACACTATCTACCAGGAAGTTCTCCTGCACAGGGCCTGTTTAAATGAACAGGGGCTGTGCAAGAGCTTGTACATTTATGGATGGAGATATTTTACCGAGGCAGACACATCACCTGATAATGGTCCACAATTTTGGTTCTGCAAGGCATGAGGAAGAGTCTATCTACTCCCCTCAGTCTGTGCTCTCGCACAGTTCCCATTCACTTCAATGGCCCTTGTGAGAGAAAACATTTTTGTGGCCCTCAGAGCAAAACTTGCAAGTGATATCTGCAGACCCATCTTTACAAATGAACAGCAACACAGATTCCCGCCCCAGTATATCATGTGCCGCCTGCCACAAGGCCATAGACTTGTTTTCTTCTCTCATTTCCTCATCTTTTTATCTCCTTTTCATTGCACCCCTGCCTTTTTATATCTCATCATTTCCCTGATCCCAATTACATTCTTTTTGTAGCTTCGTTTTGTTTTTCAAATTTACAATGTGGGGGTAGTTACAACCCTTCCCAGGGCAGGATTTAGCCCTCAGCTACTGAAGGTAATGGGGCCCTTTATATGTCCAGCTGTCCTTTGTCAACAACAAATTGTCACTGTTTTTTGTGTTGTATATATGCTATATGGTAATTTATGGACCTAATAGGTATCTATTACTTACATCATAGGAGCCTACACAACACAAAACACTGTTGCTGTATGTAGGTTTTATTTTATTTGTTTTTTATCTTATATTTTGGAAATGTACATCCAGGTGTTTTTTCCTTTACATTTTTTTGGGACCCCCAAGAGAGTAGGGCCCTATATAGCTTGTTTAGTTTATACATAAATCCGGCACTGATCCCTTCCCATAGTCCTCTCCCCATGAACTTATATCTGCAATAATATACGTAGCTATGGCATGTGTTCATTTGTCTGTACCAATGCTCTCCTCCCCGATCCTTTCCAGTAGGGGTCAGTGGTGTACAAATATATGGCATGTGCTCACTTTGAACACAAGGTTGGTTGTTTAGCCCAGGCCTGGTCTACCTGCTGGGCCGTAGCTGCCTGAACTTTTGAGGTTTTCCCCAGCTTGCCTCCATGAGAACAATTAACAGGAGATTCCAAGGCTTGGATCTGTTCAGCATGCAACACATGTGCAACTAGGTAAAGGGACCCCTGACCATTAGGTCCAGTCGTGACCAACTCTGGCGTTGCAGTGCTCATCTTGCTTTATTGGCCGAGGGAGCCGGCGTACAGCTTCCGGGTCATGTGGCCAGCAAGACTAAGCCGCTTCTGGTGAACCAGAGCAGCGCGTGGAAACGCCGTTTACCTTCCCGCCGGAGCGGTACCTATTTATCTACCTGCACTTTGACGTGCTTTTGAACTGCTAGGTTGGCAGGAGCTGGGACCGAGCAATGGGAGCTCACCCCGTCACGGGGATTTGAACCGCCGACCTTCTGATCGGCAAGTCCTAGGCTCTGTGGTTTAACCCACAGCACCACCCGTGTCCTACGTGTGCAACTACCACACTATAAAATACAAAAATACAGTGGTACCTCGGGTTAAGAACTTAATTTGTTCCGGAGGTCCGTTCTTAACCTGAAACTGTTCTTAACCTGAAGCACCACTTTAGCTAATGGGGCCTCCCGCTGCCACCGCACTGCCGGAGCACGATTTCTGTTCTCATCCTGAAGCAAAGTTCTTAACCTGAGGTACTATTTCTGGGTTAGCGGAGTCTGTAACCTGAAGCATCTGTAACCTGAAGCATATGTAACCCGAGGTACCGCCGTACATGTTTTGAAGCACAGCCATCAAAAGAAGTCTCCTTGCCACTCGAAACAGAGGATTGTTCATTATGTTTGACAGCGGGGCATAGCCTCTCTTCTGTGTCATAGCCTCCCTTTAAAACTATGGCCCTAAGGCCATATTGTGTCCTATTTCTTGCTCTGTTGAGGCTAAGAACCTAAGAACTGCTTGTTGTTGTTGTTTGGTCATTTAGTCATGTCCGACTCTTCGTGACCCCATGGACCAGAGCACGCCAGGCGCTCCTGTCTTCCACTGCCTCCCGCAGTTTGGTCAAACTCATGCTGGTAGCTTCGAGAACACTGTCCAGCCATCTCGTCCTCTGTCGTCCCCTTCTCCTTGTGCCCTCCATCTTTCCCAACATCAGGGTCTTTTCCAGGGAGTCTTCTCTTCTCATGAGGTGGCCAAAGAACTGCTTGTTAGACAAGGCCAAAAGGCTCACCTATTCCAGTATTCTTGTTGTATGTGGTGGTCCTTCATTTTCTCTTGCCCACCTATGTTTCATTGTGCTAATTTCCCGGTTGACATCAAAGATGCTACTGTGTCTTCTGTTGGCTTAGTCAAGAAAATGTCTCCTCAGAGGTGTTCAAAAGTCCCAATCAGGCTCTATTCCAAGTTTCGCGCTTCATGGTGGTCAGGAAAAGGACAAAACCAATTATCTTTAGATGGACTGGTAAAAGCAAGAAAGGGAAATGGACGCCCAGATTAATCTGGTTGTTTTTCCCCCAGCAGGAGAGTCTACCACTGAGAAGGAAGTTTAAGGCTGCTTCAGGAGCCCAGAAATGAAAATTTTGAGTTGTCCCTGACTTAGCCGAGAGACAGGGGCTCCCAGTTCTGTACCAAGGAAGATTACACAGTGAGAGGCAAATGCCGAAGAAACAAAGGACAGACTTATTCACAGGGTTGCTGTTACACTCACAGTAACCCCAGATTTACTGATGCCTGGGCCCAATTCAAAGTGCACCTCTCTGTGGTGGTGAAATAATAATGACAACAGGGCAAAAGAATAGACAATCCAATTAATGGTCCACCCCAATTATCTGTCTTGTTTTCCTTATGGTGCTGGGACACTCATGTCCTGCTTATTGGGGAGGGGGGATTCCCACAGGTTCATCACTGTGAGAACAAGGCTGCTGGCCTATACTAGCAGGCTTTTCTTATGTTTTTTGTACAGTGGTACCTTGGGTTACAGACGCTTCAGGTTACAGACACTTCAGGTTACAGACTCTGCTAACCCGGAAGTAGAACCTCGGGTTAAGAACTTTGCTTCAGGATAAGAACAGAAATCGCGTGGCAGCAGGAGGCCCCATTAGCTAAAGTGGTACCTCAGGTTAAGAACAGTTTCAGGTTAAGAATGGACCTCCAGAATGAATTACGTTCTTAACCTGAGGTACCACTCTATTGAGATTTGTCCACGGGATTTCTTTTAGCAAAACTAAAGGTTGCCATTGAATGCATCTTGTCATCTCCTCTGAACAGCACCCTCCCCAGCTGACTCTGCTTCTAGCCACCTCCCACCCCCACCCCCCAAAAGTGGTTTCTCTCTCATTTCCACTCCCTTGCCCACAACACCTCCTGTTCTCCCATCTGGGTTTTATTGCAGTTGCTACGTGAAGAGCATCAAGGATGTTGCTGCGCCTGGGATTGGCTCGTTGGGGCAAATGTCTGCTGAAATGCTCCTTTACTCCAGTAAGCTCCCATTTTCTCCTCACACTGCTGTTCTCATCAGGTAAGTGATATATTATGACTGCCTTCATAACATTGGTGGCCTTCCAGTGCTTCTGAACTGGGATTTATTTTTAACGCCAATTGGGAAGATAGGACCCACTTTTATTTTTGGTGTCTGTCAATAGTTTTTACCAGAGCTGAAAATAGTACTGTCAAAATATTATGTGTTCATGTATGCTGCTTTTTATTATTGTCTGGGGTCAAGGAGGTGTAAAAACACTGTTTTTGAAGTTGTGAACATCTCCCTCCGATCGCAAGCCATCCGATTCAATTCTCATCTCTTTTTCTTGTATCTTCATTTTGTTTTCACTCTTACAGGTAGTGCTGTGCAGCAGACTTCTGATACGATTGTCAGGGGAAACGAGGAGGTTCTGCTGCGTTGTTTCCAAGAGAAAACCACTTTTAGCTACATGTACTGGTATAAGCAAGAAGGGAAGAAGGATCCGCAGCTCCAGCTGGTGGCTTTTTCGGTGGAAGGTTTTGGAGGAAGCGATATCATTCAGAAAGAATTTGAAGGGCGCTTCGAGAGCCGTGGAATGAATGGGTATGTCTTCAATCTGACCTTGAAAGAGGCAAAGCCAAGCGACGCAGGCACCTACTTCTGCGCCAAGCAAGATAACACAGTGAGCCAACTGCACAGGAAACCAGACACAAACCCCTTCATCAGGGAATATACATGAATGTGATAATGGCTGTTACACGGGGACAGACTCATGGGTGTAGCTGGGGTTTATGTTGGGGGGTGAGGACCACCCACCTGTCATCACCCTATGTTTGGCTCTGTCTAGCAGAATGAAACTTCTCAACAACAGTTGTTTTAAATTACTTTCTTTTGATCCCAAATGCTCCAATTTCTACTTTTTGTTAGGTATTTTCATTTAGTTAGTTAGTTAATTTGGGAGGAAGGCAAGTGCCCCCCCCACCTACACCCACGGACAGACCCAAAACACTTTGATACATGACGAGAAAAACCCACCAACTTCCCAGTTATTAGCATGGGGCAGAATTCACTGGGAGGTTCTCCAAGTCCCATTAAGAAAGGTGGGGGGGCAGGAACCGTTTAAGAGTCACGTACAGCATTCTTGGTGCTAGATAATTTAAAAAGTACTGGACCCAGAGGACCTTTTCTGTGAATGGAAGAGACTTTTCTTTTCACAGACAGGATGGGGAGCCAGTGGAGGCTCCCACTGGAGGGAGGGAAAGGTTTAACCGAGTACAGCCTGGCAGGTTTGTGTTCATTCAGTGGCAAAGGCATTTCCTTCAGGTGAACAAGCGCAACCCCACACTTTGCCTAGAAAGCACAGGTCCGAGCGTTTGTCAGTTTGTATTGCTGCTTTCGCTGGTAATCGGCTGAACTGGACGAAACATCAATCAAGGTTTCCATGGAGTGGGTTTCTCTCACCACCCCTGGTGAGGTGGGAGCAGCTATGGGTTATTCTCCTCTGGCACCAAAAATATTTGGGGCCTTTTCCTGCATCATAGCCATGACAGTCTACATTCCCGGTATATTCCCTGCTTAAGGGATTTGTGTTTGGTTTCCTATACGGTCACCTCACTGTGTCAACTTGGCTTTCTTCAAGGCCAGAGGCAAAGAATACCAATTGGCTCCAGGGCTCTCAAAGTGGACTCAGAACTCCTTCTCAGTGGGCATAGCTGTCAACTTACAGATTTGAAAATAAGGGACCAGCAGCCAAAATAAGGGATTTTCAGGGCACAGGTATGTTCAGCTTCTGAGCCCCTCCGAGCCAAAGGCAGAAAGCCCAGCCAGCAGCCAAACGAAGCCTCAAGCGGTGGTTCCCACAGCGCAGCAACCCAGCAAAGGGGATGCAGCAAGGGAAACCACCGTCACCTCTCCACTGGGAAGCGCTGAGCAAAGACGGGTCCCCAGGCAATGTGGCCGATTTGATCGGCACAAGGCATGCAAGCTCCACCCCCCAGTCGTTCTTAGACTCCTTATTGGGTGAGCAATGCAGCCAAGCAACACAGTTGGAGCCTCCCTCCTCCCTGGCCGGCAGGGAGGAAGGGAGAGGAGCTGCTTCCTATGAAACACGGGAAATTTAAGGGACATCATCAATAAGGGACAGCAGCAGGACATGGTGCTGGGATAAGGGAGATTCCCACCAAATAAGGGACGGTTGACAGCTATGTCAATGGGAGAGCTTCTTCCAGGGGGGAATCACCAGTTGGAACTGTGGAGCCTTATTGGGGTGTGTGTGTGAGAGAGTGAGGGTGGATGGATGGATGATGCTGTTGTGCTCATATCCTGCTTGTGGGTTTCTCACAGACACTTGATTCATTGTTGTGAGAACAAGATTCTGAACTCGATGGGCCACTGGCTCTTATTACATTTCTTTATTTGAGACAGGTCCACAGATTTTCTTTCAGCAAAACCAGACTGCCGTTTAATGTCCATCCTTGTCTCCCCAAAACAGTTCCCTCCCCAGCTGACTCTGGTTCCAGCCGCCCTGCTTGAGTGGTTTCTCTCTCATCCGCTCTCCTTCGCCCCACAACACCTCTCCCATCTGACTGAGCTTTATTGCATCAGCTACTTGAAGATCGTTGGCCATGTTGCTGCATCTGGGGTTGGCTCGGTTGGGCAAATGTCTGCCGAAAGGCTCCTTTGCTCCAATAAAGCTTCCATTTCCCGCTCACTTTACTCTTCTCATCCGGAGAAGTGGCTTATTATTACCACAATTGCTTAAACCAGGAGTTGCCAAACTTTACTGATGTGGGATTTTGAACCCCAACCTGAAATATCAGGCCCACTTTTATTTTTTGTTCATATCAATAGTTTTTAACAGCTAAAAGTGGCACTGTCAAATATTACCTGACATATTCATATATGCTAGTCTTAATTGACTTGGGTCAATTAGGTCCCTGAAAAAAAGAGTGAAAGTCTCGTGAAAGCCTTCAAAGAAAACCTGTGCTGGTACCATTGACGTGACCCTCTTTTGACTGTGACAAGACCCAGTTGTGAATCACAAAAACCAGTAATTTGTACAAGACCTGAGTAAGCTGGCAGATGTTTGACTTAGAGATCTAGATAACCTGAAGCTGCAATTCCTCTCCTGGTTATTTCCAAAAGGGTTTTGGATGTTTTATTTTATTCTTCTGAATATGCTAGAGTTGTCACAGAAAAACGACAACATCACTTAAGTTCTAAGGTTTACAATGTACAAATCTTTTAGAAATACTGTTCTTGAAGTTGCCTGGTGCCTTCGCTGCACATCTTTAGATGCCAGGCAAAAACACTCTTCTCCCCCACCTCTGGCTACTTAAAACAATTTATGGCCTTTTAAACTGTGTTTTTGGGGGGGGTATTGTTATTGTTTGTTATTATGTTATGTATCTTTGTGTTTTTTGTATTGTAAACCGCCCTGTGATCTCTGGATGAAAGGCAGTGTAGAAATTTAATAAATAGTAACAACATCATTACTTAATTGTAAGTCACCTGAACTGATTCTCATTTGTATTTTATTATTTTTCTGTTGAAAACCGCTCTGGGATCTTCGGATGAGAGGCAGTATACACATTTAATAAATCATAATAATAAAATTATTTTTACAGGCTGTGCTGTTAAGCAGTCTCCAGACATGGTTGTCAGGGAAAACACATCGGCCACCCTCGAATGTTCTCAACTGAAGACTAGTCATAGCTACATGTCCTGGTACAAGCAAGAAAGGGAGAAGAACCCACAGCTCCTGCTCATTGTTCTATCTACAGAAGGAGGATCACAAATTGAGAAAGAATTTGAAGGTCGCTTCCAGAGCCCTGAAGTAAAAAAGAATTCATTGCCTCTGACCTTGAAGAAAGCACAGCTGGGAGACACAGGCACTTACTTCTGTGCTAAGCAATATCACACAGTGAGGAAATTGCACAGGAAACCAAACACAAACCCCTTCACTGGAGAATGTATGTGTATGTGATAATGGCTGCTATATGGAGACAGGCCCAAATTATTTTGGTGCCCGAGGAGAGAAATCTCAAGTCGCATCTACGAGAAAAAGCCCACGCCTGTGGCTATAGAGTTGGACTGGGACGTGGGGGATCAGGGTGGATTTGATTTAAATCACGATTTAAATCACTGGCCAGTAAGACTTGATTTAAATCATTCTTTTTACAGAAAGACTCATTCTTGCTGGCATAATCTTAATATTTCCAGCCAGATGAAGGTTTCTTTTTTGAAATAATACATTTTCAGAATAGTATTTACAGTTATATCACAAATTACTGATTTGGTTATACGGTTAGAAATACATAGACAAGAGAATTATGAAATTATGGAATTTCTGCTGTACTTCATTGGAAGGAGAAAAATAACCATGTCATTAATAACAATAGAAACAATTTATCTAACTAAAACAGTAACATATGTACTGTTTATTTGGGTATGTACCCATGTTTGTTAACTGAGGCGGTTAAACAATGGGGGGGGGGGGACATAGACAGTTTTAGCACACATGAAAAACTTAAAACAAATCTTTATTTCCTGGTGAATAGCCATTGGACTATAATGTAACTTAAATAGAAAACTATCTTTAGAAAGATTTTTCCTCCAAAAGCATTTTATTTTAAAAATACAATTTAAATTTTAAAAATCTGATTAAAATTGGGGTTTGTTTTATTTTAAAATATTGATTTTTATCCACCCTGGTTCAAATGCCTGAAGTCCTTGGAGGAAAAGTGGGATAGAAATATGGTAAGAAATAAGTAAAAAAACAAAACTACACGAACAAAACTTGGTCACAAATATTTCCTCCTTAAGGAGGTTGGGGGCAGAGGGATGGCAGAGCAGTTATCAAACATCCTGGAAGATATGGCCTATCTGGATCCATTTCAATCTGGATTCTGGTCTGGTTTGGGGACCAATTCAGTCTTGGTCACCCCTGCTAGATTACCTGTTTAGAGAGGACTGAGGAATGTTTCTGCTCTGTCTGTGGCTTTTGATACCATTGACTGCAGTAGCCTCTTGGACTAGTTCTGTGGGATGGACGGGGGCACTATTTTACAGTGCTCCCACTCCTACCTGCAGGGCTATGCCTAGAGATTACCACGGTGAGACTGTTTAAGCTCCAAGGTGTGCCACAGGCTATACAGTGGTACCTCGGGTTAAGTACTTAATTCGTTCCGGAGGTCCGTTCTTAACCTGAAACTGTTCTTAACCTGAGGTACCACTTTAGCTAATGGGGCCTCCTGCTGCTGCCGCGCTGCCGGAGCCCGATTTTCTGTTCTTATCCTGAAGCAAAGTTCTTAACCTGAAGCACTATTTCTGGGTTAGCGGAGTCTGCAACCTGAAGCGTATGTAACCTGAAACGTATGTAACTCAAGGTACCACTGTACTCTTGGCCCCTGTGCTATTTAATATCTATGACGCCACTGGATGTGGTTGTTAGGAGTTTGCAGGCAAAGAATATTCAGCACACTGATGACACACTGCTCAACTTCTCCAGGACAGGGAGCGCATGGTTTGGACTGTTGTCTGTGCACTTGTGGACTGGATGAAGGCCAATAAACAGAGCTTGAACTCCCCCAAAATGAGACACACTGTAGATTGGTGGTTCTAGTGTCCAGGAGAGTTTTTATGTCCTGTTTTTTGTTGTTCTCAAATCAACTTACTTAGAGTAGGGGACATGGGTAATGCCATGTTGTGTGGCATCGGTTGCCAACAATGCCCATATATGCCCATAGAGGCCTTTCCGACTAAGTGTAGGAAGATCCTTCTGACAGTAAGAGCTGTTAGGCAGTGGAACAGACTCTCTCGAAGGGCGGTGGACTCTCCTTCCTTGGAGGTTTGAAGAAGAGGTTGGATGGTTGCCTGTCATGGATGTTTTAGTTGAGATTCCTGCATCGCAGGAGGGTTGGACTAGATGACCCTCAGGGTCCCTTCCAACTCTGCAATTCTATGATTCTATGAATGATGCCATTGTGGCTAGTCTTAGACCGCAAGCCTAAGCTGCCATCTTGTGTATACAAATTCATCCATGAAACTGAGCTTCATGGCTGCAGCCCTAAGCATAGGAACAAAGGAAGCTGCCTTATAACTGAATTAGGCCAGTGCTCCCATCTGGCTTTGTATCAATGACTGACAGTCTCTCTCTAAGGATTTCCTCCAGCAGCCATATCTGGAAATCTGTGACCTCCTCCCTACAACACACAACTCCCCCACTGTGTTATAGCTGTGCCCCCAAAGCACACTGGCCGGATCACTGGGACTTCCTTCTAAGCAGAGTTAGGGTCAAACTGCACTTCCCATGATCAGAGGAAAACAAAGGGCCAGGTTGCCAGGGCTGGAGTCAGATGCAGGTCAGCACAAAGAAGCAAGGCCAGTTGTCAGTGCTCAGTCAACTTTTTATTCAAGGAAATGAACATACAACTCAGCAACACTTCCCAGTAGGTCTTGGCCCAGTGGAGCAGTTGTCAGGACTGAGGTCTCTGCCTTCTAAGGCTCCTCCTCTGCCAAGCAGTCTCAAACAGCATCTGAGCATCTTTGGCCTCTGTTCCACTCTCCTCATTATTCTGTGCGTTCTTGGAGACAAGGCTGGAGGGGAGCTTGTTGCAGCAGGAGAGGGATACTCCCTGGATTCCTCTTGACGTCCCTCCTCTGCTTCAGCCTTGGAGTCTGAACTGCTTCCGTCCACAGGTTCTTCCTGCTCACTAAACTTTGTTGCCCCTTCAGCATTTGTTGCTTCCTTAGATTCTCCAAATTGCAGAAATTGTTGTCTTTGCTTATACTGGCCACTGACACATGGCTTAAAAAAAGAGAGAGAGATTAATTTGCAAATGCTGTATACAGATGTATATTTAAAAATGATTACTACCCTACTGAGTCATACAAAGTAGACCCATTGGTTTCGGTGAGTCTGAGTATGAATTAGCTTGATGCATCATTTTACTCTTGAGTATGACTAATGTTAGATATCACTCTATAATTTTTATAGAGGAATACTATACATCTCACTGTAGTGGGGAGGACCAGGGCCTGTGTGCATCTGCTCAGTCGTCTGCCAAGGTGCTCGCTTCTGATGGCCAGTTCCTGGGCCCCTGCTTTCCTTTCCTTTTAAACCAGATTTGGAATGGACAGCCGCTCAAACAGAGGACATCATACAGAGAACTGCCACCTGTCCTTATTCTGCCACCTGTCCTTATCCTAACCTTCTGATAGCCCTTCAAATGGACACAAGTCTTCTCCAAAGGAGGACACTGACCACCCTGTCTTTGCCTTGCTTGTTCTGCTAATGTGTGCATGTGGTACCAGTTGCTCTGCCATTGAGACCTTGTCCATTTCCCACATAATTTAAATAGGCTGCATTTTTTGGGGTGTTTGTTGTTTCCTAAACAGACAAGATGTGAAATTAGACTCTCTTTTAAAAAGTACTAGGGTAGTACTCCTTAGTACCTGGGAATGCTAGGATAGGAAGCACCCACATGATCCAGCCTATCTAGACACACCTGGAGATGCATCAGGGGAGCATCATTAGAGCAGCAGGCACAGTGCAAAGGTTGCTTGAACTGGTCCTTAGATGCCATGGCGGAGTTCAAAACCAAGCTTATTCACTGAAATCCCCATCCAAAAACACTCGCACGCTAATACTTTGGGAAGTGAGGGATATAGGTGATAATAGAGGGGCATGATGGTTGCATTGGAAGTTAGCCAGGACACCGCAGGGACTTGAACCCTGACCTGAAAACCTTGAAGGTGATGCTTGAAATGGTCCTTTGGTGCAATGGTGGAGTTAAGAATCAAGCTCAGTCCCTGAAGTCACCACTTTCCCATGCTAATATGTTGGCTTTAAAAAAAGGGAGCGAATTGTTATTTGGGCAGTGTGAGATAGAGAAATAGAGAGGGATAGAGAGAGAGGGATAGAGAGAGATAGCAGTTGCATTGGAAGTAAGCATGGACACCGCAGGGATTTGAACCCCGTCCTGGGAACCAGGAGCGCCGACCACCAGTGTCTTTTGCTTTTTTTCTTTGAGCAATGCAACAAGGGGAAAAGCAAAACCTGAGAGAACATTCTGTGAATGTTCTGTGAATGTTCTCTCAGGAAAAAGAAAAACCTTAAGAGTTATGAAGAAATCTGCTGCAAAGGGCTTCCACTTCTGACGAGTCGGGGACTGCAACCTGAAAGAGTCTTAGCAGAAAACAGTGTTAGTGCAAAAAGATGCAGATGGAACACGATAAGAGATTTCTTCCTTAGTCGAGCAAGGGGTACTGACCTAAATATCCTTGAACAATGGAATACCATTTTGACTGCCATTTTTGTCTGAAGCTGGATAAGCCATTGATCTGCGAATGTTCTCTCAGGAAAAAGAAAACCTGAAGATGTTAAGAAGAGCTCTTTGGAGAGACCTGTGGAGAGACCAGCAGAAAAGAAAATGAGAAAAAGGAGCGACCAATACAAAAAACATTGTCTTGGGGGGGGGGGGACACTGAGTAGTGGAATGTGAACTTACCTAAAACAGCAGGTGACTCTCTCTTCAGGTACAGTGAGCTCTGGGAAGCCAGAAGAAAAGAGGAGCTGGAACAAAAGAAGACGTCTTCTCCTACTTGCAGGTGAGCCTCATTGCAGTGACGCAGAATAGGGCCTCTTCTGACAACTCTGTCACCGCAACCTGAAAGAGTCTTAGCACAATGAGTTGCAGATGGGACACAATACAAATTTTCTCCCTAGCCAAGCTAGGGATACTCACCTAAATGTCCATTAGTGGAAGTGTATAGAACTATATTACTATCATTGTGATGTAGTGTTTAGGATTTACTTGTGAGGGATCCGAGCCTGTCATCGCCTCTGAAAATACAAGAGTACTTGATAGTTACCTTCCTTCAGCTGCGATGGTCGCTTCAAAGTGAGAAGTGATAGGTTTGCCTGCCCTGTTGCATAGTTACCTTTTGACGTCCGTTTCCCATTTATTATGTCATCTTGTCGTTGTTGCTGGAAAGGCCAGTCCTTTCAGTACCGCTCTATAACCTACAAGCATTCGTTCTACCTCCACTGGAATCCTCCACTTGCAAGACACATTGGAGACATATTCCAGAGCTGAAGGCTCCATTTTCAGATGGGAATATACAGAAGAATCCTTTATTGTAAAAAGTCGCAAACTGTCTTGCCGCAACCTTAAAACGAATGAGGAATCCCAGAGTACCATTTTGACTAGATATTTCCTCCCTAGTCAAGCAAGGGATACTCACCTAGATGTGGTTCAGTCAGAGTGCCATTTTGACAGTCATTTTTTCAAGAAGCGGGTGAAGAGATTAAAAAGGAGAGACCAGTACAAAAGCATTGCACTGAAAAAGATCACCGAGTAGTTGTATAAAGTTGTTTGTATAAAGTCAACACTTTGTGTTGTCTGAGCTATGTGCTAAATAGCTGTTCCTAGAAGATGCTTAGCAAAAATAAAATAAAATCCAAAAACCTTGGTTAATACCACCAGAGAACCACGTTACGCATCAGGGGTAATCTTGCCTGGCCTGTTTCATAGTTGCCTTTTGAGCTCCATTTCCCATTTCTTTTCAAAATCTTGCCAGTTCTGCTGGAAAGGCTTAGTGGAGCTGATGTTCTAGTCTGCTTCCTCATTGGATCCTCACAACAACCCTGTGAGGTAGGTTAGGCTGAGAGATAGAGCGCTTCATGGCAGAGTGAGGATTTGAACTCGAGTCTCCCAGGTCCTAATCCAGCACTCTAGCCACTCTCAGGAACTTCCTTTGGAGAAAGCACTTTCCCCCAGGATCCTGGACTTGCCATGTCCCTGAGCAGTCACTTTCCAGTCGCCATCAGCAGGTTCATCCTCAAAATGCTTTATTTGCCTTTTCAGCAAGTTTTAAACTTACCTGTCTTTCTCTCCTTCCAAAGCAACCTGAGCCCACATGAAATTAGAAGGAACGGCTTTGTCCTCTCCTCGTCTTCTTTGTTTTTTCTCTTTCGACATGCACATTTCTAGCTTCAGCAACAAAAACCCCCAACTTTCCGTTCATGAAATGACTTCTCTAGTTGCCTTTTAAAAGAAATGCCTTCTATTTTCCCCACTCATTTTCCCTCTTCTTTAAGTGGAGTCATATCCATGTACCCTTTCATATGCTCCTTCTTTTCATCCAAAGACTCATCAGTTTGAAAGGAAACTAAAACTTGATTCCCCCCTCCACATTCCTTCATTTAATCTTCACTTTCTCTTGGTTTTCCAGTATAGTATTTTTAATTTTCTTGATTCTCTTTAAAATCTCCATCTTGATATTTTTCTGAGGGTTTTTTTGGTCCATTTGAAGTCTGACTTTGTGTGCCTGGCAGTTCCTTCTGTTGGTCTGTGAAAAGCAATCCACATTTACTAGTTTCTCCCCAGCCCCATCCCACCAATTCCATGGAAAGAGTTTTTTGCTTGTTTGTTTGTTTGTAAAATACGTCCACCATGACTTCTGTGACTCTGCAGGAAGAGGTGGCTTCAGCTGAGTGTTGTGGGCTCTTCAGACACAACTGTAAAGAGAGGGTGTCGATGAGACGCACCTGGAAGAGACTGGGGTCTTCAGCACCTTTTCTCTCTCCTACAGAAACAGAAGACCAAAAACAGCAGGTTACCTAAAGCCGCGCAATCAAAATGCATGTTTCTCTCAATAATACACTGCTGGTTTTTACTTGATGTATTGAGAGCTCTTACTCACTTTGCATCTTAGGAGTTAACAAAACAGCTCTGCCTCAGACACAGTGAACTCTGCGACGTCTGTAAATCAGAAGATCTGGAACAAAAGAAAGAGTGTTGTCCCGTCCGCAAGTGTACCTCATTGTGGACTGACACAGGAAAAGGTCTTCTCTGCAGTGACATCTCGACAGTAGAAGTTACCTTGGAAACAGGAATGGCGGCCACCTGGCATCTTCAGTTCCCAGCTCATCTGAAAAGAATGACTGAATGACCAATATTGCTAAGTGCAAGCTTCTTAAGAACTTGTATATTTTATGTATTATTACATCAGTAACCTACCTTTTCTCCAGTGAGCTCATGGCCATGTGATCGTCCTTCTCCTGTGACCTGAAACAGTCTTTGCACAAAGAGTTGCAGAAGGAAGACAATATAAATTTTCTTCCCAGCGAAGCAAGCATGAGATACTCACCTAGATGTCCTCCACTCATAATATATTGCTATCATTGTGATGTAGCGTTTAGGGTTTACTTGTGAGTTATCTGAGCCTGTCATCGCCTCTGAATATTCAAGAGTACTTGGTAGTTACCTTCCTTCAGCTGCAATGGTCACTTCAAAGCGAGAAGTGACAGGCGAAGAGGATGTGAGGGCGATCTGGCTGCGATATCTGCCACCCCATTGATCGCCAGGGTTGATTTGGCTGATCTGGCTGGCTAGGCTGTGGTCCCCTACCCCCCTCACCGCTCCATGTGTGTCCCTCCCGAAGCTGCACGCTCAGTAGAAGAGGATGACCATCCCAGATAGAAGAACTGCACCATTCTTCGGTCAAGGGTATACGATAGCTTTGCTCCCCTGCTAGGACCTCCAAACAAGCTCAAGGTCCATTTGGAGGAGAACGCAGGGTAGTCAAGCTTCCAAGACTCCAGACACATCCAAGTAAGGTGCAGCAGTATGTATTAAATGGAAGATGCTGAGCATGTATTAAATTGGAAGATGCTGAGCAAAAAGTTTAGAGGTTCCACCAGGGGAGAACAGCAATTGTATACCCTTGACCGAAGAATGGTACACTCCTTCTACCTGGGATGCTTGTCTTCTTCCACTGAGCGCACAGCTTTGGGAGGGACGCACATGGAACGTTGAGGGACACAGCATAATTCATCCGCTTAGCGCATTTGTCCATGAAATCATAGGCCATGATTTTAGAATTATTACTACCACAGCCACATGACGTATCAGAGATAGGTTTACCTGCCCTGTTGCATAGTTACCTTTTGACGCCCGTTTCCCATTTACAGTATTATGTCATCTTGTCGTTGTTGCTGGAAAAGCCAGTCCTTTCAGTACAGCTCTATAACCTACAAGCATTCGTTCTGCCTCCACTGGAATCCTCCACTTGCAAGACACATTGGAGACATATTCCAGAGTTGAAGGCTCCATTTTAGGATGGGTAGATACGGAAGAATCCTTTATCGTAACAGGTCGCAAATCTTCTTGCCGCAACCTTAAAACGAATGAGGAATCACAGAGCACCATTTTGACTAGATATTTCCTCCCTAGTCAAGCAAGGGATACTCACCTAGATGTGGTTCAGTCACAGAGTGCCATTTTGACTGTTATTTTTTTCATGAAGCGCGTGGAGAGATTAAAAAAGAGAGACCAGTACAAACTCATTGCACTGAAAAAGATCACCGAGTAGTTGTATAAAGTTGTTTGTATAAAGTCAATGCTTTGTATTGTCTGAGCTATGTGCTAAATAGCTGTTCCTAGAAGATGCTTAGCAAAAATAAAATAAAATCCAAAAACCTTGGTTATTACCACCAAAGAACCACGTTACACATCAGGGATAATTTTGCCCGGCCTGTTCCATAGTTACCTTTTAAACTCCATTTCCCATATCTTTTCGTAATCTTGCCGGTTCTGCTGGAAAGGCTTAGTGGAGCTGATGTTCTAGTCTGCTTCCTCATCTGATCCTCACAACAACCCTGTGAGGTAGGTTAGGCTGAGAGATAGAGCGCTTCATGGCAGAGTGAGGATTTGAACTCGAGTCTTCCAGGTCCTAATCCAGCACTCTAGCCACTCTCAGGAACTTCCTTTGGGGAAAGCACTTTCCCCCAGGATCCTGGACTTGCCATGTCCCTGAGCAGTCACTCTCCAGTCGCCATCAGCAGGATCATCCTCAAAATGCTTTATTTGCCTTTTCAGCAAGTTTTAAACTTACCTGTCTTTCTCTCCTTCCAAAGCAACCTGAGCCCACATGAAATTAGAAGGAACGGCTTTGTCCTCTCCTCGTCTTCTTTGTTTTTTCTCTTTCGACATGCACATTTCTAGCTTCAGCAACAAAAAACCCCAACTTTCCGTTCATGAAATGACTTCTCTAGTTGCCTTTTAAAAGAAAAGCCTTCTATTTTCCCCACTCATTTTCCCTCCTCTTTAAGTGGACTTCATATCCATGTACCCTTTCATGTGCTCCTTCTTTTCATCCAGAGATTCATTAGTTTGAAAGGTAACTAAAACTTGATTCCCCCTTCACATTCCTTCATTTATCTTCATTTTCTCTTGGTTTTCCAGTAAAGCATTTTTAATTTTCTTGATTCTCTTTAAAATCTCCATCTTGGTAAAGTAATCTAACCTAAGATGGTTTCAGTTGCCTTTTCAAACCTGTTTCATCTTCCCAGCCTCCCTCTCCTAATCCCTCTGCCCCTTAACTCCTCAGCTCTGACCAGTGAGAGGGCTAACACCAGTACTATAGCCAGGGACAGGCTCACTCACTGGAATATGGCTCGCTCCTTCCGCCACCAGTAGGTCATAACCACACATAAAAAAGTCCCTTGCAGCATTAATACAGTGGGTACAAATGTCTTTATTTTTGACAGGGGGTCACTTCAGGGTTTTGATGGGAAATGAGTATTTTCTTTCCAAATTAATACATTCTGCAAATACAAGGGAACTGAATTTATAATCCACCCAAATCTCATGGATTACAAACTACAGGAACATGACCTGCACAGGAGAATAAGGGAAAGACTATGGGAAGAGGGGCTGGCTTGGATCTCAGTGGCCCCCATTGAATTCTATGGAGCAAAGCAAATGGGCTGTACAGTTGGAAAGTAATCTGGGGTACAGTTGGAAAGGACAGCAGTTGCTTCTCACTCCTATGTATGCACAACATTCTATGATAGAATGAATGAAGACTGGGTGCTTGTTTTTAAAAAAGTTGGCTTAAAAAGAAATAAAGTGGTGGTTAATTTTAAATTAATTTTAAATCATTGCTCCCGTTTGTAGCATACTGGTCGTCTTTCCCTTGAAAATTGCTTTGTTGAAATATAATACCTGGTTGGTGGATGAGAAGGGTTTGGAGTGACTGAAATACATGTAAGGTAAAGGTAAAGGTACCCCTGCCCGTACGGGCCAGTCGTGTCCGACTCTAGGGTTGTGCGCCCATCTCACTTAAGAGGCCAGGGGCCATAGATGTACAGCTCCACTAATTACAGAAGAAATTTCATTTCACTTTGAGGATTAAAAACCTCAGTGTTTGATGCTTAAGAATGCCTTGTGTGGTTTAAAGTTAAGTGCTCTTTTCTGTTCTATCTCTGTCTTAACTTTAACCGCCATGACATGATTGCATAATTATTGTAACTTGCAAAATTGGGTGAAATGTGTAGTCATTTTCCGGATAATCATCACTGAAGTTGGACTGTTGTTTTACAGGAAAGCAGTTAGAGGTGAAATTACCGTGTGAAATTACTTTGGATATGGTTTTATCCTGCTGTAACCACAGTTGTGTAATGCATGGCGTCATTAATCTATTTGCCATTGCCAATAGATTTAAAATTCTCCTAATCAAAAGCATTCATTTTAAAGGAATTTGCCTTGTTTGTTGCACTTCTTTCTTGCACTGGGCAAGGAAAACATTGCCACAGAGAGAGCAGAAGGCTGATCTATAAGATGGTAAACCGGTATTTTCCTTTAACATTTTAGCAGCCACTGGCCCACTTGAAAATGGGGGCTGACTGGTAGTATTCCAGATAAGCCCACACTTGACTTGTCTAGCTTGATATCCTAACTACATATAATGTGATTGCAATGAAAGGTTTTTGCTTGAGATGATAGCTTCTTTGCACAACTATTCAGTAGTTCCTCTTTTAATACCTGACAGGAAAATGTCAGTGACATGACAGATGATTTCTCACTGGGAGAAATGTTTCATTGGGGGTCCATCTGGTTCAGTGTTTATATTAGTGCACTCTGGGAGACAGCCAAGATTCGGAATACGGTGTTATTTTGCTCCGTGTTATGTGTAATTTTTTTGTTTGCCTGTGCAACAAATGTGTAAACTAACCACAGTTTCCTGTGACATCCACACTCAGAGATTTCTGAATTGACTGTAGTTAGTGAAAATAAGCCAGGAGCAAGCATGTTTTTATGTCCTGTTTTTTGTTGTTCTCAAATCAACTTACTTAGAGTAGGGAGCCAGGGTAATGCCATGCTGTGTGGCATCGGTTGCCAACAATGCCCATATATGCCCATAGAGGCCTTTCCCACTAAGTGTAGGAAGAACCTTCTGACAGTAAGAGCTGTTAGGCAGTGGAACAGACTCTCTAGGAGGGTGTTGGACTCTCCTTCCCTGGAGGTTTTGAAGCAGAGGTTGTATTGCCACCTGTCATGGATGTATTTTAGTTGAGATTCCTGCATCGCAGGCGGGTTGGACTAGATGACCCTCCGGGTCCCTTCCAACTCTGCAATTCCAATTCTATGAATGATGCCATTGTGGCTACTCCTAGACTGCAAGCCTAAAGCTGCCATCTTCTGTATACAAATTCATCCGTGGAATTGAGCTTCATGGCTGCAACCCTAAGCACAGGAACAAAGGAAGCTGCCTTATAACTGAATTAGGCCAGTGCTCCCATCTGGCTTTGTATCAATGACTGACAGTGTCTCTCTAAGGATTTCCTCCAGCAGCCATATCTGGAAATCTGTGACCTCCTCCCTACAACACACACACTCCACCACTGTGTTATAGCTGTGCCCCCAAAGCACACTGGCCAGATCACTGGGACTTCCTTCTAAGCAGAGTTAGGGTCAAACTGCACTTCCCATGATCAGGGGGAAAACAAAGGGCCAGGTTGCCAGGGCTGGAGTCAGATGCAGGTCAGCACAAAGAAGCAAGGCCAGTTGTCAGTGCTCAGCCAACTTTTTATTCAAGGAAATGAACATACAACTCAGCCACACTTCCCAGTAGGTCTTGGCCCGGTGGAGCAGTTGTCAGGACTGAGGTCCCTGCCTTTTAAGGCTCTTCCTCTCCCAAGCAGTCTCAAACAGCATCTGAGCATCTTTGGCCTCTGTTCCACTCTCCTCATTATTCTGTGCGTTCTTGGAGACAAGGCTGGAGGGGAGCTTGTCGCAGCAGGAGAGGGAGACTCCCTGGATTCCTCATCAGTCTCTTGACGCCCCTCCTCTGCTTCAGCCTTGGAGTCTGAACTGCTTCCTTCCACAGGTTCTTCCTGCTCACTAAACTTTGTTGCCCTTCAGCATCCAGCTCCTACTCCCTCTGACCTCCCCTCACTGTCCCTTTCCCAATCCCCAGGCTCTGAGCCTTCCTCCTCTGAGGTCTCCCTTGGGGGTTCCCTGACTGATGCCTCCCACTACTCCTCATTGTGCAGCCAGTCTGAGACACAGACTGAATAATAGCACTTACTGCAACTGCTTCCCTAGATTCTCCGAATTACAGTGATACCTCGGGTTAAGTACTTAATTCGTTCCGGAGGTCCGTTCTTAACCTGAAACTGTTCTTAACCTGAAGCACCACTTTAGCTAATGGGGCCTCCTGCTGCCACCGTAGCACAATTTCTGTTCTCATCCTTAAGCAAAGCTCTTAACCTGAAACACTATTTCTGGGTTAGCGGAGTCTGTATGCAACCTAAAGCGTATGTAACCCGAGGTACCACTGTACAGTAATTGATCTCTCTGCTTATAATGGCCACTGCCACATGGCTTAAAAAAGAAAGAGGATACTGTATATATGCTGTATATAGATCCACATTTAAAAATGATTACTACAATACTGAGTCATACAATGTAGACCCTTTGGTTTCGGTGAAACTGAGTATGAATTAGCTGGATGCATTATTTTAATGTATGACTAATGTTAGATATCACCCTATAATTTTTATAGAGGAATACGATACATCTCACTGTAGTGGGGAGGACCAGGGCCTGTGTGCATCTGCTCAGTCTTCTGCCAAGGGGCTGGCTGCTGATGGGCAGTTCCTGGGCCCCTGCTTTCCTTCTTTACTTTTAAACCAGATTTGGAATGGACAGCCATTCAAACAGAGGACATCATACAGAGAACTGCCACCTGTCCTTATTCTGCCACCTGTCCTTATCCTAACCTTCTGATAGCCCTTCAAATGGACACAAGTCTTCTCCAAAGGAGGACACTGACCACCCTGTCTTTGCCCTGCTTGTTCTGCTAATGTGTGCATGTGGTACCAGTTGCTCTGTCATGGAGACCTTGTCCATTTTCCACATAAATAGGCTGCATTTTGTGTGTGTTGTTTCCTAAACAAATGAAGATGTGAAGTTAGACTCTCTTTTAAAAAGTACTAGGGATGTAGTGAGACCAGAGGGATATCACCCGGCTGTGAGTCGTGAAGGCCGCTCCCTGCAAGGCCCTTTCCACCTGGCCTAGGGGGCGGGGCCCACACTCACCCACCTCTACCCAAGTGGTTCCTGGGGAGACCAGAGGGACATCGCTATGCCTGACAACAAACCCTAACTATTGGATTCTTTTGTCCCATCTTTTGGTGCCTGCTAAACAGCCGTGCCTTATACTCTTTATAAGAGTATATACTCTTGTTAATTATGCTGTTTGAAATGTGCATTTTATATTTGACTTCACTTAGCAATGTTTTTTCTTTTGAAATGTTTGGGGGTTTTTTTTGTCAACTTTGTCTTAAATATGTGTTCTGTGGTTGACCTCTTTTGTAATGTTTTATTTTGAAATCTTTAATATTGTAGTTTTCTGTTAATTAAGTTGCTTTCGCGGTATGCTCTATATCTGACTTTCTTCAGATTGTTTTCTTGATGTTTTAATATTCTGTAAACTGCTTTGAGATTTTCTTTTAAAATATAAAGTGGTATAGAAATGAAATGAAATGAAATGAAATAAATATATTAGTGGCAGTGAGGGCAGGTATATAGACGATAGCAATATCTGGACAGGGAAGGATAGCCTGGATGTGACGGGTTGTGTTTTGGTAATTTCAAGACTTGCTTATTGCAATATACTGTTGGGTTGAAATAAACGACAGACGAATGACAAGTGTCATATGGGAGGCATCTGCCGAGCATGTCTCGGGGAGTCCCTTTTATTGAATATTACAGCATTGCCACATATGTGCTTGTTGCTGATTGGTTAACACAAATACAATGCAAGGGTTGTATATAGGCATTAATCATCAATAGATTAAAGGTTGGGAAAGGGAACACATGGTTGGACAGGTATGAAAACCTCCTTATTAAACTATTACTAGTGATTGATATTGCAAAACTTAAAAGAGCATAACAATCGCATTCCGTAGATGTGGTCAACCATGCATTAAGAACAGGTCAGGGTACGATGTTTCATGAACTCAATGTGAACTGAACATTCTAGGGCGGGTGAGGAAAGGAATGCTTCAGTTTAGAGCGGTTTGCCAGACTCATGTGCAGAAGCAGAACTTCCCATCAATATACTCTTTGTAGGGTTGTCTGGAACCTCCTCTTGTGCACAATACTGCAGCTATATTTGTCAATAGGGACAGACTCCTGCCAGCACTTAACTCCAGTGCTTAAAAAGCTTGCAGTGGCTGCCAATATTACCAGGGCAATTTCATGTATTGTATTAATTTAAAACCTTCATAATATTTTGAGGACAACCTGAGTCCTTATATCATTTCTTACACATGCTAACGATTCAGTATATAAATGCCTGGAGGAAAATAAACATGAAAACTGGGACAGTAGACAGACCACCCCACATTAGGTTTGAATCATGATTTACTTCTGCATTGTTTTCTCTCATGCCCACTGTTCATATTTGTCTCCATGTCTTCTAGCAATGGATTAAGAGTAATTACACTGGTGCCTCTAGTTACGAACTTAATTTGTTCCGGAGGTCCGTTCTTAACCTGAAACTGTTCTTAACTAGAGGCGTGCTTTTGCTAATGGGGCCTCTTGCTGCCGCTGCACCGCCAGCACACGATTTCCGTTCTCATCCTGGGGCAAAGTTCTCAACTCGAGGTAACTCTTCCAGGTTAGCGGAGTTTGTAATCTGAAGCGTTTGTAACCGGAGGCATTTGTAACTCGAGGTACGACTGTACACACTATTAAGGTATTATTCTCGCTAGCTAGTTTACATGAAGAAAATGTGCCTTTCCCCAAATGATCTGCTACATTTATCCGTAAATATCACCTCAATATAATTCCTGGACTTCTGTAGCGTAATTTGTTGTTCTGCCCTTAGATACCCCCCTCCCTTTGGTTCATGAAGGAGGGGGGGTGTTGGGAGAGGCCTATTGTCACTTGTGTCCTGTGAAGAACCCTGCACACTTCTGATATTGAGGACGTGTTAACACGGCAGCATGAGCGCATGAAGTTTGGCATCGAGGTGCATTGTGGGAATGCGCGCCAGTGGAGAAAATGGCACAGTGAAAATGTTTAGTTACCAAAAAAAGAATAAGTCTCCATAGATTTGTTGCAATAGGCTTTAAGAACGGGGGCAGCAGTGGGGATCAAACTTTCCAGTGAAAAGGAACGCATTATTATTACTTCAAGCCATACAAGTCAAACAACAATTCTCAGCAAAAAACAAGTTTTATTGGGGGGGGGACCCACAATTTAACAAAAAAAAAACCCCAACACATTTATTTCTTCATCGGGCTAAAAGTTATTGCTCAGTAACACACACTAATTTAGGAGCAGCCAAAGTGATGCCCCTCAGATGTTGTTGGACTTAAACTCCCAGTATGCCCAGTGAGAATGGCCAGTGGTCAGGGATGATGGGAATTGTAAGCCAACTGGAAAGCACCATGCAGGCTACCCGGGATAATTCCTATTAAAAAACTAGAAATCTCATCTTACTGTTCAAAGCCTCTAAATGTGAATCAGAAAACAGTGAGTCAAACCACCCCCTTTTAAAAAAAAAAGTTACAGCGTAGGTCAGGCTAGTCTTCAGAAGCTCAGGCCTGTTTCATTCACAAAAGTATCACAATGAAGGTGCTGTGAAAATACTTGGGTGGCAGTGGCTTCACATGGTATAAAAGCTGTTTGCCCTGTTGTTTGTGCAACTGTAGAGATCTATCTCCGCTTTGTGGCCAGGAAAGTCCATGCAGACAGTCATATATCCATTACAGCCATTCAGTTCCAAGCATGTTCCTGGCAAATAGTATTTGACTGCCAATATACATGAAACTTCCTTCACTTTGATTCAAAAACTTAGATTATGAGGACTCTTGAAACAGCTTAACCACAATAAATGCCTTTTCCAAGATACCCGCCCTTATATAAACCAACTCCTGAAGGGGCGACACCAACTTCAATGAAATGGCATTAAATATATCCCTTTGGCTACTGGTTTGCACATTTTTACCATTTGGACCACAAAAGCAGTAGAATGTTTGTGAGCTTGCTAGTTCTTGGAAATCGATGTATCACACACAACTTTTTATGAAGCTGGGTAGATTAATTTTAATGGCAAACTACAGTATGTGATTAAGACCCTTTCAGTCTTAATGATTTTAGAGGGAAAAGGACATTAAGTCATCAACATCATCTCTGAAGTCAAATTGCAAATGAAATATTTAAGACACCTGATACAATTTCCAAGTTGTTTCCAAATGCAAACACAATTATGCACAAAATACTGGGCTTGAAAAGCTTGAAGGCCTGTTTTCCATAATGTACCATGAGTAGATCACATATTTGGTTTGTCACTGCGCTCGTGGGGTTTTCTACTGCTGTAGTTTCCTACAGGCGTAAACTTGAGTGCCCACAATTGAAAAAATATATAGCCCACCAAAGTTTAATGATGATTAATAAGGAAAATTGTGGCTTTTAAAGCCAGAAGAGAAGCAACCAATCTTTAAAACAAGGTGATGACATGGTAACTTGCACTGCCATTACCAGCAGGTACTGAACCTGGCAAAATAATAATTGCCAGCACACAATTCTCCACTTTTACATTGTTCAACCTCACTTATTTTAAAGCTTCGTAGCCAAAGTATGAGAAATCAATTAAAAATATATTACTGCAAATGCATAACACACATAAAACACCAAACTATACTTTAATGCCAGATATCTTTATGCTGGCAAGAGACTTAAGTAATAAAAATGGCCCGCATATATTAACAACTTAGCTAACTTATTTTGCGTATGTACATTTTTTTCAGCAATCAGTTGACACTGTACTGATCTACAACTACTAACCAATGAAAAAGTTAAGAAACTCAAAAAAACTAGTCTACTTCAAGAGCTCCGGAGCCGATATATTAATCATTACATACTGAATTGTTCCATACGTGGAGACTTCACAATCCAAGACCCAAAACCATGCTGCTCCAGGTAGGTTTTCAGCAAATATTTCGCTCCTTGGTAGGACTCTGCCATAATCTAAATTTTAAAAGTTCAATTAATAATTTAACAGGGAAGTTGGTATAAAGAAATCCTCACAATGCGTTTTGAAAGTTTGTGTACGGCAAGCTTGTTGAAATACAAATGCTCCAAAAGGCCTATTTATCTCTAATAAAATCATTATTAATAATAATTATCATCCAAAAATCACAGGGCGGTACACAACATAAAAACACAAAATACAATTTAAGAAATGAAAACCAGTAACACCCCCCCCCCCGCCACAAACATATTTAAAAAGACATAAATTGCTTAATCTGCCAAAGGACTGGTTACAGTGAAATGTTTTCACTTGGTACCTAAATAAGGTGACAAGCAAGCCTCCCCGGGGAGAGCACTCTTGCTGGGTAGGGGAGCTGAAAATAATGTCAATATATTTCACATCTGGCAACCAATGCGCCCCTTGGGTTTCATATAGTACATGGGTAAAAAGGTAAAGGGACCCTGACCATTAGGACCAGTCGCAGACGACTCTGGGGTTGTGGTGCTCATCTCGCTTTACTGGCCGAGGGAGTTCAGCTTCCGGGTCATGTGGCCAGAATGACTAAGCCGCTTCTGGAGAACCAGAGCAGCGCACGGAAATGCCGTTTACCTTCCTGCCAGAGCGGTACCTATTTATCTACTTGCACTGCGTGCTTTTGAACTGCTAGGTTGGCAGGAGCAGGGACCGAGCAACGGGAGCTCACACCGTCGTGGGGATTTGAACCGCCAACCCTCACGGCCTTTTAGCAGCTGTGTGGCTCATTTAGCGGAATTATTGTATTTAGCACTAACTCTGGAAGTTTACACTCAATTCTGATCCAACTAAGCCTCCTGTCAGGAGTGCACATTCTCCTACCCCACTAACCTATACAAACTGCCTTTAACCCCAGCCCCAGCCCTTTCTACAGTTCAAAGCTGAAGAGGGCACAAGGATCTATCAGCTACTTTATCATGCTATTCCTATCTTTTAAATACAAGATGAAAGCCAATTTAACACATTGGTTAAAGCAGATGGATAGATTACTAAATTTCTTCCCTGTATCATGGTAAACAAATTACTGATGTGCTCTTGTTCTAAAATACAATAGAACCATGTATACTACTGAATTACTTTCCAAATTAATGAATAGTATTGAACTGTGACCTTTAGATTAACAGCTACTCAAATAACAAGATCTAGGATACTGTTTCCCCTTGCTAAAACCAAACCAATTCTGAACTCAGTGAATGAACAAAATAGAATTCACGAGATCTGCACTTACAGCAAGTTTCCTTTCATCAAGTCTTACCTTTGCTTCGTGGTACGTGCCCGCTTTAAGTAAATCATCTCTCTTTGATTCTTTAACCACTAAATTGAAACGACTTAACATTGCGGCCTTGCAAAGACGACTTGCCATCGAAATGCCACTTTTGAAGGGTGAACTAGGTATGAAAAATAGTGATGATAAAGAGCACACTAGTGGTTATTTGTCTGAATTCAACTAGTTATAGAGAGCAAAGTTACTGAAAATCCTTAACAGGTTTTAGGGTCACGTGGAAAACTAGAAGCCTCTGTTTCAAAGTTATTTTATAGAATGCATAACCAAGATTAAAAGTAAAGGTAAAGGACCCCTGACAGTTAAGTCCAGTCGCAGATGATGCTGGGGTTGTGGCGCTCATCTTGCTTTACAGGCCGAGGGAGCCGACGTTTGTCTGCAGACAGTTTTTCCGGGTCATGTGGCCAGCATGACTAAGCCACTTCTGGCGCAATGGAACACCAAAACCAGAGCAGTGCACGAAAACGCCGTTTTCCTTCCCGCTGGAGCGGTACCTATTTATCTACTTGCACTTTTTGGTGTGCTTTCGAACTGATAGGTTGACAGGAGCGGGGACCGAGCACATGAGAATAACTTCCCACTTGTTTTGAACAGAGGACAATTAAGCTAAGGTGCTTCTTTCAATTTAATGTACTTTTTGTTATAAACATTTACCTTTCTGTGATCTTCCCATTTAGCCCATCTACGACCTCCAACGACAGGTCTCCTTGGGACCAATTCAAACTAAGAGATCTGCGTTCCAAGTCTACCTGTACAGCGCAAGCAGCAGATACCAAGCTAATGCGAGGTTTGTTCACCATGTAGAACATGGGCAGTTTTGAAGTGAGAGCATCATCTACCCGTTGTTTGATAGCTATTTCCAGTCCTCGTGTATCATGGCAGTTCCCATCCCCTAAAAACATTAAGAACCACACCAAATATTTAGAGAAGATCAAGGCATGCTTCTAGACTCTGAACCTTTGCTCTATGGAGATGTACAGTTACCATTCACACTCTGCTTTAAGCCCCATTCCCATAGAACATTAGTTTTCAGAAGTTAACAAGACATGTAGCACACTGAACGCAGATACTAGGAAACAGCCAGTGTTTCAATATTTAATATTGACTGAAAGAAGAGACTCAAGTCTAAACACACAAGGTGCATACTGGATGTGCACTAGGAAGTTTACCACGTAACACTGGTCTTGAAAGACCTACATTGGCTCCCAGCACGTTTTTGAGCACAATTCAAAGTGTTGGTGTTAACCTTTAAAGCCCTAAACGGCCTCGGCCCAGTATACCTGAAGGAGCGTCTCCACCCCCATCGTTTTGCCTGGACGCTGAGATCCAGCGCCGAGGGCCTTCTGGCGGTTCCCTCATTGCGAGAAGCAAAGCTACAGGGAACCAGGCAGAGGGCCTTCTCTGTAGTGGCGCCCGCCCTGTGGAACGCCTTCCCATCAGATATCAAAGAGAAACAACTACCTGACATTCAGAAGCCATCTTAAGGCAGCCCTGTTCAGGGAAGTTTTTAACGTGTGACATCTTAGTGTATTCTTGATCTTTGTGGAAGCCGCCCAGAGTGGCTGGGGAAACCCAGCCAGATGGGCAGGGTACAAATAATAAATTATTATAATATTATTATTATTACACCAAGTGCAGCTTTCTACCCTGTGCATAAGTGTGCACAAACATGGAACTCTCTCTCAAACATTACTGGAGTTCACAATCAGAAATGGCAGAGAGGTGATATTTTCATGCAAAGGGTACAGAATAAAAGTACAAGCACCATGCGAGTGTAGCATACAGATGAACTGATTTCATGTCAATTGGCCCAGAGATTGGATAGACTTAGCTTTCAACCTGTAAATCAAAATTTTTCAAAACTATGTTTTGATATCTTGAACTACAGTTCCCATCAGAGCTATGGGAACTGTAACCCATGACATCTGGAGGGCACTAGGTTGTGAAAGGCTTTTAAAATGTCGTTTTATATTTTAGTACTGAATTTTGTAAGCTGGTTAGATACTTTGAATAGAAAAAAGATAGGACATTTATCAAATTTAAAGCTAAATTTCATGTCACTGTATGTTTCAGAAGCTGTTCTGTTTTGGGGACCACTTAACAACCCAACAGACAAGCGTGAAAGTATGTGATTTGTTATGATGCATTTTAACAGAATTTAATAAGTAGAAGTCACTCACTTACCAACAATGATCCTGTTAACATAAACGGGCTGAATGAAGTGACTTAGCAGGGCTCCCTGAACACCCAGTACTTCCCATCTTGTCAGTTTGTCACTAGCAGACATGCTGCTTATTCTAGAAATTTCAGCAGGACAGTAGACCGTGAGATAAACCTTGCCTTCAACAGCGACATGAAGGCACAGTTCCTCATCAGCTTCAAATGCAGATGCAGAATTGGGACTGAGGCGTCTATAATTAAGTATATAGCACAATAATTAAGATATAGCAGTTTCCCCAGTCATAGCAAAATAGAAGTCAGCCTCTAAGTGAATGCCTTTATACCAGGGCTTTTTTTCAGCCAGAACTTGACGGAACTCAAGTTCTAGCCCCTCTCAGGGACTAAAGGTAGCTGGCAAGGCTCCTTTTGTGCTAGGTCAACAGCTCAAAGAACTATGGTATCTTTGGCTAATAGGGAGCTATCAGCAGTATGTGATTTCCTTCCAACTGACCTTTTCCTAGCACCCTGGCAAGCAATAGCATGCTAATACAGTGGTACCTCAAGTTACATACGCTTCAGGTTGCAGACTCTGCTAACCCAGAAATATTGCTTCAGGTTAAGAACTTTGCTTCAGGATGAGAACAGAAATCGTGCTCCGGCAGTGCAGCAGCAGCAGGAGGCCCCATTAGCTAAAGTGGTGCTTTAGGTTAAGAACAGTTTCAGGTTAAGAACAGACTTCCGGAATGAATTAAGTACCTAACCTGAGGTACCACTGTACATGGAAACATACATAACAGGACAGGCTCCACATTCATAACTGCTGTCACAATCCCAATATCAATTATTTCTTTCAAGAGGACCCCTTCTCAACCACTAGGAAGCTATGCCAACAAGGGAGATCTTTTAAGGCTTGGATTCTGTAACAGCTAGTCTTCATCTTCAATATGAACGGAGCCAGTTTGGGGAGGCAGGGAGCTCCTCTCCAAGATGGAAGCAGGTGGTGCCCACCAAAAAGTGCCCTCTATTCCTGTGGAATGACTGGTTCACAGCCCAGAAAAACCTACTGTAAATGGGTAGAAGTCTGCATACATACATACATACATACATACAAAAGCAAAACATGTTTGGTAATAATTGGCTAATTGCATATGAGTTAATTTATCAAAGAGAGTTCTATCCCTTCAGTTGTGAACAAAGCACTGTAAATTTACACTACAGTGGTGCCCCGCAAGACGAATGCCTCGGAAGACAAAAAACTCGCAAGACGAAAGGGTTTTGCGGTTTTTGAGGTGCTTCGTAAGACGAATTTCCCTATGGGCTTGCTTCGCAAGACGAAACGTCTTGTGAGTTTGTTTCCTTTTGAAGCGGGAACTGGGCTGGCAGGGAGCGAGCGAGGAAGCGACCTACCTTTTCCAGAGGGATCCTCTTCTGGAGAGGGCACAGAGGAGGCAGGTGGGCTGGGATCCAGCGGATCTGGCTGGGTCTCTGCGCTGCTGCCGCCTCTGCCTCTCTCCCCCGCTCCCCACATGGCTGCTCCATTTTGCCCTAACTGCGCGAAGGCAGGAGGAGGCGGGACAAAGGAGGAGGAGGAGGAGGCATCCACTGCGCTTGGGCTGCCGCGAAGGCGCCTTTGCGGGGATGGGAAGAAGCCTGGAGCAGCTGCCGAGACTGTGGGGAGCCCAGCGGCGTGGCGCAAGGTAACGGGGGGAGCAAGGGAGAGTCCGCGCCGGGCGTTTCGTGCGTCCGCCCTCGGTTCCTGGGCTCGAACTTCCATTGGCACCTCGTGGAGAGAGAGGGAGAGGAGCGGGCTGGGGCTTTGATGTGGGACGCGGTTTGGCGGAGCGAAGACGCCGCAAGGCTTGGCGACAGAGGAAGGGGGGCTGTTTTCGTGGGGAGGTGGGAGGGGGTGTTTGCCTCTTCCCGGCAACAGATCCTCCAGGCTGGGGAAACCCCTCCTGCTGGGGAGCGACCCGCTTTGTGCTTTGCCCGCTATCCCATTATAATACAGTACCAGGGTGCATCCGTGCTTCGCAAAACGAAAAAATCCACAAGACGAAGAAACTCGCAGAACGGATTAATTTCGTCTTGCGAGGCACCACTGTAACTCAGTGCTTGGGGAAAATCAAAAGATAGATGTTTGAAGCTGTGAAAATAAAATTAACAGCTATCTGTATGAACTGGGCTTCACTTAAATTTGATTTTGCATCACTTCTACGCTACTCTCCTTTTTTCTTTTCAGTAGGTTGGCCTTCCAATAATCGTAACTGCAAACCTCTGTGATAATGTGTTACAAATCAGACTAATCAATATTACTTTCTTGTGCAGCAAATACAATGTAAAACCATCTTAATGAGAAAAACGCATCTGCATGAATTAAACTTTATAATGTTGGAATGTCTAATACTTACAGCCTGGACTTAATCTGAGCAGATCCTTTTGGTAACTGATTCATGTAGAGAAATATGCTTACGTTTGGTTTTAGCGCAAGCAAGTTTGAAGATGGCTCAATGCAAAATATGGACTTATCCATCATGGCAGCATTTTTACTGTAGTAGAGCAAAAGCTGTCTATAAAAATACCTTGAAAGAAGCATAAGTATTTCAGATACAACACAGGATGCATTTAAAATCTGTATTAGAGAAACCAGGAGGAACACAAAACTTTTAGTGTCAAATTACTTTTAGAGTAAAATTACATATTCCCAAGAATTAGCTGGCCCCGGAAGAGCTGGTCTGAGGCCCGGGGTGGGAGTCCCCAGTTGGCTGGGAGGCCCAGGGCATTCTTGGCATGAGAGTTTAAGTCCAATAGACCCCTGGTATGGGTCCCTGACCAGTTTAGCCCTCCAAGGCACGGCACAAGTGTACCGGCAGCAGTTTTAATTTGAGAAAAAGCAGCAGCGTTATTTATTTTTTTACCTAAGAAGAGAGCGTCTTGCAGTAACAACAGCATGAGAGTCATGCAATATTCTCCCATCTGGATGACCACATTGACTATAGTTGAATTCACCTGTTCCGATAGCGACCACCTCATGCTGTCTAACTAAAAACAAACAAACAAAACATTTGAGAAATTTAGTTGCCCATTTTGGAATTCAGCTTTATTTTTATTCAATGATATTTTTAGAGATACGTGCTAGAGCAAGGGGTGCAAAACTGAATTTGAAGAAAGGACTGGGGCCACAAGCTGTCAGCTCCCTGTAGGCCAGTTTGACAGGCCTATCCATCACCTAACATCATACGTAAAATGCAAGCCAGGCAATACAGTGGTACCTTGGTTTACGAACTTAATCTGTTCTGGAAGTCCGTTCTTAAACCAAAGCGTTCTTAAACCAAGGCGTGCTTTCCCATAGCAGCGGGGGACTCAATTTACAAATGGAAATGGCACACACTCAACAAGATGTGGAACATGTTGTGCTTCCAAGGCAAAGTTCACAAACCAAAACACCTACTTCCGGGTTTGCGGTGTTCTTAATCCAAGTTGTTCATAAACTAAGCTGTTCTTAAACCAAGGTACCACTGTATGTCCCAAATTCCTAAGCAACAGCACCTCTCAATATTTCCTTTTGAATTTGACGCTAGATCCTCACCAGTGCCACGCCTGACTTTCAGTGATGAATGAGTGAGCATGGTTTGAGCCAAACCACATGACTGTGGGGGGGGGGAATAGGGTGGCTTTATGGGAACCGGAAGTTGCCACTGCTGCCCTAGAGCAATTTAAACAACAACAACGTTTGTGCTTACCTCTTTCAATTATGAAAGCAGCCAGCGAACTGCTACAACTCTGGTACTCTGGATATTTAGCAGTCAAACTGTTGAATGTTTCCCTGACAGCTTGAGAAATTTTTTCATACGCAAGATGCAGCCCTTCTAGTAAAGTTATAAAGATAAAGCAAAGAATCAAAACCAACTGTTTAGAAATATTGGAGATCATCACTAAAGGGGAAAAATAGTGTGAATGAATGTTTATTCTCCTTGGTATAAGGAGGAAGTGTGGAATGGTAAATCCTTCTCTTGGGAGCCCACAGAGTGTACTTCAAGTAAGAATATTTCTTAAGAATATACAGGTAGTACACAAGCAAGCTTATCTTTACACAACAGCTCTTCCATGCCATTCACTAGATTATGTAGCCTACTGCATCTCTGGTTATATCACCAATAATTGTTGTTTTTAGTTGACCCAAAACAAAGCAAAAATGAAAAAAAACGGAGTGATAGCTAACTTGAGATGCCACAACGAAGTTCCATCTTTATAAGCCTAACAATTCTACACTTTATACAGCGATCACCAAACCAACCTCTGCAGATGTTAAGGCACCAATGAAGGTCTTGCTTGGCACCCCAAGCGCTGGGTTAGTGGCTCACGAGTAAACTGTGCTATGGAAACAGCAGTTTATTTGCTGATAAAAAATGAACATGCACAACCATACATTTGACCGAAAAACAGAAAATGCCTACCATAAGGAAGCTTTGAAATGTAGCTAGCTTCAGCTGTTCTTTGAGGTTCAGTTACGGTTGTAGTTTCTGAAAGATTCCTGGGAGGACCTGCAAAGATACCAAATTGGAAAAAATGAGAAGATAACAACCTAACATGTTACTTAAGAGAAATATATGCTCCTTTAACCAATATATGCTACAAACCAACACAACTGGTCTCTGGAATAGTCAAAGTACCCCACACATCAGCTGTCTGCAATACAACTAGACCAGGTGGGGCCAAAACTTTGGAATATTCCGACAAACATCATAGACACTCTGAAGATTCAAAAACATGGCAGTGCTACTTGAAACGGGGGCAAGAAGATACAGTACTATCTGCCACTCTTTTCAGTATCCCCAGCGCTAGGGTCCCAATACAGAATAAAAGATTGGGTTAGTCTACGATAACGTTATTCCCCCACCCCTGAACCTGACAGTGAAGAGACAAACATCATAGTAGCAAAAGTACCTGGATTTTCTAGAGGTTTTGGTTCTGTCTCATCTAACTGCAGTAATTCATCAAGAGCAAGTTTTGCGGCATTGGATTTTGATTCCTTCTTGTTTTGCCCCAATCCAGTCTTATACTGAATGCCATCAACCACAGCACAAAATGCAAAGTATGATCCCAAGAGATTACCTTAAAAAGTGCCACAGGAAATCTTTTTTTAGATAAATGCAACTGTAAAAGTTTTATATTATTATAATTTATGAATATTGCATTTCACCAAATTTGAATTCCGTTGTATCTAATAGCTCAATATTGGTAGAAAACCAACCATTCCAGGGATATGCAGACAGCGCTGCTCTTTCCTAATCTTCATTCTCCAGCCAAACCAAGCCGTAACTATCATATCATTGTGACACCGAACTTCAAGTATGAAATAAATTTGAATATTGTTTTCATTTCCAATTTAAATTGGGTTCCTAATCAGTTATTTGGGACTGTCAAATGACAGAAACTTCTTCTAGATAAATGTTTTAGACATTTAGATACCAATTCCCAGCATTATGACTTATGCTTTGCATTTCTAGAGTAGGGAATGAGGATACTAAGTTGCAACCAAGCAAAGGCAAGTGACCTCTCCAACATTTTATGAAGCAATGGCGGTAGCACAGGAAAGGCTGCAAAATATCTAAATGGCAACCAAGGAATAGCATGTCATGGGTCGATTTTAATCAAGTTGTGCAGCCATTGAAATAACAGAGGAACCAAACTAATATTATATGGCAGCTTTGAATGCCACCTATTAAACAGCACCTGTAATGTCCCAGTACTAGAATAGAGTGGATTCCCAAGAAAGTGATTTTATTTAATATATATATATATATTTACCTGTTGCTACTGTTTCCTTTAATTCAAGCTGTACGCGCTGCATTTGTGCAAACTGATGCAAAGCAGACACTGGGTTTATATCCCCTCGTTTATATTTTGTGACAAATTCCTTCGGAATTTTCTTGGGAGGAAGCGAAGTGATTGGAACAATGGGTCCTGCTTTGGAATATAGGCAGTCAGGAACTTGACCTAAAATGCATTAGTTGATAATAGCATAAGTCAAAATATTTGCTTGGCAGCTTTTGTCAGTTCATTTTTGGCTATTCAGGAAGTGCTTCTTCACCTTATCAAAGGCATCATGACATTTTTCAACTTTTTGAAAGCTATTTTTATTTTCAGGGTTGTTTGTTACTTTATGAAGGTTTTAAATATGAAATTTATGTGGTATTTCACCCAATGAACAAGGTAATGAGAGCCAATCAGGTGGAGTGGGATTGAACTGTAGACTGCTTGCACATAAAGCCTATTATGGATACTGGGGAATTCTTGGGATATTTCCACATATAATTAAGGGACTTCAGGCACTTTACAGACTAACATTTAAAAAGAAAGACACAAATGTGGGGCTGTTAAAGAACTGTGAACACAATCCCATAGCAATGCATCTAGATTCCTTGTCTCAATAGAGGTTTTAATTATTAAAGCAAAAACATATATTAAAACCAATAAAACATGATGAAGCATTGAGATATTAACTGGAAGATCTTTGAACAAGTAGCTTTAAGATAAGCAAAAGCAATGTTCTCTCCACACATTTCTTCTGAGTCTCCAAAAATTTTGATTTCACAGGTATGCGGTCTTAAGAGGTATAAACTCACACAACATTCAGATGGCCAATGAGTATCTTTTCTTTTGGCCAGACCGGTGAAGAAACCTTGCTGTTAAAAGCAAAAACGATTTTGGAGAACAAAAACAAATAGCAGCAGCAGAAATTTGGAAGAGCACAGGTTAAGACCAGCAGAGTAAGTTAAAAATGCTAATTTGGCTGCGATCACATCAGACATAGGAAATAGCCTTATTTGAAACACATTTGAAACACTTATGCCACTTTAATAATTATGGCTCACCCGGCCTACCCGAAGTGTGGAAATGGTAGTAGTTAAGGGTACTGGAAACTGTAGCTCTGAGTGCAAAACTACAGTTTGTAGGATTCCTTGAGCAAAGGCATGGCAGTTAAAACAGTATTAAAAGGGCTCTAAAATATGTCGTGCAGAAGTGACATAACTCTGACAGCCTTGGACAGCAGGGCAACATCTGGAGAGGCCAGGGCACACCACCTCCAGATATTTTGGCCAGCATTTGGCCACAAAGAGAGGGAGGGGGGGACAGTGGGTTACAAATTATTCAAGAAAACTGCCAGAAACTGCCTTTTCCTCCAGACAGAAGCAAAATCCTTCAGATACTCCCAACATAACAGGAAAAAAGCCTTCCAAGGCCGTCAGCCGAAAACGACTGTTTACAAAAACCAATATGATTACCTGAGATGTTCGTCACCTTGGAAGCCAAGGTGGAAATGTTAGACGTTTCTGCCGGTAAAAACATAGCTTTGGCGCTCTCTGCCTGCGGAAACAAGGGAGCCGAGGCCTGCAGAGAAGGTTGCGGCGGCGGCTGGGCGGGCAGGTTCTTCTTCAGCATTTGGGCAAAGCTGGGCACTCGGGATGCCTGGGGCCAGTCGCTCGCCATCTTGCCCCGACCTGGAAACAAAAGCAGGAGTTATTGCCAGAGATTCAGGACTGCTGGGGCGTGTGGGCCCAGCCTTAAGGACACCTGCCCGCTCCTAGTAACGCAATAAGGAGGAGGGGGAAAGGAACCCAAACGCCACTGACTTGACCAGACCTTCCTCAGAAAATGATTTAAACCGACAACAAAGGTCAAACACACGATCCTTCCACAGACAAGATGGCGCAGCGATGCGCCGGGCCTGTAGGCCTCCCTTCCGGAGCCACGGAATGACGCCACCTTGGCCCAACGGAACGCAGCATCCTTCGGGTCAAACCAACCAATTCCAACAGAAGCCGGGCGCGCAGGCTGCAAAGAGGGGCATGGCTGCTCAAGCTCTCGAAGCGCTTTTCGCAGTTCCACAACAACCGCCCGAGGGAGAACGCCCTCGCGCCAGGGTGCGCCACTCGCAGGGCCCACACATAACACAGACGGCTTGCTTCCTTGGTCTCTCCCCCCCTACATCCACCATCGTCCTAGCGGCTCCTGCAGCACCACAAATACTCAATGGTCACTGGCGCCCCTGAAGTGTGTGTGGGGGGGGGTTTGGGGACATTTATTTATTATTTCTTCAATTATTTACATCTATATACAGTGGACGCTTGGGTTGCGAACGTGATCGGTGCGGGATGCATGTTCGCAACCCGCAGCGGTGCGTCTGTGCATGCGTGGGTTGCAATTCGGTGCTTCTGCACATGCACAAAGCGCAAGTTAGCACTTCTGCGCATGCGCGACCGCCAAAACCCGGAAGTAACCCGTTCCGGTACTTCCGGGTTTCAGCAGTCCATAACCTGAAAAAACGCAACCTGAAGCATCTGTAACCCGAGGTATGACTGTACCATTTTTATCTTCCAACGGTCTCAAGGTGGGGTGCAGTGGCCAGATTTACATATAAGCTAGACAAGCGATAGCTTAGGGCCCCACTCTCTTGGGGCCCCCCCAAAATTTAAAGGAAAAAAACCTGGATGTACATTTCCAAAATAGAAGATAAAAAACAAGTAAAACAAAACCTACATACAGCAAAAATAAATTGTGTTGTGTAGGCTCCTGTGATGTAAGTAATGGGCTCCGCCTGCTAGCCTGCTCCCTAAAATATCACTGGTTTGCTCATTTCTATATATAGGGTGCCTACAGTCTGCACGGACTGGTCCATAAATTACCATATAGAATATATGCAACACAAAAAACAGCAGCAATTTGTTGTTGACAAAGGACATATAAAGGGCCCCATTACCTTTAGTAGCTTAGGGCCTCATCAAACCTAAATATGGCCCTGGTGGGGTCTATGGTTCTCCCCCCCCCAAGCCTGTGAAGTAAGTTAGGCCCAAGGTGGCCCAGGGAGGTTCACAGCTGAGTGGAGATTTGAACCCTGCTCCCCCAGGCCCTAGTCAAATACTTTAATCATTGCACCACTCTGTAAAATACATGGAAAGTGCCTTAAAAAATAATAATCCAAAACACCTGGCTTGGGTGGTTTATGGGACTTTTAAACAAAACATTTTAAAGAAAACTTGGCATCATATCTGAATTAAAAAGAAGGGGTATGAATTCCAGAAACTTGGAAAGACTCAAGGTTAGTAATGGTACCAAAACCTGGCAAAGGTCCTGTTAATTAGACTCATACCATTCAACTGCATTAATCAAGATTCAAAAATATTTTCATGCAGACAGATTAGCAGAATTAACGCCTCACCTGTTTGGCAAAAATCAGGTGGGCTTTGTAAGAGGGAGGATTTAAATACTTTAATTTTTTTTTATTTCAGAAAAAGAACTGGCAAATAAGCTTAAATAGCATCACTGGATTTCACAATGCATTCCACAATCAGATTTTCTTTCTTTCTTCGCTTAAAACAAATGAGGTTCAATTCCAAATTCGTTCAACTTCAACATAATTTACAGAAAAGCAGTAAGGCTATAATCAGAAATCATGGTTGGGATAGAGACACAAAACAGAGGGGCCTTTTATTGCCCCTACTTTTTGGAACTTTTGACGATAAGTAGAGACCTTGGCTATAAAAATTAAAACTTTATTTTTAATTTGCAAATTTAGTAACAAAAGGGGAAAAGGAAAAACAAATATGGCAAAATAGTAATGAAAAACACCCTTCGTATATAAAAAAATTAGAGACAAACCACTTGTGGAGGGTGTAATATATGATACAACACACAAGTTAAACTTATCGGCAGATGTTACAGACTTTATGCTTTTCGGTGGGTGAGTGGGACTTCCCAATTTGGTACTACCATGCATCCAAATTAGCTCTAATAAACAGAATGTACACATCTGAGAAGCAAATGGAATTGGAACATCTCTACAGGAAATCTCAAACCAAAACATCTCTTATTCACTAAAGCAGAATTAAAAATTTGGGTCAGACTCCTCAGTTAGCTTTCTCTCCACTGACATCAATCCTTCAAAATGAATCTGTGCTCTAATAATCACGCTCTATTATTATCACTACTAATTTTAATACACTTCTCTACTAACTTTCTTTTTGTGCCTTGTATTCACATCTAACAAATTACATTTTGCTCCCCACTTACATTCAACTTTTCATTAGGCACCCCCCTTCAAAGAAACCCAAACCCCAGCAATGATAAGACAGCCCTAAGGTCTCTGAACCACATAACAATACAAAAGCATTTCTCTGAGTTTCTTTTTAAAGCATTTATGCTTTCCGGCCCATCCCAGAAGTTCTGAATATATTGACTGATTACAGTACAGAGCCATGGCAGCAACGGAAACTAAGGCTACAAAGACAACAATATTGTTTTTATTATTAAATTCATTACCTTCCCTCCAACAGCAGATTCCGGGGCATGCTAAAACTATTTGAAATTCCTAATTAAACACAGCTAAAACAGATTAGTCACAGGAATAGGGAGGGTCCTGAAGACACACTACACAGGTGATAATCATCAGAGTCAAGTAGTGAGCCTTCAACGTTTGCCAAAAGCCTAGTCAAAGTGCAGAGACAGAATCTCAAGAGTTGTGGACATGGAAGGGACCTTAAAGATCATCTAGTGCAACCCCCTGCAATGCAGGAAACCTGCCCACAGCCACCCCTGGGTGGGCTCGAACCCCCAACCTTCTGGTTAACAGCAAGATACACGGACCCACTTCCTCCCACTGCAGGGAGGAAATTCCCTAACTTTGGAGTTGCAGAAAAGAATGCCCCCCTCTCACCCAGTCCACCACACTGCTAGTATCTGATCTTCCCTCTACTATTTATGAGCAGTTATTTTGATGTTCTGTATCTTTTGGTAACTAAACAAAAATACTTTTTAAAAAGGCAACAAGAGGCAAAGCACATTTCTGGTTGGGCAAGCCACCTGCCACATTTATAAGAGAAATGACGGCATTATACGCACATTAACCTTTCCATCCTCAATTTACTTCCTTTTATGTAAAACCATTAAAAAAAAAGTTTGTATTTTATATATCAAGCATTACTCAACCAAATTCCAAACGGCATTAATGAAGAGAAGGCTTTTTTTTTATAAAAAAAGTGTCCCTACACAAACATTTCATGTTCAAATTAAATATCAAAAACACTGGCAAAATTTATCCAGAAAACCTACTTTAGAACTGGCACAACTGAAAGTAGAGACCTAGCAATCTCTCAGTAAGTGAGGAAGAACAAGAGACCAGCTGAGCCCCCAAGTACAATTACAAGACCCAGAACATGCTTTTGCATATCAAAGGCAACTGCTGACACGTGGAAATAGTCAGCCAGCTTGCAACTGCTCCTCACCTACACGCAACTCCCAACCAAGCCCGTCTCAATCTGGGCTCCCTGCAAACAGAGCACGGGAGGAAAAGCAACAGACCAAACCAACTAAAGGAAAAAAGGGGTGACAGGGAGAGTTCATTCTCCCTTTCTTATTATTTAAAGTCCATTTTTCTTTTTATTACTATCACATTTCTCCAGCATTTAAAAACACCTCTGACCTATTCTTCATACTGTATAATATGTTTAGTATATCCTACAGGCGGAGTATTAAGAAAAGGTTTCTCCCCCTGCTGTAGAAAATATGGTTTGTGCAAGACCTCATTGATGAAGGGGTGTGGTGCAAGAAGATTACATGGGGTCTACTAAGGAGGGGTTTAGGGCTGCGATTAAACCATTTATTTTTGTATGATAAGAATAAGAATAAGAATGAATTTTATTATTTATGCCCTGTTGACCTGGCTGGGTTTACCCAGCCACTCTGGTCGGCTTACAGAATATATAAAACATAATAAATAATCAAACATTAAAAACTTCCCTAAGCAGGGTTGCCTTCAGATGTCTTCTAAAAGTTGTATAGTTGTTTATTTCCTTGACATCTGATGGGAGCGTGTTCCACAGGGCGGGTGCCACTACCAAGAAGGCCCTTTGCCTGGTTCCCTGTAACTTTATTTCTTGCAGTGAGGGAACAGCCAGAAGGCCCTCGGAGGCCCTCAGTGTCTGTGCAGAACGATGGAGGTGGAGGTATACTGGGCTGAGGCCATTTAGGATTTTAAAGGTCAGCACCAACACTTTGAATTGTGCTCAGAATGCACTAGGAGCCAGTGAAGATCTTTTAGGACCAGTGTTGTTTGCTCCTGGTGGCCACTCCTGGTCATCAGTCTAGCTGCTGCATTCTGGATTTGTTGTAGTTTCTGGGTCACCTTCTAAGGTAGCCCCATGTAGAGCGCATTGCAGTAATCCAAGTGGGAGATAACCAGAGCATGCACCACTCTGGTGAGACAGTCCACAGGCAGATAGGGTCTCAGCCTGCGTACCAGATGGAGCTGGTAGACAGCTGCCCTGGACACAGAATTGACCTGTGCCTCCATGGACAGCTGTGAGTCCAAAACAACTCCCAAGCTGTCCACCTGCTCCTTCAGGGGCACAGTTACCCCATTCAGGACCAGGGAGTCCCCCACACCCGCCCACCCCGTCCCCCCAAAACAGTACTTCTGTCTTGTCAGGATTCAACCTCAATCTGTTAGCCGCCATCCATCCTCCAACCGCCTCTAGACATTCACACAGGACCTTCACTGCCTTCACTGGTTCCAGTTTGAAGGAGAGGTAGAGCTGGGTATCATCTGCATACTGGTGAACACCCATTGTTTTCACCAGTGCACAAGGAAACGTGCAGGAAAGCATACCCTCCAACGTCTAACCCAGGGCTTCCCAAACTTGGGTGTCTAGCTGTTTTTGGACTACAAGTCCCATCATCCCTAGCTGGCAAGACCGGTGACTTGTAGTCTGAAAAAACAACAACTGGAGACCCAAGTTTAACAAAGACTAGTCTAGAGTATCCAAAGCTGCAGAGAGATCGAGAAGCAGAGTTGTACTGCCCCTGACCTGCTGTCAAAAAAAAAATAAAATAGGTGATACACTCATTAAAACTATAGTACTACTTCTTGGCAGAGGGTTGGAGACCCAACTTTGAGAAACTCTATTCTGACCTAAAGGGACGCGGGTGGCGCTGTGGGTTAAACCACAGAACCTAGGACTTGCCGATCAGAAGGTCGGTGGTTCGAATCCCCTCGACAGGGTGAGCTCCTGTTGCTCAGTCCCTGCTCCTGCCAACCTAGTAGTTCGACAGCACACCAGTGCAAGTAGATAAATAGGTACTGCTCCAGTGGGAAGGTAAACGGCGTTCCCGTGCGCTGCTCTGGTTCGCCAGAAGCGGCTTAGTCATGCTGGCCACATGACCCAGAAGCTGTACGCCGGCTCCCTCGGCCAATAAAGCGAGATGAGCGCCGCAACCCCAGAGTTGGTCACGACTGGACCTAATGGTCAGGGGTCCCTTTACCTTTTATTCTGACCTAAATCCAGGGCACCCCACCTGTCACCCCCTGCACAACCTGCCTGCCACCCCGCTCAAGCCACTTCAGCCCATCACCACCACTGCTACCTCCCCACCCCCAACCTTTGCCAGCAGCTGGGATCTCTCTACTTCCTCTGCCACAACTGTGATGAGGCCACTGCTGCAAAGTCTGCTGCCGCTGCGATGCCCAGTAAGGCCTACCACTTCTGCGAGGCCCTGCCACCATTGCTAGGCCCACTGCCACCACTGCTACAAGGCCTCGTAAGGACTGCTGCTGCCACAAGGCTCAGAAAACCCCGCAACGAGGGCTGATGAATGAAGCCTTTCCTCTGCAAGGTTTTCTCTTTCCCTACTCCCTGCTACTTTCCCATCTACAGAGGACCCCATATGCAGACGGGCAGTTCTAACTGCAAAAAGAGCCTGCGAAGAACATCATGCCCACCCACCACAGTGCTACTGTGGTCAGTTTTGCTCCTCTCCCAGCTGCATTTCCCCTTGCAATTCTTCAAAGGTTTATTGCTTTTATTTGTGGAGTGCTATGATGGTGGGAGGGACGCGGGTGGCGCTGTGGTCTAAACCACAGAGCCTAGGACTTGCCGATCAGAAGGTCGGCGGTTCGTTAACATGACTGCCAAAAATGTGAATCTATTTAAGGATAATTATGAAAAATGTTGGATTGAAGTGAAAAAGTATTTAGAAATATGGACAAATTTGAAGTTATCATTGTTAGGCTGAATTGCTGTGATAAAAATGAATGTGCTGCCAAGGATGTTGTTTTTGTTTCAAACATTACAAATTTTGGATAAGACGGATTGTTTCAAGAAGTGGCAGAAAGATATTTCCAGGTTTGTTTGGCAGGGCAAGAAGCCTCGAATAAAATTTAAGATATTAAATGATGCTAAAGAAGGAGGTGGATTTGCCCTGCCAGACCTCAAACTTTATTATGAATCAGCGGCTTTTTGCTGGCTGAGAGAATGGCTGTTTCTTGAAAACACTGACGTGTTGGATCTAGAAGGTTTCAATAATGCATTTGGTTGGCATGCATATTTGTGGTATGATAAGGTAAAAGTACATAAAGCGTTTAAAAATCATATTGTTAGAAAAGCATTGTTTAATGTTTGGATAAGATATAAAGATTTGCTAGAAAAGAAAACCCCAAGATGGTTGTCACCAATGGAAGCGAAGGCACAGAAAAACTCAATATGGAGGCCAAATGGCCGAAATATTGGGAAATTCTGGATCAAGATGGAGACAGAATAAAATTGCAGAGCTTTGAAAAATAGAAAAATAAAGTGCGAGATTGGCTCCATTATTATCAAATAATGGAGGCATACAATTTGGACAAAAAAGTTGGTTTCCAGGTGGAAAAATCAAAATTGGAAACAGAATTGTTAGATCCAAAAATTAAGAATTTGTCAAGAATGTATAACTTGCTGTTGAAATGGAACACTCAGGATGAAACGGTGAAATCAGCTATGATTAAATGGGCACAAGATGTTGGACATAACATAATGATGGCCGACTGGGAACAGTTATGGACCACAGGTATGAAATTCACAGCATGTAATGTCCTAAGAGAAAATTTAATGAAAATGATGTATAGGTGGTACATGACACCAGTCAAGCTTGCAAAAATTTATCATTTGCCCGACAATAAATGTTGGAAATGTAATGAGACTGAAGGTACATTCTTTCACCTTTGGTGGACATGCCCAAGGATTAAGACATTCTGGGAGATGATTTATAATGAAATGAAAAAGGTATTTAAATATACCTTCCTGAAGAAACCAGAGGCCTTTCTCCTGGGCATGGTCGGCCAATTGGTGCCAAAGAAGGATAGAACTTTTTTTATGTATGCAACAACAGCAGCAAGGATACTCATCGCGAAATATTGGAAGACACAAGATTTACCCACCCGGGAAGAATGGCAGATGAAGTTGATGGACTATATGGAACTGGCGGAAATGACTGGCAGAATCCAAGACCAGGGAGAAGAGTCGGTGGAAGAAGACTGGGAAAAGTTTAAAGACTATTTACAGAAATACTGTAAAATTAATGAATGTTAGAAAAATGTTGGAATGAAGTTATATGGCTTTAGTAGAAATGTGATAAGGAATTAAGTATAAATAGATTAATAGAGTATTAAAGGAAAAAATAAGGTTAGAATGAGTTAAGATAATTATAGGATAGAAAACAGAGGAAGATGGAAAGGAATTGCTGAAACAACTAACAGAAGTGTTTTAATATGTAAAAACTTAAAGTTATAATATATCAAGATTAAAGATTAGGATTAAAAAGGAGGGAAAGGAATTGTTGGATTAACAAATTTAATTGGAATACAAAAGAGGGAGGTATGAGGAGGTCCGGGAAACAAGTAAACGTAAAAGAAGTGAGGAAAAGATGGAATTGTTTTTAACTGTTTTTTCTTTTTTTCTACTTTGTATTTTTCCTTTTCATTGTTAATTTTTTTACTAATGTGATTTTTTCCCCCTCTGAAACTTTAATAAATATTATTAAAAAAAAGAAGAAACAACTAACAGAAGTGGAATACAAAAAGGGAGGTGTGAGGAGGTCGTGGAAATAAGTGAATGAAAGGTGGGATAATGAAATTGTTTGATTTATTTTATTGTTTTTGTTTTGTTTTGTTAGTTCAATGTGTTTAATGTCAATGTTATGTAGTGTTTTTGTATTGTATCGTATTGTTTAGTAGTGTTTAAATTGTTGGAAAAGTAATAAATATTATTTTAAAAACAAACAAACAAACAGAAGGTCGGCGGTTCAAATCCCCGTGACGGGGTGAGCTCCCGTTGCCCGGTCCCTGCTCCTGCCAACCTAGCCGTTCAAAAGCACCTCAAAGTGCAAATAGATAAATAGGTACTGCTCTGGCGGGAAGGTAAACGGCGTTTCCGTGTGCTGCTCTGGTTCGCCAGAAGCGGCTTAGTCATGCTGGCCACATGACCTGGAAGCTGTACGCCGGCTCCCTCAGCCAATAAAGCACGATGAGCGCGCAACCCCAGAGTCGTCCGCGACTGGACCTAATGGTCAGGGGTCCCTTTACCTTCATGATTGAGGGAAAGGTTACTCAGAGCAACTTACAAGTTTTAAATGAAACTTAATAAATAATTAAGAAATAATTCTTATAAAGCATCTCACCTGCCGGCGGCTCCTTTGCAACTCCACACAGACACCTCACCCAAAGCACATTTGAAGCTACAGCAAAGGTTAATCTAGTTAGACCCCCTCGTAGCCCAAATCTAACACTCCAAATGCCTTGTCCTCCATTCACCTGCATGCAGGTGTTTTGTGCTTTTGCGCTGAGCAAACCGTCATGATGAAATAGAAGCTGGGCAACTTGCACGTGTTTTTATTTTTCTGAAGTCCATGGTTCCAGAAAGACTTCCACAACAAGCAGATGCGGCCCTTCCACATGGATCTTTTGGAGTAATCATCTCTGGGTCAGCTTAAAAAGGGCTCTGTGTCTGTGTTTTCAATATATCCCATTAATGGGGGTGTGAGTTTTTAAAGCATTTTTTTGTAAGCCACTTTGAGTGGGGTTTTTCTTTTCTTTTTTTACAACCAAGCGGTGCTATAAATTTTATGAAATGCAGTAAATCAGTTTTAAAATGTGTGGCACCTTTTGAAACGGTTACGCAGAGGAGCTTTCCATCCCGAAGGGATGAGCCTTCCTATTTCTGCAAGGAGACGAAACCCTGACCTCTGAGAAAAGACTGAAGATTGCTTAGAAACAGCAAACCCTCAGAGACGAAGGTCGAGATCACGTGGTGTGTGGCGGTTTCCCTCTTGGTTGCAGGTGGGTTTGCAGCTGAAGGGAAAATTAACAGCCAGGAAACCCTAAATTAAAAAGTTATTACAATTTGCCTTAGGTTGATAGAAACTGAGGAGGAAAGAACAAGGAGGACAAGTAGAGAAATGAAGCTTCTGGGGGCAGACACCTCTTGCTCTGGACTTGCCTTGTCAGCCTGGTAGCGTCCACATTTTGCAGGATTACAACTCCCATCAACCCTGGCTAGCATGGCCGATGGCACTTCAGATAGCCCAGTTGGTAGAGCATGAGGCGCTTAACCTCAGAACTGCAGGTTCGAGTCCCACGTTGGGTAAAAGATTCCTGCCTTGATCTAGATGACCCTCATGGTCCTTTCCAACTCTACAATTCTATGATTTTATTATAGGAATTGTAGTCCAAAACCTCTGGAATGTGCCAGGTTGAGGAAGACTGATCCAAACACCAGCAGGGGCCTCACAGTGCTGTGGGAGGTGTGTGTAATTTTGTTTTGTTTTGTTGTTATGTTATGCAGGTTGAGCTCCTTGCAAACAGAGGGGTGGGGTGGGGGGAGGAAGCAATAGACGAGTGATAGGGGGGAAAGGGGTGGCAGTGCATGTTATGTATTCAGTGGTTTGTGTTTGCCTGAGCTTGAATCTGGACTAAGGATTCTGAGCTCCTGTGTTCTGATTCGATACATGATATCCAATCACAGAACAATTCAGGATTTGGGCCTCTGCCATTGGCCGTTAAACTCTGAGTCATGATTCGCAGCTTCGAAGTTTAGACAGCCAATCATGTTGGGAGTGGGAGTGGCCCAGGCCTTCAGAAATGTATATAAGCAGTTGCTTTGCCCCTGTTACCCAGTTATGTAGTTCAATAAAGGTTCTTGCTGTTATCACTGTGTCTTGCCTCACGGGAAACCACCTACACTTCAGTATGTGAGACTTATGCAGGGTTTGCGCTTTCTTTTGGTAATAAGCCGGGGGGCCATTTGATGTTGCCGCCTCCTCCTTTGCCCGCCCGGGCTATCTCCTTCTTCCAGGAGAGAGAAGGAACCCCCATCCCCGGGCAGAGGCGACTGAAGCTCACACAATCTGGAGGCAGGGGACTCAGTTGGAGAAACAAGTTGGGCAGGCCTATGGCCTGGGCAGGCTGGGTCGTCCTCTTATATACCTGCTGGGATTGACAAGGCATCTGACCCTCACCTTAATCTCATAGCTCTCCTGTAGCTGCCTCTGATTGGTTATCATTTAACTCTCAAGGGAAATAATTAGCATCACATGTCATGTGCATGAAAGTTGCCGAACCAATTAACCAACTAGAAGGATTACTGTTAATAGCACCAGTTTTCCTATAGTGTAACTTGATATTGCTGAATATGGGCAGGCCTATGGCCTAGGCAGGCCAGGTCGTCCTCTTATATACCTGCTGGGTATGACGTGTGATGCTAATTATTTCCCGTGAGGGTCAGATGCCTTGTGATCAAGACCCCACCAACCTCCAGTTCGTGTGGTATGAGGGCCAGACCATAATGGCAGTTTCACCTGGCAGTATATCACAGGTGAAACCACCACTGCTCCCGAGTCCCTCTTCCACCAGGGTGAAGCTGCCATCGCGGTCTGGCCCTCGTACCAGTCCTGGGCATTGGATTGATACATTACCCAGGCCTAAACATCAGCCTCACACACACACCCATCTCACACACACGCTGGCATCTCTTCCTGCCACATGTTTCTTTATGGCATGAATGGTGATGCTACCCTCATGTGCTCAGTCACCTGGTTGACTGCTGTAAAAACAGGATTCAAGCATTTGTGGGCTATTGGCCTCATCCAACTTCTTTTGTTTCTCTTTTTGAGATTTGCGAACTACTGAAAGAAATTTCAGCAAAACCAGATTGCCATTTAATGCGTATTATTATCCCCCCGAACGGTTCCCTCCCCAGCTGACTCTGCTTCTAGCCCCCCCCTTTTGAGTGGTTTTTCTTTTATTTCCACTCCTTTCCCCACAACACATCCTGTTCTCCAATCTGCGCTTCATTGCATTAGCTGCTTGAAGAGCACCAAGGATGTTGTTGTGTCTGGTGTTGGCTTGGTTGGGCAAATGTCTGCTGAGAGGTTCCTTTCCGTCAATAAGCTTCCATTTGCTGCTCACTTTACTGTTCCCGTCAGGTAAGCAACTTCTTACTACCACCATCTCTTAACTCCGTGGTCTTTAAACTATTCTAACCTGGGATTCATTTTTAACCCCAAAATTCACTTTTTTTTTTTGCTTATATCAATAGTTTTTAATGGTACGGTCAAACTATTATTTAGTCAAACTAAATAATAACAATAGTCAAACTATTATTTACTGTCAAACTATTATTTATTAGTATTGGCTAATCTTGATTATCTCGGGTTAATCAGGTTGACACATACTCTTTTTGAAGTTGCAACGTCTCCCTTTAATTGTAAGCCATCTGATTCAACTCTTAATTTATTTTACCTGCATTCCTTTCTTTTTCTTATAAGGCAGTGCTGTAGACCAGTCTGCAGATATGATTGTCAGGGGAAATGAGCGAGTCATTCTGAAATGCTCCCAACTGAAAACCCGCTTTAGCTACATGTACTGGTATAAGCAAGAAAGGAGGAAAGATGCACGGCTCCAGCTAGTGATTTATTCGAGAGAAGGTGGTGGAGACAGGTTTCCTATTGAGACGGAATTTCAAGACTTCTTTGAGAGCCCTGGAATGCGAGATTTCAGCTTGAATCTGATCTTGAAAGAAGCAAAGCCGAGAGACACGGGCACCTACTTCTGCGCTAAGCAAGATCTCACAGTGAAGCGGCTGCACAGGAAACCAGTCACAAACCCCTTCACTGGGGAATGTACATGATAATTGTTGCTGCACAGATATGACCCAAGATATTTTGCTGCCTGAGGAGGAAAAATCCAAGTGCCATCCATGTTCTACTAATTAAACATGAGACATAACTGACTGGGAAGTTCTCCTGGATCAGTCACTCTCTCTCTCTCTCTCTCTCTCTCTCACACACACACACACACACACACACACATTATTTCAGGTGAATGAGAACGCAAAGTGACAATTCCTAGATCTCCCTTTGCATTAAAGAGCTTCACCACTGTTTTATTTTTTTGAGTATTGAATCCATACATTTCGATTCACTGGGATGTCCTCTCAGTGCGTGCAAAGAGAGGAGAGTGAATCTTCTCAAAATATGTTGGATTTTGATCAGTTGGATCTCATAGTGCTATCAATCCACGAGACGTAGTTGCAAACTTTGGTGTAGACTCCAGGGTAGCCTTTCTGAGCACATCCAATGCCCCAGGAGACAATTCCCTGGAGCTGCCCGTTGCAGACCACGGGACCACCAGAGTCTCCCTGTGAAAGAACACAGTAAGCGGTAGAAGTAAGAGACGGAATATGACTTGTGTTCCTCCAATACCTTGCAACAGTTCGTAGAATGTGCCCCTGCAAAACTATAGACTAACTGTCATTGAGATCCTTTTTGTCTAATTCCTGCCACACAGGCATCAGTCTCTTGGACAGTACCACCGAAGCCTGATAACTGTGGAGTTGGGGTGGGATTTCTGAGGGAAACTGCTCAGCACCTCCCCAAAATGATAATCCCAAGGATTATGGGGAGGCAGGGGAGCTACGGCAGTTAAAGCAACTCAAAACCGAGTAAGGTTTGTTCTGTCGATGCAAGCCCTGCACAAGAGCTTCTGTTTGTGCAATGGGGCTTTCCCATCCTCCTCCTCCCCACACCCACCCCAAATGGAGGGGTTGGGAAAGCCCCCAGAACAGGGGCAGAGAGTGAATGCTTGAATGCTTGCACTGACAAGCTATTCACCATAAGGCAAAGTGGTCTATTCACTTTTTGAGTTCCCTCTCCCACCCAACATTCAAGCGGTGTATAAATGTTGTTAAATAAATGAACAGGGTGGCATTTTCTTCCAACCAATAAGTTGAAACAGCCATGATTTCTGTTAAGTTGTAGGTGAACATATCAGACGACACAGCGATTCTTCAAACAGCTCTTGTTTATTCACAGGTCAGAACAGAACTGAACTGAAGGGTTCAGCCAGCCTGCTTATATAGAGCTCCACTAGAACTCAACAGTAACCATTTTCTGTAACTATCCAATCACTAAATGTCACTTTCAATTCCTTATTTGCATATGTGGACCTGAATTATCTACACTATCCCCCTGCTGGCCCAGGGTGAGAACTTCAGTACATAACTATTTCCAAGGCCTTTCATCCCACTGTAAGTTTTTACAGGATTTCAAAGCAGCAGAATTGCCAAATAAACAGCAGGCCCCCAAAATTAATACTGACCTTATGGGGTCTCTCTACAGTTATAATGAAGAGCAGAAAGTAGACTTATACTTAGTTCGCTCAACTATCAAGTTGTCTTTTGCAAACAGACCAATAACTCAAGGATTAATCCCGGCTGAACAAGAGGAGGGATTAACGCTAAAGCAAATCTCAAAACTATCTTCAGGTACTAGTAATGCAAGTATAAAAGACTCTTCCTCCCAGTTCTCTGGAACAAATAAGGAGAACCCACCAGCCATCAGGTGATTTGCACTATTAACAGAGGATGTTGTATGTATAAAATCTTTTTGGGGCTGATTGTAATAAAATTCTCACCATCCTGGTAGAAATTTGCGAAACCTTGGGGGGGGGATCTGATAAAAGAGTTTGTGAAAATAACACCAATGTCCCCTCTCATACACGTTTTGCCTAATATACATTACACATTTTTTGCAAAGCAATTTCTCCAAATATAGTGCTTTTTAATTTTCACTAATATACACATTTTTAAAAATGCACACTTTCCCCTCGTATACACATTTTTATATGTATTCCTTGGCTGCAGAAATACAATGCAAATTTGGAGAAGTGCAAATTTTGATGGACGGCTGTGGTAGGTACTCATTTAAATGCAAACTGAATTGGGTTTCTCCCCATCCCTAAACCTCCATGGTAGCAATAGGCAACTAGAGACTGGGGGGGTTACTCTGCCTAACGGGAAAATTCCTCCTGTCCCTCTGAACCGCCTGATCCCAAAGAAATCTTCCCTCCCTTGCTATTATCCCGTTAGACCTTGCTCAGCAGACATAATAATAATAATTTTATTATTTATACCACACCCATCTGGCTGGGTTGCCCTTCCTGAATCATTGACTACTAACTGAGCATCTGTATCATCTGCCAAGAGACCTCTATGCAACGACACTGAAGTGCCTATGGAAAGAGAGAAGATTTACCTGGCAGGAGTCTTTGCCGCCCTCCAGAAATCCCACACACATCATGTTTTGAGTGATTTGCCCCGGATAAGCATTTGAGCACTGGCTAGAGGAAAGCACGGGAGCATTCAGGCACTGCAGGAGGTCAGGGTAGCTGGCTGCAGGAAGCATAGGAGAAAAGAAAATAGGAATGTTGTATTCATTATTATGATAGAGGGACGCGGGTGGCGCTGTGGGTTAAACCACAGAGCCTAGGGCTTGCCAATCAGAAGGTTGGCTGTTCGAATCCCCACGACGGGATGAGCTCCCGTTGCTCGGTCCCTGCTCCTGCCAACCTAGCAGTTCGAAAGCACATCAAAGTGCAAGTAGATAAATAGGTACAGCTCTGGCGGGAAGGTAAACAGTGTTTCCGTGCGCTGCTCTGGTTCGCCAGAAGCGGCTTAGTCATGCTGGCCACATTGACCTGGAAGCTGTACGCCGGCTCCCTCGGCCAATAAAGCGAGATGAGCACCACAACCCCAGAGTCGGTCACGACTGGACCTAATGGTCAGGGGTCCCTTTACCTTTATTCATTATTATGATTTACGTGGAAAGTATTGCATTGGAAGAAGCAAAGATCACCAGTGTTGAAGCAACGATTCTTCAACATCAACTTTGTTGGACTGGTCATGTTGTGCGGATGCCTGATTGTCGTCTTCCAAAGCAACTACTCTTTCTGAACTTTAAAATGGTAAGCGTAATGCTGGTGGTCAACAAAAGAGGTTTAAAGACTGTCTCAAGGCAAATCTAAAAAAAAAGTAGTATAAACACTGACAACTGGTAAACACTGGCCTGGGAGCACTCCAATTGGAGAACAGCCTTTACCAAAGGTGTCATGAGCTTTGAAGATGCTCAAACTCAGGACGAAAGGGAGAAATGTGCTAAGAGGAAGGCATGTTTGGCAAACCCTCACTGTGACCAACTCCCGCCCGGAAACCAATGTCCCCACTGTGGATCCACAATTGCCCTCCACAGTCACTTACAAACCCACTGTTAAAACCGTGTTTATGGAAGACAATCTTACTCGACTACAAGTTATCACCAGAGAAGAAGAAGACTTTTTGATATTGTTTATGACTACCTTCACCCTGTAATTTTTCATATGTTGAGCATGGTTTCGACTTTGGAAAGGCGGCATACGAATAAAATGATTTTGAAAACGGGGACAACATCCTTTCATGATTTTCTTTCCCCTGTAACTATAGATTATAGATAGTATTTGGGGCACGGGGCTGGGGGTGATTTGGGGAAGTGAAGCAATGAGGAGGGATTCTCCTGGTCCACATCCTGCTAAAGGAGACTGCCTTCGTGATAAGAGGATATGGTCAGTGTTGAAATAAGATTCAGCTGCCAGTCAGCCTGGCTTATACACATGGAATGGAGTGGAGAGCAGGGTGAGCCAGGGGTGTGAAGTCAGGGGGGCGGGCTGCTGGTGCGATGGCCCTGGGTGCACTTTTTCTGGGAGGGCAGCATGGGGAGGACACAACAGGCACGCACCCTTTGATCCCAGCCTCACAAAGTGAGGGCAAGGATAGGATCAAAGGGCGCATAGCTATTGTGTCCTCATGCTGCCATCGCATCAGCATTGAGGGGTGGGCTGCCATGCCCTGCCCCGGGCGCACCCACCCACCCACCCACCCCAGGCTCCATGAAGACACACTCTGCTGCTGGAGTGAGCAACCTGCCTGTCCCATTCTGCAAAAGTACTTGGACCAGCCCTGCATGGGCATAGCCAACGGGGAGCAAGGAGGCAGCTGCCCATCCATGAAAGTTAATCAATAAAAATACTTAACTAACTGGGGTTCTTCCCTCCCTAACATAAATCCTGGTTGTTGTTGTTGTTTAGTCGTTTAGTCGTGTCCACCTCTTCATGACCTCACGGACCAGAGCACGCCAGGCACTCCTGTCTTCCACTGCCTCCCACAGTTTGGTCAAACTCATGCTGGTAGCTTCGAGAACACTGTCCAACCATCTCGTCCTCTGTCGTCCCCTTCTCCTTCTGCCCTCCATCTTTCCCACCACCAGGGTCTTTTCCAGGGAGTTTTCTCTTCTCATGAGGTGGCCAAAGTATTGGAGTCTCAGCTTCAGGATCTGTCCTTCCAGTGAGCACTCAGGGCTGATTTCCTTAAGAATGGATAGGTTTGATCTTCTTGCAGTCCATGGGACTCTCAAGAGTCCCCATAATTCAATCCTGGTTATGCCCATGCAATCTGGGTATTGCTTTTAGAGAGTAAGTTACAATGGCAATCTTAGTCTTAACTTTAAAGGGCACGTTAAAAGCAACTAGATCTTTTTTAAGGCAACAGAAGGAGATGGGAGAACATGGTTGGGTGGCTAGCATGTTGCTCTCTACCCCACCCCCACCCCCGGTTTGTACTCAGCATTCTTGCCCTTGCACCTGCATCACAAAAGAACACAAAGGAGGACTCACTGCCACTGCTGCGGGTGTTGCCCCAGCCGGAAATGAGGCACTGTGTCCCGGTGGTCACGCAGCTGGTGGGCAGGCTGACCGATCTGACCCGGGTGTTGATGGTTGCCTGGGTGGACAGCTTGATGAGCATGATGTCATTGTCCAGTGTGTTGGCGTTGTATCTTGGGTGGCGGATGACTTTGGCTGAATTAATGTACTGCTCGCTGCCATCGTTTAAGGTCAAACTGTGTTCCCCAAGTCTCACCTGGATACGTCTGGTTTCAGACAAAGAAGAGGACCTTGATCATCCACATTCCTGTTTCAACACCCCACACAACCCCAGAACCACTGACATTGCTGCTTTTCTTTGGAGCACACTGTTCTCCAAAGTGACTTGAATCCTGACAAATGTGGGATTGGTTGCAAGTTAGCTTCTAGTCTCAAAATAGGCCATCTGGTCCATCTAGCTCAGAAATGTCCACACCAGGCTTTTCCAAACTTGGGTCTCCGGCTGTTTTTGGACTACAGCTCCCATCATCCCTAGCTAGCAGGACCAGTGGTCAGGGATGATGGGAATTGTAGTCCAAAAGCAGCTGGAGTCCCAAGTTTGAGGAAACCCTGGTCTACACTGACTAGCATTGGTGCTCCAAGTTTGAGGCAGGAACACTTTCCCCCCAACTCTACCTGGAGATGCCAAGAGTTGAACCTGGAAACTTCTGCACGCAAAACGGATGCTCTTCTACTGAGCTATGTGGTTCCTGCTTCAGTGCAGGCTGAGTTGTTGGCATCTGTTTGTCTCAAGAGACAATCCAGTGTGTGCCTCTGGGGTGAAATCACTGGGTTAGCAGCACCGAAGTGACCTCCCCGGACTGCAATCCTGGCCAGTGTATATGGAGGTCCTGGGCTGCCCAGATGACAAGACCCACCTCTTGGCCTCTCTGATGTGGTCCAAAGGAAAGCAGAAGAATACGCTTGGCACCAGCTTGGCAGCAGACGGGGTGCCAACTTGAATAAAATATTGGGGAGGAGCAGGTAAGCCCCTCCTCATATAATTGATCACAAGACGAGGTGCATGTACATCATTTGAATGGCAATGCCCATCAACTTAAGGTGGGGCTGTCAAACATTTTATTGGGGAACCAAATACACCTTGGCCTCTAGGAGTTGCCAGAAGGAAGCGTACAAGGCACCATCTAACTGGCGCAGGGACTCCACTCTGGAGTTGTGCAGGTTTACTCCTCAGCCCTTTCTTCTCCTGAAACCACCCCAGAAGGCAGCAGAGGTTTTGGATCAGAGGTTTCCTTCTCCTAGATGGGCTACCTTCTCAGGTTGATGAGCCCCATCTGCCCCTCACTTCCCTCTACAGCGCGTGCAGAAACAGCCTTCTTGACCATTGGACCTGCTGTTGGCCTCGTCTGCTCAATCCGCCAGAGCCTGTCTTCACATGCAGGGAGGTCCCTAACTCACTGAGGGTTTGAAACCCAGTGGCTCACCTGGTTTACCTGGCCAGCTGATGCCGTTCCCAGGATGTGGCTGCTGCCACATGCTGACAGCTTCTAGGGGCCACAGGTGAGAGCTGAGTGCAGGGTGGGAACCAAAGGTAGACTAACTACCCCAGAAGAAGCACAATGTGTCCCCCATCAGAGGTACTGCCCCTCCTCCAACATCCCATGCAACCTCATACAGGTTGAATGTTCCAGTGGTTATTATTATTATTTCCAGTGTCGACTGCAGGGGGCAGTGTCTACTACTGCTCACGAAAGGAATACCAAAATAAATACAGTGGTACCTTGGGTTATGAACTTAATTCGTCCCAGAGGTCATTCTTAACCTGAAACAGTTCTTAACCTGAGGCGTGCTTTCGCTAATGGGGCCTCCTGCTGCCACTGTGCCACTGGCGCGCAATTTCCATTCTTATCCTGGGGCAAAGTTCTTAACCTGGAGCAACCACTTCCTGGTTAGCAGAGTTTGTAACCTGAAGCATCTGTAACCCGAAGCATCTGTAACCCGAGGTACCACTGTAAATAAAAAATCAGAGCAATACTGCTGAAAGGAGCAGCATGACAAGTTTGTTTGTTTTTTAAACTTACGACTTATAGCAGTGAGCAGCCGAAACAACCCACTGGTTGTTGATGAGCGAACCACCACAGAAGTGGTATCCGGAATTCAGGGAAACTTGGTAGGGGACAGAATGCGACTGGCAGGTGTAGCCTCCCACGATTTTATCATCATCATCATCATTGATGGGGAAGGCAACTGGGGAAAGAATGAAGAACATCAAATTCTGTATTTGGGGTCCTGGGAGACACACCAGCCTACAGGTCTATGAGGTCTATGTTCCATGGCTCTACTGTGCAAATGATCAAGCATAGCAGAAACTCAACCCGCTGTCCGTCTTGTCTATAATTAATTAAAAAACCCTGGCATGCCACAATTCTGTCCTTCCATTTAGCAAGGCAGGGTTCTTGTTGTCCGTAATCTCCATGTAGGCGAAGAGTTGTCTAATTGCACAGTGTACTAGGAAACATCTGGTGAAAGGGAAAGCAAGAGAACTCAAAATTTCTATATCTCCCAGATGTTTTCCTAGCCTGGTCAAGTCCTGTTTCTTACGTACTTGCGGACTAAGCAAAGAGCCACCAGTGTCTCCTATTGGAAGGTTGGCCACTTTGCCCATCCACGCCTCCTTCAAGAATCTGTCTTTAAAATAATGTATGGTTACCAGATTTTTTTCAATGAATCCGGGGACACTTTTTTTTTGAAGCTGAGTAGCAACAGGGAGTCAGTAGTTGGGATGGTGAAGCAAAAGACCCTGGGCCCAAGAACACATGCATATTGTATAAAGGTACAAAGCCCTTCTTTTGCACCCTGTGAAACATAAATGCTCAGAGCTTTTAAAAAACTGGGTAACTGCGTGCCACCCGCCCGTGACTCCCGAACCACCCCCGATCTCCTGCCCGCTTCCCCCTTTATTTTGACTGAAGGGCTTTGCACCTTGCCTGACAGAGAAACCGCCCGCCTTGCGCCCCTCCAGGGCAACGGCCATCCACCCGCAACTCCTGAGCCTCCCCCGATCTGTCAAAACAAAGGGGGAAGGGGGAAGGGGGAAGGAGATCTGTACCGCCGAACGTCCCCGGTTCTCCTTCAGCAGTGGCAGCGGCAGCGATCAGCTCCTGAAGCCAGCCAGAGCCAACTGCGCTACCAGGCTGCTGAGGCTGAGGCTGCCACGTTTCCCGGGGAGAGATTTGCAAATCTGGGGACATTCCGGGGACGGAATTTGTCCGGGGACAGATTTGCAAATCCAGGGACTGTCCCCAGAAACCGGGGACGTCTGATAACCCTAAAATAACAGGCCTCGTGTGTTTGTCTCCATTTGCATTTGGCTGAAGCTGGTCAGGACTGGAAGGCAGCGAAAGACATCGCAGAGGCACAGCTTCCCTTTGGGTGTGACCCCTACTTGTCAAAGAGGTAAACACTCTCAGGAGTGTTCAAAGTGGCAGGAAGAGCCATCTCCCCTTGTTACCCAGACAGGAACCATGAGAAACCCAGACACTTACCAGCCACTCCCAAGAAGGCTATGAACCAAACAAATTTCATGGTGATTTCTTCCAAGTGGGGAAGCCAAGAGGAAGCATTGTATATTTATATCCTGGGGTTATCTCCACCCCAAGGACTTTATCCAATGGAAAAGTACACAATGGAAAATCTAGAAAATCCATACTTGGGTTTGCATTAACAACAGGTGGTGAGGACAAAGAGAATCAATCATACATTAATCACAGACCCTCCAAGTGTCCCTCTTTTCAAGGGATAGTCCCAGATTTTCAGAAGCCATCTCAGTTTCTGATTTGATCCCAGAATGCCCCACTTTTCCTTAAGGTGCCCCTATTTTCATCGGAGAAATGTTGGAGAGTATGGAGTTATGCAAACCCCCCGAACCAAGGAGATAAGTAACTATACAAGCTTTAGAAGGCATCTGAAAGCAGCCCTGTGTAGGGAAGGTTTTTAAAATGTTTAATGTTTTATTATGTTCTTATATATGTTGAAAGCCGCCCAGAGTGACTAGGGCAACCCAGTAAGATGGGTGGGCAATAATAATAATAATAATAATAATAATAATAATAATAATAAAAATAAAATAAAAATAAAATAGGACCTCCCTATTTTCATCAGAGAAATGTTGGATGGTATGTAATCATAAATTCACAAAATATAGTTGGTAACCTTCCTTAATCTTAACTCCTATTTGAGAGTCCAGATGTTTTAAATTCCTCCCCACCAGGTATCTGTAATATGTAATAGTGTGGGATTGAGATTTGATCTTAATTTTATATTGGCCTTAGGAAATTTCCCTCAGAAATATGTTTGAAGTTATGCTCTAAATAAAGAGGCATTTGTCCAGAGCATCACTCCGGAATTTTGCTCCAGATTGCAAACTGTATTTCTTCGAATCCTGCTATGCTTCTGCTATGAAGCCCTTGGTTGACCCAGTACTCCGGTTTTCAGACCCCAACCTCAGGCCAAGTACAGTGGTACCTCGGGTTACAGACGCTTCAGGTTACAGACTCCGCTAACCCAGAAATAGTACCTTGGGTTAAGAACTTTGCTTCAGGTTGAGAACAGAAATTGCGCAGCGGCGGCAGCAGGAGGCCCCATTAGCTAAAGTGGTACCTCAGGTTAAGAACAGTTTCAGGTTAAGAACGGACCTCCAGAACGAATTAAATTCTTAACCTGAGGTACCACTGTACTTGCTCACATTCACTCCCCTTGTTTCTCCCATTCTTCTGTTTTCTTACCACCCTCGTCATTTACATGTTCCTAGGGGCAGAAATATGTCTTCTCTCTCCTGACTGTCTTTCTCTTTTTTCTAAGCAAGATGAGCAGCAGGGATGACAAAAAGCAGTGCCTTGGGTGAAGCTTTGGGGAAGAAAGATGGAAGACAACAAAGGGGAGCGGTTTTACAGCTCCCTCACCGTGTGCAACCAGAAATATGGAGAACTGGAGCCAGAGATATTGGGTACAGCCGACTCACTGAATTTTTCTTTAAGTGAAAGGAGAACTGCAATGGGAAACAGGTGTATTTTATTCATTACCATTCTTCTAAGCAGTTTTGCGTGGTGTTCCTGGTTTCCTCATTTTTTGAAGTTGCTCAGGTGTGTGGGCTAGTGACCACCAAAGCAAGACCACTCAGTGTGCTTCAAGGTAGAGTCATGATATGAGTGAAGGTCTCTCCTATGAACCCCTGCTCTATACTAGAATACAGAGCTCAGCGTGTACTGCCAATCTCAGATCAGAGAAGCAAGAGGGTTAACGTTTTTCTCTGGTCTACAGTTTCTGCTTCTGTCCGATTTTGAGATCATGCCAATGTCTATTGCCCAAGTTGTATTCTAAATGAATTATATGTTTTGTTCCAAAAGATTTATTACTAAAAATTGCATTCGTTTTATTTGGGGATGGTATCAATGACAAACCTAGACAGCATCTTAAAAAGCAGAGACATCACCTTGCTAACAAAGGTCCGTATAGATAAAGCTATGGTATTCCCAGTAGTGATGTATGGAAGTGAGAGCTGGACCATAAAGAAGGCTGATCGCCGAAGAATTGATGCTTTTGAATTATGGTGCTGGAGGAGACTCTTGAGAGTCCCATGGACTGCAAGAAGATCAAACCTATCCATTCTGAAGGAAATCAGCCCTGAGTGCTCACTGGAAGGACAGATCCTGAAGCTGAGGCTCCAATACTTTGGCCACCTCATGAGAAGAGAAGACTCCCTGGAAAAGACCCTGATGTTGGGAAAGATGGAGGGCACAAGGAGAAGAGGATGACAGAGGACGAGATGGTTGATAGTGTTCTCAAAGCTACCAGCATGAGTTTGACCAAACTGCGGGAGGCAGTGGAAGACAGGAGTGCCTGGCGTGCTCTGGTCCATGGGGTCACGAAGAGGCGGACACGACTAAACGACTAAACATCAACATGGTTGTCTAGCAAATACTCCAAACCTAGGTACAAACACTGAAATCCTGACAAATCTCTCAGTTCAGTGAAGTCTCTGTTGAGCTTCAATCACAATAATGCATATATGAGGCTCACGTTCTTACCAGATGAAAAACCCAATTACTTTGGAGTACAGTCGTTCCTTAGATCTCAAACGCCTTGGTACTTGGATGTTTTGGCTCACAAATGCCGCAAACCCGGAAGTGAGTGTTCTGGTTTGCAAACGTTCTTTGGAACCCGAATGTCCGATGGGGCTTCTTTGCCTTCGATTGGCTTCTTTGGTTTCCAAACATTTTGGAAGTTGAACGGACTTCCGGAATGGATTCCGTTCGACTTCCAAGGTACGACTGTACTTGGATTTGACTTAAATTTACTGTAGAGCCAATTTCTCTATCTGTTACACAGAATCCAAGGTGAGAAATAAAACAGTTGTTCCCATAAATCTCTTATTACCTGGAGGGGGATATGTTCCCCCCCAAATCATACAACAACTTGTATGTGTAAACCATCAGTAGACTCAGAATGCATACAGAAGAGAAAAAATGGAGAACACACCTTGTACTGGAGAACACAGAACAAGGCTCACAGAACATGATATGGGGGTGCAAGAGTAAAGTTTTCTTGGCTTATGAGCCAAATAATGGCTGCAAGTTGAGATGCAGTATGGGTAACTCAGGAAACATAATAAAAATAGGATTGTGAAAAATTGGAAAAGTGGTATTATACCAACAAAAACAGAGTGGCTTGCCAAATTATTGGAGTATTACAATATATCTAAAACAATGGGAGAAATTGGAAGGATCTCAAAAGAGAAGATAGACAGGGACTGGAAGGTGTTTAAAGGATACTTGCAAAACCATATTGAAAAATCAGAACTCCTATTAGAATAAACAAGTTCCATTTTAAATACTGAAATACTAAATAAGATGGATAACAATGTGTAATAGAAAAAGAAGCATGAAATTAGGTTAAAGGTGTGTGAAAGAAAGCAATAGAAGTGGAAAGAAATTGCAAGTCTAACACAAAAGTAGGGTGAGGGGTGGTGGATGGTGATGGGAAAAGGAATTATCTGTGGGGTTGAGTGTAGGTATGTTTGAACATTTTTAAGGATTGTATGAAATGTATGTTTGTATGCTTGTATTTTCGCAATATGTGTGTATTAATGCTGAATTATTTTAATAATAAAAACTTTTTTAAAAAAAGGATTGCTAACTCATTCAGGTGTCAGCTAACATCAGTTTGAGATTATATGCCCCTAGCAGAGAGATGAGCTCCTCTTTCTCTGTCAGTCCCCAGCTGCTTCACCTCATTGGCTGGACGGTCTCAGAATCAGAGCCAATGAGGTGCTCAAGTGAGCCTCTTCTTTAATGGAACTCCACTCCTGCACTGAGGAGGCAACAGATGTCTTGCTCTGCATTTCTCTTGCAACAGACACCATGTGGCGGTTGGTACTGGGTGTCTCTGTTGGCCTGCAGCTGTTGACAGGTAGGGAGCTCTCTCTCACAGGCAGGATATATCTAAGGGCTTCCATATTTGCAAAAGGCAGGGTGAAAAGAAACCAGCTGCATAGAATAACCCTTTCAGGAGAGATCTGCCAAGGTGGTTGGCAATGAGACAGAAAAAATGCATCCTACAAGCAATATGGAAATTGCAACAGGGAAGAGAAATTAGGAAGAGAGAGAATACCGGGAGAGATTTGATGTATGAGAGAGATAAGTACAAAAAATAAGTTATCTGCCTTGGGAGAAGAGGAGGTAGTTCAGACATAGAAGAGTCTTTTTTTAAAAAAAGATTTTTATTGATACAACAAGGGGAAAAAAAACCACAAGTACCAAATTACACACAAGAATAACCATAGACACATAATTTTCTTAGCAAACAATAAAACATATATTGGTCTTAAGACTAAAGACCCGACCTCCCGTCTATTCCATATTTCAATTTCATATTACTTATTGCCAATACACACTTTTTATCATAATTAAACTTATTCTTAATAAATCTAATTTCTTATATCTATCTTGCAACTATTACTGAAGTTCCTCAAATGCTGCAACAGAATTTAAACTACTATATTTATTTTTCAGATATTCTTTGACAACCTCCCATTTTGAAACAAATTCCTGTTTTGATTTATTCTTTATTTTTTCTGATAGACCATCTAATTTGGCATATTCTGTCAGCTTTTGGATCCAATCTTGTATAGAGGGGATTTCATTACTCTTCCATTTTGCTGCGATCAAAACTCTTGCCGCCACCGTCTAGCGCAGCCTTGATTCCTAATGGCCAGGGTACCAGGGAAAGGGAGTTTACCACCAATCTGGTCTCTAGGTTCACTCTGTGTCTTTCCTGAGGAAAAGAAGCTCAGCAGTGCAATGTGGAGTGGGAAATATTGAGGAGGGGGTGCGTAGGAGAACTAGAAAGAAAGGGGTAAGGGAGTGGACTGGGAAGAGCTGGGACTATGGGATGGAACCTTCACCACAAGCTTTTTCTGATGAAGTATAAGCAAATAGTTAGCACAAAAGTTGGACGGAACTAAAGAACGAAAAAGAAAGCAAAAACAACGGGAAAGCAGGAGGGGAAATGTGGAGCCGAACTGTGACATGCACTCTCTCTTATTATGGGCCTTTCTTCGTTTCTCTGGTGTTTTGCAGGTCTCTGCAGTGGGATCAATGTGATACAGGAGGATCGCTTCCAAATCATCCGGGAAGGGAGCAAAACAATCATAGACTGCAAGCATGATGACTCGTCCTACTTATATGTTTTTTGGTACCGGCAGAAGAGCAACAGTGTGCAGAAGCAGCTGCAACTCATTGGATTTTCTATACATGGGAATGACCCAGAGATGGAGATGACCCAATACAGCATAGACAGACCAGAAGTGACTCGTGCCTCCTTGTCCATCCCTAGGGGACAAGCTGAAGACACAGCAGTGTATTTCTGTGCAGCTAGTAAAGGCACAGCGAGAGTTCTCTGCGTCACAGCTGCACATGAACATCGCAGCTCTGCCCACACTCCCACCTAGGCCACAAACACACACAAACTATAACCAGTCACCTTCATGTTCTGAGGAGGGCAGGAAACAGCTGCCGCTGCCGTTGCTGATGGCATGTCTGCAATGATCACCCAGTGTTCTCTAACCACAGTTCGCTCAGAACTTCAGTTGTATGTCCCCCAAATTGCTTTTGAGAAGTTGCTTAACTTGCAGCGTGATGACAGAACCTTGTCCCAGACAAGCCAAAGAGGGACAGCCAGGTTAGCTCCCCAGAAACCAACCAACCAACCAACCAACCAACCAACCAAATAAATAAATAAATAAATAAATATTATACATATGGTACATACATGCCCTACCCATCTGGTTGGGTTTCCCCAACCACTCTGGGCAGCTTCCAACAAAATATTTAAAATATAATAAAACACCAAACATTAAAAACTTCCCTAAACAGGGCTGCCTTCAGATGTCTTCCAAAAGTCAGATACAGTGGTACCTTGGGTTACATACGCTTCAGGTTACATACGCTTCAGGTTACACACTCCGCTAACCCAGAAATAGTGCTCCAGGATAAGAACAGAAATTGGGCTCCAGCGGCATGGCAGCAGCAGGAGGCCCCATTAGCTAAAGTGGTGCTTCAGGTTAAGAACAGTTTCAGGTTAAGAACAGACCTCCGGAATGAATTAATTACTTAACCCGAAGTACCACTGTAGTTGTATGTTCTGCTCAGTGGCAAGCAGTCAGTGTACTAGGGGGACAGGGCTAGTCCCCTAAATGTGCCCTCTTTTTTTCTAGAAAAAGAGGTGCTGGTACTCACCATGAAGTTGTTACAGTAAGTACCACACTTTTTAGGATCAAAAAGATGTGCCGCTACTGCGTACCCCCTGAGGGGGGAAGCACTGGTTCCCAGTAAATTGGAGCCTGAAAGTATTATATATATAATTTTTATTTCCTTTTTTTGTTTTACAATTTAAAATACTCATTTAAACATTCTTAAAATTTCAATGACTTCCCCTCTTCTGTTTCCATAGTTCATTTTGCATATCATAAATCCCTGCATATTTTACAAAAACTAAACCATTCAGTATTCTGTTATTGCATCCATCAAAACTTATTTACACTGTTGAATTTATCTTAATGCTGCCAACATTTTCAAGTGTACACAATTCCCCCCCATGTATTTAACAAACGTTTTCTAATCTTCTCTAAACGTATGTTCTCTTATTCTATGCGCATATTCTGTCAGCTTAAGTTGCCATTCTTCTTTCGTTTAGGACCTTAAAGTATTAAAGCCCGGTGCCTCTTTCCCAAAGCCCAGAAAGCTTCTGCCCATCTTAGGGAGGGAAGCACGATGTCTCTGATCCTAATTGTTCCCCTACCATCTCTGGGTCAGCTTAAAAAAATGCTCTATGTCCGTATTTTCAATATATCTTTTTAATGAGGGGCGCAGTGCATTTTTGTAAACCGCTTTGAGTGTTGTTGTTGTTTTCCTTTTTTAAAAAAAACAATCCAGCAGTGTTATAAATTTCATGAAATGCAGGCAATCCATTTAAATGTGTGCTTCACCTTTCGAACTTGGCCAGTCAAGGGAGTTTTCCATCCTCAAGGGGGAGCGGTTGAGCCTACACCATATTTCTGCAAGGAGATGGTTGAGAAACAGCAAACGCTCCGAGATGAAGATCCAGACCGTGTGGTGTGTGGCTGTTTCTCTTTTGGCTGCAGGTGCGTTCGTAGCTGGGAGGAAACGACCAGTCAAGAAACCCTAAAATATTCTGTTGGAATTTAAATGTTCTTACAATTTACCTCAGGTTGATACAAACCGAGGAGCAAAGAACAAGGAGGGCAAGTTGGAGAATCGAAGCTTCTGGGGCACACACCTCTTGCTGTGGACTTGCTTTGTCAACCTGGTGGCATCCATGTATTATTGCTGGATTACAACTCCCTTCAATCCTGGCTAGCATGGCTGATGGCACTTCAGAAAGCTCAGTCAGCAGAGCGTGAGATTCTTAATCTCTGGATTGTGGGTTCAAGCCCCACGTTGGGCCAAAGATTCCTGCATCACAGGGGCATTGGACGAGATGACCCTCCTGGTCTCTTCCAAACCTACAATTTTATGATAGGATTTGTAGTCCGAAACAACTGGAGGGCACCAGGTTGAGGAAGACTGTTCCAGATACTAGCAGGAGGTCTTTAATGCTGTGTGTGTTTGTTTGTTTGTTTGTTTATGTGTGTGTATGTGTTGTTATTGTTATGGGTTTCTGTTGTTATTATGGGTTTCTATGTTGAAAACCACCCTGTGACCCATGGATGAAGGGCAGTACATAAATAATATATAATAATATCATTACAGTGGTACCTCGGGTTACATACGCTTCAGGTTACATACGCTTCAGGTTACAGACTCCGCTAACCCAGAAATATTACCTCAGGTTAAGAACTTTGCTTCAGGATGAGAACAGAAATCGTGCTCTTGCGGCCTGGCGGCAACAGGAGGCCCCATTAGCTAAAGTGGTGCTTCAGGTTAAGAACAGTTTCAGGTTAAGAATGGACCTCGGGAACGAATTAAGTACTTAACCCAAGGTATCACTGTAACTTAATAACAATAGTAATACTGACAACTATTTCTGCCACTCATTTTCTCTCAAGTCCTCTGCTGACCCTCTCTCACCTGCCATGCCAACAGGACGGCAGGTGAGTGGCCTACCTGGTAGAGGTGGTGCCACAGATGACAGGGCAGAAAAGGGCTGGGGAGGGGGAAGTCAGAGGTATACTGCTCCACTAGGAGATTTAACCAGCTTCCTGGTGTCCTGGCAAGAAGTGGCCACCCCAGAAGCTGAAGGGTAATGTTTGGCTATTTTCCTGACTACTGCTGAGTTCTCTATAGAGGATTGTTTTATCAGTTCTGTGAATGTTAATCTAATAAGCCAACACTGTGCTCCATTTCTGAAGCAGTTGCATAGACGGCATCTCTGACTACAGTGGTACCTCAGGTTAAGTACTTAATTTGTTCCGGAGGTCCGTTCTTAACCTGAAACTGTCCTTAACCTGAAGCACCACTTTAGCTAATGGGGCCTCCTGCTGCCGCCGCGCCACCAGAGCACAATTTCTGTTCTCATCCTGAAGCAAAGTGCTTAACCTGAAGCACTATTTCTGGGTTAGCGGAGTCTGTAACCTGAAGCGTATGTAACCTGGAGCGTATGTAACCTGAGGTACCACTGTACAGGCAAACCAGCTTCATACTGCCCACCTCCCAGTTCTGTGAGGGATGGAGGAGCTAGCAGTCACAGAGGGTCATCAGCCCCCTACCCAGTCCCCCAGATGCTGGGGTGGAGCCAGTCCCAGGACGGTTAGTGTGGCATACAAATCATGCGATTGGTGTGCGTTTGTAGCACAGATATGCATAGAAATAGAAAAATGAATATGATTATCCGAGCAATTTATTTGAGTGCATCTTTTTCTCCCCCCAAGGGCTTGCAGGCAAAGAGATCCACCAGGCGCCAAGTTTGATGGTGAAGGAGGGCGGAATAGCCCAGCTGGAATGCAGTCAAACCTACGGACACGATAACATGTATTGGTACAAGCAACAGCCCCAGGGGATGGGCCTTCAGCTTCTCTATTACTCCATTGAAAATGCTGTGGAGACCAACGAGATCAAGTCAGACAGACTGACGGCTCGTCGGCTGGACAATAAAGTCTTTTGCTTGAACATCTCCTCGGTCGAAGCAAGCGATATAGCCGTGTATTTCTGTGCTAGCAGCAGATACACAGTAGTCGGGAGCTCTTCCGGCAGTGTGCAATAACTGCCTGCCCTGGCTGTGTTTAGCAACATGACACCTGTTGTCTTTGAGAACTAGGCCTTAGAAGGGGTGGGCTGCTGTTTGAAAGGAGTTTTGCTCTGACTGGGGAATTCCACCCGGCGTAATGTGTGCTGCCACCGTTTCACTCTGACTGATGGGAGAGGAACTCCATTCATCACTGCAGACCCTGCGCCAGGGTCACCTTGATGTTGTTACAGTTCCCATCATCTCTGAATAATGACCATGTTGGCTGGGGACTGTAGTCGGATGGAGGGCCACCATTTCCCTATCCCTGCCTTATCATTTAAGAATTACATTACAGGGTCCATTGAGGGCTGCTGAACCCTTGAGTTGCCGGTGATGCATTTCTCTCCTTCTATTTTAAATGAAACAATAAATATCCCAGGCTCTTGGCTAATTAGTCAATCTCTGGTTGGTTGGTTGGTTGGTTGGTTGGTTGGTTGGCAGGCATCCTTTTGTCTCAGGTGACAATGGAAGAGTATGCCTTTGGGAGGTGAAGTCAAACCATTGGAGAGTTATAGCGCCTGCCGTAGAGACCGATAGGGGAGAGACATGTTTTGTTGCATCTGGGGAAGATGAAGGTGTCTGATTGTGCTGACCTATGGCCTTTTAAATAGGGTGTGGGGGTTATTGTTTTCATTTGTTATTACGGTATGGTTTTTTGTGTTTTTATGTTGCAAGCCGCCCTGTGATCTTCGGATGAAGGGTGGTCTAGAAATTAAATAAGTGTGTAAAATATATTTTATAGGATGATGCTTTGAGGCAACTATTCCTTTTAATCAGTTTTTGCTAACCGGGCAAAATGTTTTGGACTCCCATCAGCCCCAGCCAGTGCAATTGTTTGGCAAAGGGTGCTTTACAGCTTCATTTAAAAAGAAAGCAGAAATTAGTTCCTTTCACAAGGAAAGGGCCCTCCACACGTGCTCTGGAAGCATTCTGAGAAGGCTGCCATAGTTTTCAGAACACAACCATGGGAGCCTTATTCTGATCCAGCTGGGAGGTGACTTTTAAGGGGGGAAAATCAGCAAGTAACTAAGATTCACATTGGCATTCAGTTTCTCTCACATATTTAGAGATATGTAGGTGGTACGTATATTTAGAGATATGTAGGGACGCGGGTGGCGCTGTGGGTTAAACCACAGAGCCTAGGGCTTGCCGATCAGAAGGTTGGCAGTTCTAATCCCCGCGACGGGGTGAGCTCCCGTTGCTCGGTCCCTGCTCCTGCCAACCTAGCAGTTCGAAAGCACGTCAAAGTGCAAGTAGATAAATAGGTACTACTCTGGCGGGAAGGTAAACAGCGTTTCCGTGCGCTGCTCTGGTTCGCCAGAAGTGGCTTAGTCATGCTGGCCACATGACCCGGAAGCTGTACGCCGGCTCCCTCGGCCAATAAAGTGAGATGAGCGCCGCAACCCCAGAGTCGTCCACGACTGGACCTAATGGTCAGGAGTCCCTTAACCTTTACCTTAGGTGGAGATACTTTGATACCATCAGATTGCCCAGGGCTTTTTTTCAGCTGGAACTCTCCGGAACTCAGTTCCAGCACCTCTCAAGTGGTGCCATTGCCATTATAAGAGAACAAGGGAGGTGTTCAAGGTGAGTTCCAGACCTCTTTTTTTTAGAAAAACAGCACTGAGATTGCCTAATCAACTCTTTCTTTGTCTACACAGAGTTACATCCCTGCCAGAATATAACAAGTGATATAAACATTTGTGGCTTGCCATGTTATAGAATATTCCTGGGCAAAAAAGAGAAGAATTTAATCGTGGAAAGCATAATAAAAAAGCAGGAAAATTGGACAATAAATATAAAAATGCTGTTATCAAACCTAGCAGTGTGAGCTGCTTCCAGCGCATAAACAGGATTGTGTTGCGAATGTCCTCTGGACACAAACAAGCATGCCCTAAACTCTCAGTCCCACCAATTAAAATTGGAGCACATTGATGCGTCGGGTTAAAATGTATGTTGGTTTATTGCATTATATACAGGGAAGGGGACTTTTGTTGTTGCACTTCAACTCCAATCAGCCCCAGGCAGTAGGGCTATTGATGGGAGTCCAGAAACAGCTCACAGCCCACAGATTTCGTGCCCCTAAACTAGAGCAGCAAAGCCAGCAGTATCTGCTTACCTTGACTTTGTGATGTCAGGAGGGGAGTCAGTGTGACGGAACCACAGAAGGAAGCGTAGAGTATCACAGCCACATGAAACTTGCCGAAAGTCTAGTGGCTGCGTTAGAGAAGAAATGTGGATTAGCTGGTACATTCTGAGCATTTGGCTTTTGGAAATAGGTAAAGCCTTCATCGAACCCTTTTTATATAAAGCTCATCTGCGACGTTGGTTTAAACCAGGGTTTCCCAAACTTGGGTCTTCGGCTGTTTTTGGACTACAATTCCCATCATCCCTGACCACCGGTCCTGCTAGCTAGGGATGCTGTAGTCCAAAAACAGCTGGAGACCCAGGTTTGGAAAACACTGGTTTAAACCCTCACCCCCAATGTTATAACACTTAGTTTTCTCTCTTCTAGGAAGCTCAAATGCTCGCATCGACCAAACACCGGGTTTAGTGCTGAGAGACGGGGACACTGCGCAGCTGGAATGCAATCAAACGGAGTCTCACAACTATGTGTTCTGGTACCGGCAGGGTGCAAATCGAGGTCTGCAGTTTCTCTATTTTTTCCAGTATCGAGAACTTATGGAGAACAGCAGTCTTCCTGAACGGTTCGCAGCCAAGCAGCCTGAGACTCAGCACCTTCAGCTGAAGATTTCCTCTGTGAAACAAGAGGATTCAGCCATCTATTTCTGTGCAACCAGCCTTGACACAGCAGTTCAAAGTAATGCTTCCCACCTGCAAAAACATTTCATATGTATGAGCGTCTGAGGGTGGAATGAGACAGACACAATCTTGTGTTTTTCTCATAACACTCATGCTGGGAATTGGGGCAGTATTTGAATAGACAAATCAGTGGATGAGAGAGGAAGTGCTTAACCTCTGCCCTGTCTGCCCGCTTTGAATTAATTTAACCTCACTGCAAGAAGTGAGGTTACAGAGAATCAGGCAGAGGGCTTTCTTGGTAGTGGCACCTGCCCTGTGGACCGCCCTCCCATCAGATGTCAAGGAAATAACAAGGAAATAAACAACTATCTGACTTTTAGAAGACATCTGAAGGCAACCCTGTTTAGGGAAGTTGTTAATGTTTGATGTTTTATTGTGTTTTTAATATTCTGTTTGGGAGCCACGAAGAGCGTCTGGGGAAACCCTGCCAGATTGGCAGGGAATACTATATATCATTTCCCAGAATGCTTTTAGAACCTTACAGGTCCACCACATATGATAGAAGGTGCCTTCCTTTTGCTTACCTTTCCAGCTGATATTTGCACTTGTCTTATACATTTTTGCAAGCTTACAAGGAGTCAAATACCACCAGTATATCATTTTCATATAATTTTCTTTCAGCGTACAAGAGGCTGAAAGAAAATTTTACCACCGCCCCAGCCTCCCTTACCTGGATTGTGCAGCGGTGCCTGGCAGCAACAATGGCAGATTTCTAAAAAAAAAGAGCACGAACTGCTTTTTGCCCCTGGGCAATTCGGCTCTGCCATATAAAATGGAATCAATTAAAGTTGAGCTGATTATTCAAAAGTATGAGGTGATCTGATATAGGCTTTATGCACACCATAGATTCAAAACACCTCCAAGTATTCTGGGAACTGTAGTTTGTAGAGGGTGCTGGAGAATTGTACCCCTGTGGGGCATAAACTACAGTTCCCAGGATCCATGTGTGAGTGTGTGTAGGCAGCCACAAACCTGCATGAGAGTCTTCTTTGGCAATCACTTGTAGCTGAGTAAAATTGTCTTTCATAGACACAGTCTTAACAGTGAGTCCGTAAGTGACCGTGGAGGCCAATTCTGGTTCCACACGTCCTTCCATTTTTTTTTTATTTATTAAGATTTTTTGAAATATTACAGTAAAAATGAAAAAAGAAAAAAGAAAAATACAAAATAAAAACAGTTAAAAACACGCATATTTTCCATTACTTATTTTCCTTTAGCTTGTTTCCCGGACCTCCTCATACCTCCCTTTTTTGTATTCCACTTCAATTTATTAGTTCAGCAAATCCTTACCATTAGTTTTTTACCCATTTATAACCCTTTTTTCAATTCTCTTAGAGCATTACAGCTGGAAACCGCTTAATTTCTATCCAACATGATTCTATCATTCATTAATTTTACAATATTTCTGTAGATAGTCTTTAAATTTCTTCCAATCTTCTTCCACCGACTCTTCTCCCTGGTCTCGGATTCTGCCAGTCATTTCTGCCAATTCCATATAGTCCATCACCTTCATCTGCCATTCTTCCAAAGTGGGTAGATCTTGTGTCTTCCAATACTTTGCAATGAGTATTCTTGCTGCTGTTGTAGCATACATAAAAAAAGTTCTGTCCTTCTTTGACACCAATTGGCCAACAATGCCCAAAAGAAAGGCCTCTGGTTTCTTCAAGAAGGTATATTTAAATACCATTTTCAGTTCATTATATATCATTTCCCAGAAAGCCTTAATCCTTGGGCACGTCCACCAAAGGTGAAAGAATGTACCTTCAGTTTCTTTACATTTCCAGCATTTATTATCGGGCAAATGATAGATTTTTGCAAGCTTGACTGGGGTCATGTACCACCTGTATATCATTTTCATAATATTCTCTCTTAGGGCATTACATGCCGTAAACTTGATACCTGTGGTCCATAACTGTTCCCAGTCAGCAAACATAATATTATGTCCAACATCTTGTGCCCATTTAATCATAGCAGATTTCACCGTTTCATCCTGAGTATTCCATTTCAATAGCAAGTTATACATTCTTGACAGATTCTTAGTTTTGGGTTCTAACAAATCTGTTTCTAATTTTGATTTTTCCACCTGGAAGCCAATTTTCTTATCCAAATTATATGCCTCCATTATCTGATAATAATGAAGCCAATCTCTCACTTTATTTTTTAATTTCTCAAAACTCTGCAATTTCAATTTGTCTCCTTCTTGTTCCACCACACATCCTTCCACAGTGGGGACATAGGTTTCCGGGCAGGAGTTGATCATGGTGAGGGTTTGCCCAGCGTGCCTTCCTCTTAGCAAGTTTCTCCCTTTCATCCCGAGTTTGAGTGTCTTCAAAACCCATGACACCTTTGGTAAAGGCTATTCTCCAGTTGGAACGCTGGCAGGTCAGTGTTTCCCAGTTGTCGGTGTTTATACTACATTTTTTTAGATTTGCCTTGAGCGAGACTTTAAACCTCTTTTGTTGACCACCAGCATTATGCTTTCCATTTTTAAGTTCAGAATAGAGTAGTTGCTTTGGAAGACGATAATCAGGCATCCGCACAACATGACCAGTCCCACGAAGTTGATGATTGCTTTGACACTGATGATCTTTGCTTCTTCCAGTACAATGGCATTAGTTCACCTGGCTTCCCAAGGTGATGTGTAAAAATTTTTCTAAGACACCGTGGATGGAATAATTCGAAGCGTTGGAGATGGCATGAAAGTAAACCCCAGTGAACTCTCTCAGTGGGACTTTCAAATAGACATAAAATGAATTACACTGCAGCCCTGGGCAGTCATTGCTGTCTCCGCCTTTGCGATGACATAAACTGGAGTCAAGAGAAGGAAGTAGACACTGCGGCTGTTCTAAAACGTTTGCCCACAAACGTTTGCCGCAGCTCAGAGGGGAAGAGATGTGGATCATCTGGTGTGTGGCCACTTGCCTCTTGGAAGTAGGTAAGACCTTCACTCAATGATTCTTATTTAAGACATTGTTTTAAAGGGTTTCTTCACAAGCTTCCCTCTCCCTCTCTCCCCCAGGATGGTCCAATGCAGAGATCAGGCAGCAGTGGAGTCTGGTGCTTCAGGAAGGCAGAAATGCCAGGCTGGAATGCGAACAAACTACCGACCACAACAGCATGTTTTGGTTCCGGCAAGACCCAGGACAGGGTCTGCAGCTTCTCTTTAGTTTCTATTTAAACCAGCTACAGCATCAAGGCAACATTTCTGAGCGTTTCCAAGCTGAGCAGCGTGAAACAAAGCAATGCCACCTTAACATTTCCCCAGCCAGAACAGAGGATTCAGCCGTGTATTTCTGTGCAAGCAGCAAAGACACAGCATTTCAAAGTCACCTCTTCTTCCTACCAAAACCTCACTTCATTGATGTGCATGGAGGGTAGAGCGAAGATGACTTATCCAGTGGCAGAGGGTTCTTAACCCCACAATGGCCAGCGCTCAGCTGCAAAAGCAGACGATTGTTTTAATTGATGTTGGACCAGCTGGGCTCTGAAATTAGAACTGAGCATGGCTTGCTAAGAGGGGGGTTGTTGGGAAACTGTGTACGTGCAGCTCCTCACACAGAGTCAATTAAGGTTTGGCAGACAGCCAGAAGGCAATCTGAAGGAGTAAGTCTGCCTGGAGATAACAGAGACATGGAGACCGCTCCCTGATTGGTCAAGCTCTCTCAAGGGAGTAATAATTAATGGCCTACTAACTAGAATGTGTTAGTTCAGGAGTTCATTGTTCAGAGTTCTGTGTCAGTGTAGGAGTTGTGAGTCGTGTAAGAGAGAGCTAGCTAAAGATCCATGTTCTGTTCCTGTAAATAGTCCACTGTATATAATAAACACCTAACTACAAGTTCCTGGTTCCTGCTTCGTCTATCCTGTCTGCAGCCAAGTTGCCAATTGCCTCTGTGGATTCTGCGTGTACTCTGCTAGGTCCTGCAACTAGTCAGAAAGTTGCCAAACACCAATAGGTTTTGCCAATAGGGGTGGCGACAAGCCTTAAAGGTGTGATGGGCAGAGGAGAATCAGCTGCTGCATAGGAGCTCAGGACCCCCGCCTTTGTCCTCTCTCTGTTTCCTGCCCCAGCAGAGCCACAAATTTGATTGCGAGCAAAATAATATTTATGGGTGGCTGTTAAAAATTATATAACTTCAAACTCCCCCATAATATAACCAGACGTAAAGAACAGATGAGATTTCCAAGAGGACATCATTATATACATGCAACAATATAATAACTTGATGCTGAAACATTGAGCTCACAGGACCAACAATGATAAAATTAATGTTGAAGACCAGACATGCTTCATCCCACAAGGGTCTTCCTCAAAACCCAGCACTGTCACCAGAAGTAAAACACTTGACTGATCTAAATAGATACAGTGAGGTTACGTGCAATAAATACAAGGTGTAATAGTTTGTGATCAATATACATCTCTGACAAGATTGAAAACCTCAGTCTAGTAGGTAATGGTTTTTAGGAAACTCGCCAACCATTCCATTGAATTATTGTACACATATGGTAAACCTGGAGAGATAAATGGATTAATAGAGAAGGTAGTATTTTTCTAATGCCCAGTCTATAAATCTAGATGATGCCAAATTAAAACAAGACACTTTACACTGTGGAATTTGGGTTTTATATTTCATTTTTGTGTGTGTCCTGCCCAACACACCCACTATTCCATTAATGTTAGGTTTGAAATTGCTTGTTTGCCTCCTGACATAACACACTCCATCACAGGCAAGGGAAATGATAGCTGTTCAGCACTGTTTCTGACCCCAAACATGTGAGATTACCCCCCCTTTTTTTTGTTTTTACACCAAACAATCTTCAACGTATTGAAAACCATTTTTTAAAAAGTTATACCTAGGAATGGGGAAGAAATTCAGTTTGTTTATTACATATATAGGAAAATATATAGTGGATTCCTCTGACATCCCTAGCTGCTTAGCTGCTAATTCATTCAGATTTGACTAGCTGCTTGGTTGTTGTTTTTACTGCTGAATTGACCTATCAGTTTCAGATTATGCTATCTTCAGAGAGATGAGCTTCTCTTTTTCAGCAGGTCCCCAGCTGCTCCACCTCCTTGGCAGAAAGGTCTCAGAACCAGTTCCTGCCACCAGTGAGGTGCACTCAAGAGAACCTCCTCTTCAACTCTTCTTAGAGGCTCAGAGACAGCAGCTGCCTTGCTCCACGTTGCTCTTGCAGCAGAGACCATGTGGTGGAAAGCGCTGGGTGTTGGCTTGCAGCTGTTGGCAGGTAGGAGAATCTCTCTCACAGGCAGGATAGGTCTGTCCAAGGGCTTCCACAACTGTAAAAGAAAGGAAGAACCCAGCTTCACAGGCTGGGGCGCTTTAGGGGAGATCTACCAAGAGAGTCGGCAATGGGATAAAAAGGGCACCCTGCAAGCAATATAGAATTTTCAACCGAGAAAAGAAACAGGCAGAGAAATGAGAAAGGAGGAGGGCCAGGATAATAATAATAATAATAATAATAATAATAATAATAATAATAATTTATTATTTATACCCTGCCCATCTGGCTGGGTTCCCCAGCCACTCTGGGCTGCTTCCAACAAAACACTAAAATACAATAACCCATTAAACATTAAAAGCTTCCCTAAACAGGGCTGCCTTCAGATGTCTTCTAAAAGTTTGGTAGTTATTTTTCTCTTTGACATCTGGTGGGAGGGCGTTCCACAGGGCAGGTGCCACTACTGAGAAGGCCCTCTGTCTGTTCCCTGTAACTTGGCTTCTCGCAGCGAGGGAACCGCCAGAAGGCCCTCGGCGCTGGACCTCAGTGTCCGGGCAGAACAATAGGGGTGGAGACGCTCCTTCAGGTATTCAGGATGGGGAAATGAGGGGCAGAAGCCCAGCAAATCTAAAGGGGTCCTGGGCAGTAGAGGTGTCCCATAGTTCTCTCTTTCTCTTGCTTTCTTTCATTCTTAATATATTTGAATATGTATAATGTATCCAGTGCTTTTTTCTGGGGGTACGCATGCCCCTAAACATTTTGTGAATCTAAGTTTGGCCTCATTGAGGGGCAGTATTTCAATATGAGTAGGAAAATGAGAGTACCCCTAAACATTTTTTTATATATAGAAAAAAAGCACTGAATGTATTTACTTAAGAGTCGGTTCTTGTCATATCTTGCGTCCTTGATGCTCCTAGTAACAGATTAGGACCTACCTAGATAAGTAGGTCCTTCAACCAGAGGGAAGGTCCTTTTCTGCGTTGCAGCAAGATGGATTTCTGCAGGTCTCCACACTGCTAGACCTTAACCTCCACTGAAGATCTCAGCAATTGGGCTGATCTATATGAATCCCTTAATTTTCTTCTGGCCAAAGAATGGCTGTGCTTCATTCCTATGGGGAACATAAAGTACACCACAAGGGTGGATGGCATGCTAGTGGGGAGGAGAAGATTATGGGGATAGTGCAGCCTGTAGAGCACGAGACTCTTAATCTCAAGTTCGCAGGTTCGAGCCCCACGTTGGGCTAAAGATTCGGGCATTGCAGGGGGCAGGGTCCCTTTCAACTCTACAATTCTATGGGTTGAGGACTGGAAAGAAGGGGATAAAGGAATTGATGGGAAAGAACTGAGGTAAACTGACGGGCCATTCACTGCCAACTCATCCTCTCCTGCTTTTGAAATTCCACAGGCCGTTCTCTGCTGAATGCAAGGGCTCAGTGCAAATATGAGGTGGGATTTAGTTGAGGGAAAGGGCAGTTTCTTCCTTGTGGAAACCGAAAAGTAAAGTTAGGAGCCAAACTGTGACATGTAAAGCTGAGCAAGCTCTCCTTCTTGGGGGGTCCTTGTTCACTTCTCAGGTCTTTTACAGGTTTCTGCAGTGGAGTCACCGTGACGCAGAAGGAACAGTTCAAATTTGCCCGGAAGGGGGCCAAAACAAGTATGGAGTGTTCCCACAATGACAGCACCTACACAACTATCCTTTGGTATCGGCAGGAGAGCAACCGTGCAGACAAGTGGCTGGAGCTCATTGGCTACTCTGTACATGGATCTGTGTCTATGGAGCCAAATATGGAGAAATACAGTATAGAATCAACAAATGTGACACATGCTTCCCTGTCCATCACTCCAGAACAAACTACAGATTCAGCCGTGTATTTTTGCGCAGCCAGTAAAGGCACAGCAAGAACTTTCTGCCTCACAGCTGCACATAAACACTGCAGCTCTGCCAACACTCCCCTTCCTGCCCTCTATACCACACACACACACACACACACACACACACCCCAGTCACTTACAGAGTCCTGTTTCATAAGACAATGAGAAACAGCAGCACTATCTGCCACTGTGGGCTTATGGACCCTACACATGTGCCTATTTCCCAGGCACAGTCCTAAATTTACAGAAGCTGTCCTGTTTCTGATTTGATCCCGAAATGTCCCACTTTTCCTTAAGGTAAAGGTAAAGGGACCCCTGACTATTAGGTCCAGTCGTGACCGACTCTGAGGTTGCAGCGCTCATCTAGCTCTATAGGCCGAGGGAGCCGGCGTACAGCTTCCAGGTCATGTGGCCAGCATGACTAAGCCGCTTCGGGTGAACCAGAGCAGTGCACAGAAACACCGTTTACTTTCCCACTGGAGCAGTACCTATTTGTGTACTTGCACTTTGATGTGCTTTTGAACTGCTAGGTTGGCAGGAGCAGGGACCGAGCAACGGGAGCTCACCCCGTCGCGGGGATTCGAACCGCCGACCTTCTGATCGGCAAGTCCTAGGCTCTGTGGCTTAACCCACAGCGCCACCCATCTCCCTTAACTTTTCCTTAGGATGCCCCTATTTTCATCGGAGAAATGTTGGAGGGTATGGGCTTATGGCCAGCAGCATTATTTATGATTTTCAATTGCATACATTTCAATAATTTTACAATCATTTGAACATTTCAAAACTTGACTTCCTTCCCCCTCTTTCTGCGGTTCCTTAAAATTATTTTAAATATTTTCTGCATATCAAAATTAATTTGCTCATTTATTCATCTCCTTTAAATGTATACTCTTATAACTCTGCAGGTTATTACAATAATCCTGCCAATGTTCTTATCTGTTTACAATTTATTTGTAAATATTCAATAAACCATTTCCATTCTTTTATAAAAAGTTTGTTATCTTGATTTCTTATTTTTCCGGTAAGTTTCGCCATTTCTGCATATTCCATAAGTTTTTGTATCCATTCTCCTTTTGCTGGGATTTCTTCTTCGTTCCATTTTTGGGCAAGTAACATTCTTGCCGCTGTAGTTAAATACATGAATATATTTCTATACAGTTTGGGTAGTTCTGTCCCTATAATCCCCAAAAGCAGGACTTCTGTTTCTTTTACATACGTTCTTTCAAACATCTTTTTCAATTCATTATATATCATTTCCCAGTAAGCTGGCTGACATGGTGTCTTTAGAAAGCATTCCAACACCCCCCCCCGCCCATCTCCCAGAACCTGGCAAGCCTTAAAAGTAGGAGAGCAAAGAGCTCAAAGACAGAGGGCACGTAGCAGCACCCATAGAGGAGATGATGAGCATGATGAATGAGGAAGTGGGAGAGACAGGGGGGTGGAGATTCACTCAGGACAATGCCATTATCCAAGCGGCTGGGTTCTATAGCCTCTCTCTGTAAAGACTGAAATAAAAAAGGACGGTAATAAACTTTCCCTTGTCTTTATACTTTCCTGGGTAACTAGCTGGGAGCCGCTGACAGCATCCTGACAGTTATTTGCGTATCTTGCATAGAAAAATTTTCTTTTCTTTGACCCGAATCTACAGCCGATTCATCCCATCAGGCCCTTGAGTTTTAGAGTTAAGGAGAGAGGGATTTCTGTCTCTCCACATGATTCTTATATATCTTATCTTGTAACAATTACATAAAATGCAAATAACCCTCATGTTGTTGTTTAGTCGTTTAGTCGTGTCCGACTCTTCGTGACCCCCTGGACCAGAGCACACCAGGCACTCTTGTCTTCCACTGCCTCCCACAGTTTAGTCAAACTCATGCTGGTAGCTTTGAGAACACTGTCCAACCATCTCGTCCTCTGTCGTCCCCTTCTCCTTGTGCCCTCCATCTTTCCCAACATCAGGGTCTTTTCCAGGGAGTCTTCTCTTCTCATGAGGTGGCCAGAGTATTGGAGCCTCAGCTTCACGATCTGTCCTTCCAGTGAGCACTCAGGGCTGATTTCCTTCAGAATGGAGAGGTTTGATCTTCTTGCAGTGCATGGGACTTTCAAGAGTCTCCTCCAGCACCATAATTCAAAAGCATCAATTCTTCGGCGATCAGCCTTCTTTATGGTCCAGCTCTCACTTCCATACATCACTACTGGGAAAAACATAGCTTTAGGCTAGCCTAAAAGGAAAGGTGATTGTTTTTGTTTCCCCTTTCCTGGACTACAGCGTCCTTTTTGAGATGGAGTGAGACTATATTGTAGGTGGAGCTTCCTTCAGCTGCTCAGAGACAACCCAAATTTCTAGACGGAAGTCTGTGATTAAACATCTCTGCTAGTCATCACTGGGTGAGGGTGTGAGAGAGAGGAATATCTTGATACCTCTGCACAAATTTAAGAGTCTCACAAAACATGTTAACAACCACAGTTTGGGTTGCACAGGGAGGACTACTGAACTCCTGTTTCTAAGAGAGCTTTGTTGTGTTCATGTAGACAGAACCAGACTGCTGGTGCCAAGGAAGGAAGCCGATATAATACAGTCACATAAAAGCCACATTCGACACTTGCAAAGAGCTCAGAGATGTGGATCATCTGGTGTGTGGCTATGTGCTTCTTAAAATTCAGTAAGTCCTTTGTCAGAATCCTCTTCTCTGCTTTACAGGCGGCTTTTAATATTCTAATCCGAGACCCAGGTTTAAATTTCCTCTTTCCTCTTTCTCTTTCAGGATTCTCAAATGCTGAGATCACCCAGCCATGGAGCCTGGTGCTGCAGGAAGACAAAACTGCACAGATCGAGTGTGAACAAAAATATCAGCACAACGTCATGTTCTGGTACCGCCAGGGTGCCAAGCCAGGTCTACAGCTCCTCTTTCACTACTATTATGCCCAGCAACAGCCTGCAGGCAATGTTTCTGACCGGTTCACAGCTGATATGCCCAGCACAGATCACTTGATCCTGAATATTTCCCCTGCAAAGCCAGAAGATTCAGCTGTGTATTTCTGTGCAAGCAGCAGAGACACAGCAGTTCAAAGTAACCTCTCCTTCCTACAAAATCCTCTGTGTGTCCTCATCACTCTGCCTGCGTGGGCAACTGTGCTTGAGTGGTAGGGATCCATTTAGCATGAAATATACTCAGAGTCGAGAGTGGATTTCATGCTCTTTATTCAGCTCTTAGTGGTGAGGAGGACTGGAAGTTCCCCCCACAATATCTGCTTTATATACATTATTTACACAATGGGCTGCACGTGATTGGCTAACTCCGGGATTCTCCTGTAGGCCAATCAGGTTGTGGATTCACTTCCACCTGGAGCTGGATTGGGTGGCTCCTGCGGACCAATCATACTGCTTCATTGTTCTAGGACCAATCAGACTGCTGCATACTGAATCCTATTGTTCTAGGACCAATCAGACTGCTGCATTTTGGATCCTATTCAACTCAGTACATAACAACCATGTATGGACCAATGTGAGATTCCAATTCCTCTGCGGGGCTTCTGGCAATGGGAAACTCTAAGGCAGAGCATGTGCTCCAGAATCCTCTAAGGAGTTTGGATTCGGGACATTATAAACATTATAAAACAGTGTTCAGGGCCAGGCAGGTTTGCTGGCTGACCTGGCAGCCTCAGGCTGCAACATTTGCCTTTTCTATTATCGGAAATAGCATGTCTTTATCACTTTTCCATACGATAAAATGCTCAAATTATCCCAAGATCCTGGGAAGTGAAAAGCTGCCGTGATGACCTCGGGAGGTGGGCGTTCAGCCAGACAAAGCCTGCCAGCAGCTATTTAGGACATGAAACCTCCACCAATTTTCTACTCTGAGCAGGTAGAGTGATCATTGGCAGAGACACCATGAAGTTCCTCTTGATCCTTACCTGTCTGGGAGTAGCGGGTGGGTCCTTAGATGCTGCTTCATCTTTCTTTCCTTGGAACTCAGGACAACTAAAAAAAAAAAAAAGAATTTTCTATCATAGGCTCCACTGGAGACACCAAACGCCATCCAGAAGTTATATTTGTCAACCTGCTGGGATAACGCAGTTGTGAGCAGTGGTAGGGCTAGCATACGAACACATGGAGCAAGCTGTGTGTAGTGCCTTAAGCCCAGTGCATATTTTCCTAGCAAAAGAGGGGCCAGAACTCTCCATGAACTTCTCCTTTGTTTTCTTAGAATGGCAATGAAGTGCATCTGAAAGGTGCTGGAACTGAGTTCTGGCGATTTCTGGCTGAAAAAAAGGCCCAGCTTTAGACTGTTCTTGGGTTTGCTTGTTCGTTTGCTTGCTTGCTTGCTTATTTATTTACTTATTTACTTATTTACTTACTTACTTACTTATTTACTTACTTACTTGCACTAAGATACAGGTCTTCATATGGGACGCGGGTGGTGCTGTGGGTTAAACTACAGAGCCTAGGGCTTGCCGATCAGAAGGTCGGCGGTTCGAATCCCCGCGACAGGGTGAGCTCCCGTTGCTCGGTCCCAGCTCCTGCCAACCTAGCAGTTCGAAAGCACGTCAAAGTGCAAGTAAATAGGTACCGCTCCGGCGGGAAGGTAAACGGCGTTTCCGTACGCTGCTCTGGTTCGCCAGAAGCGGCTTAGTCATGCTGGTCACATGACCTGGAAGCTGTACACCGGCTCCCTCGGCCGGTAAAGCGAGATGAGCACCGCAACCTCAGAGTCGGTCACGACTGGACCTAGTGGTCAGGGGTCCCTTTACCTTTTACCTTTACAGGTCTTCATGGCCAGGGCCAGACCAACCATGAGGCAAGGTGAGGCAATTGCCTCAGGCAGCAGCATCCACGGGGCAGCAGATCTAGTCTCCAGAGTGTGACCTGCTCCTTGAAGGCCACATCTGCTGCCTCCTCGGCAGCCCCATACCCAACGCCACCTCTACAGAGGCCTTTTGGCGATAGGAGGCACTGCTGGTCTCCTCCCACTCTTATTCCCAATGAAGATTTTTGCCCCCACCCCTTGTTCTTCACTCACCCCTTCTTCCCTAGTTGGGGTTGCGGTGAGGAGCCATTCTGTGGTTCACCTCAGCTGCCAGAATGTCTTGGGGCAGCACTATTCATAGTAAAGCTATTTACGACAGGCAGCTAGAGTCACCATATTGCCACTGTTTTGCAAAGACCTCCACCTTGCTTAGTTCCCCAGTTCACTGCATGATTTGGCAAGGCACTGCCTTAGCCAAACCTACCCTCAACAGGGTTGTGTTTCGAAGAAAACTGTGGCAATAACTTCAGTACTCGGTACACTGAAGAGCCTTATGTAATGATAAATAGTTTGTGCAGAAGTTTTGTTGCAGCCTCTGCTCTGCAGCTGAAAACAGAGAGCAAGGTGGATTTTAGCACGGCACAGTTGCTTCAGGAGTGATGGTGCCTCGTAAAAGTTTAGGCAATGCAGGGTCCTCAAAATGTTATTGGACTCCAACTCCCATCATCCCCAGCCAGTATCACCCACAGTCAGGGATTCTGAGAGCTGTAGTCCATCAGTATGGAGAAAGATACTTTCTGCTGACCATCAGGCAATGGCTTTTCCCACCTGCTTTGCCCAACCCTCCAGCCCCAGGAGACTTTCCCAGACCATAATTTGAGAACAGCGGAAGCAGCTTAGAAGAGAGAAGAGGAGATATTCTTAAAAAAATAATTTTATGTGTGTCCTTGTTTCTCAGTTGGATCTTTTTACATGGTTTCGTATGCTTTCTGGAATTTTTATGCATTGTGTCTATGATTATAGTTTATTAATTCTTGATTGTAATTGATAAGTGTAAAATGTTTAATTATTATTTGCTGGTATTTAATTTTACTGTTGACTATTATATTTTAATGGATGATTGAATATTGCTTTATTTGATATAGGTTGTTTATTTTAAAGTTATTGTAACTTTTTTGTACAGTGGTACCTTGGTTCTCAAACTTAATCCATTCTGGGAGTCTGTTTGACTCCCAAAACCATTTGAAAACCAAGGCACGGCTTCCGATTGGCTGCAGGAGCTTCCTGCACTCAATTGGAAGCCGCGCCGGACGTTCGGCTTCCAAAAAACGTTCGCAAACCGGAACACTCACTTCCAGGTTTGCAGCATTTGGGAGCCAATTTGTTTGGGAGACGAGCTGTTTGAGTACCAAGGTACCACTGTATTGGATCAGATTGTTATTACGTGTGCAATCTTTGCTGTCTCTTTTGTTGTTTCTTCAGCTTGTAAAACGCCTTGTGTATAGTAATCTAGAAAGGCAGTACACAAATTAAAAGTGAAATGAAATGAAATATTTGGAGGGCACCACAAAAAACTACCCCTGATTTAAAGCATTCATGCAATCCAATCTTTGGCCTATCCATAAGAAATGTGGTGCCGTTCTTTGTGTGCAGTGAATTGGCAAAAAAAATTACAAGGATCTTCTTGATTCAAGACGCTTCTGTTCAGTAAGATTACGCATTTCTGGCGAACATAGCAGGGTGATCGTCACTTTGCTTGGTTGACAACTGTCCTTGGCTGTCACAGCTGCTGTTCCCTTTGATGACGACGACAAGATTGTGGGAGGCTACACCTGCCAGGAGCTCTCGGTCCCCTACCAGGTGTCACTGAATGCTGGATATCACTTCTGTGGGGGCTCTCTCATCAGCAGTCAATGGGTCGTATCAGCTGCTCACTGCTTCCAGTCGTAAGTAAAGAACGTTCAAATCCTTCATCAGTGTTGCTTAGGCTCTGTTTCCCTCTCCCCGGAACCTTCTTTCAGAGCTAACAAAGTTTGGATGGGACTAGGGCGTCACCAGGGAGACTGGTACCTTGGCATCTACATGCTGCAGATACTCAGGACAGATCAAAGAAAGCAATTCTCCACATAAAGGTAAAGGTAAAGGGACCCCTGACCATTAGGTCCAGTCATGACCGACTCTGGGGTTGTGGTGTTCATCTCGCTTTATTGGCCGAGGGAGCCGGAGTACAGCTTCTGGGTCATGTGGCCAGCATGACTAAGCCGCTTCTGGAGAACCAGAGCAGCGCATGGAAACGCCGTTTACCTTTCCGCCGGAGTGGTACCTATTTATCTACTTGCACTTTGACGTGCTTTCGAACTGCTAGGTTGGCAGGAGCAGGGACCGAGCAATGGGAGCTCATCCCGTCACGGGGATTTGAACCGCCGACCTTCTGATCGGCAAATCCTAGGCTCTGTGGTTTAACCCACAGTGCCACCCGCATCCCTAATTCTCCACATAGCTGCACAGTAACCTTGGGTCAAATGTTTGTGGTGATGGCTTCTGTGAGGAAAGGGGAATGTACTTGCAGATTTCAAGTCAGTGCCCCCATAATCATGAAATAATAATAGTAATAATAATAATTTATTATTTATACCCCGCCCATCAGGCTGGGCCTCCCCAGCCACTCCAGGCGGTTCCCAACAGATTAAAAACAGAATAAAACATCAAATATTAAAAACTTCCCTAAATGACATAAAAGACTTCCATTGAGTTATGAATGTGTACCTACTCTTATCCATGCATTTGAAAATAATAATAATAACCAAAGAATTAACCTAAAGTTGAGTTCACACAGTTTGGGCAACCAGCATTTCCTCATAGGAACTTTTGCGTCTTTCCAAAGCTTTGCTACACATATCCCTTGCCGTTTGCTAAACAGTTATCGACAATCCTAAGCTTCCTTTTTCAATCACTGCCTGGCCTTAAATATGACCTGGAAGATTGTCTGTGGATCTTCTTTTTCTTTCTTTTTAAAGTTTTTCTTTATACTTTTCAAGTTTATACATTTAATTAGTTTTACGAATCACTTTAACATTTCAAAATTTGACTTCCTTCCCTCTCTTTCTGCAGTTCCTTAATTTTTAAAAAATATTTTCTGCATATCCAAATTCATTTCACTTGCTCATTTAATTATCTACTGTAAATATATACTCTTGTGAAAACTGCAGGTTATTACAATAAGCCTGCTAATGTTCTTATCTGTTCACAATTTATCTGTAAATATTCAATAAACCATTTCCATTCTTTTATAAAAAGTTTGTTATCTGGATTTCTTATTCTTCTGGTAAGTTTCACCATTCCTGCATATTCCATGAGTTTTTGTATCCTTTCTTCCTTTAGTGGGACTTCTGCTGCTTTCCATTTTGTCTGTGGTTTTTCTGGCACTTTTCTGTACATGCTCTGTGTGAATCAACCATATCACATTCTAGAGCTTCATTTAGATTAAGCATTTTGTACTTGGGCTGAGAATTCCACACTGTAACATACACTTAATAATAACCACTGTAACGTGTTGCAAATATTTCAGTTTCCGCATCCAGGTGAGGCTTGGGGAATACAACATAAATGTCCTGGAAGGGCCAGAGGAGCTCATTGATGCTGAGAAACAAATTCCCCATCCCAAGTATGACCCGGTTACCACGGACAACGACATTATGCTCATCAAGCTGGCTACCCCTGCCACCCTGAACTCCCGCGTCCGAGCCATTTCCTTGCCTTCGAAATGTGTGGCTGCTGGGACCGAGTGCCTGATCTCAGGATGGGGCAACACCCTCAGTGATGGATGTGAGTTAAAGCATGTTTCATGCATTCAGATCACACAGGGCAACTTTTCTTTCTGCAGGAATTCAAGGCCAAACTAGACATTGCCATGGAGGTGCATCTAGCAGCCTCTCAGCACTTTTAGTAGTAGTAGCAGTAATAATAATAATGTTGTTGTTTAGTCGTTTAGTCGTGTCCGACTCTTCGTGACCCCATGGACCAGAGCACGCCAGGCACTCCTGTCTTCCACTGCCTCCCACAGTTTGGTCAAACTCATGTTCGTAGCTTTGAGAACACTATCCAACCATCTTGTCCTCTGTTGTCCCCTTCTCCTTGTGCCCTCCATCTTTCCCAACATCAGGGTCTTTTCCAGAGAGTCTTCTCTTCTCATGAGGTGGCCAAAGTATTGGAGCCTTAGCTTCAGGATCTGTCCTTCTAGTGAGCGCTCAGGGCTGATTTCCTTAAGAATGGAGAGGTTTGATCTTCTTGCAGTCCATGGGACTCTCAAGAGTCTCCTCCAGCACCATATTTCAAAAGCATCCATTCTTCAGCGAATATAATAATAATAATAATAATAATAATAATAATAATAATAATAGAAGAAGAAGAAGAATAGTACCAATAATAATAATTTATAGCAGCACATGCAGGGGCTGCTTAACCTTTTCCTCGCTGGCTGTTCCACAGCCCATGTACCATTTCAAATGGAGAAATGGCATGTTTGGATGCTTCTCCGTATAAAACAAACCTGCCCAAATATTGAAATGTGACACATTAGGGAGATTAAGCTGAAACTCATTTCTTATGGGATTGTTATTTAGAGCATTGGTACCCCCACTGCTCAGTCAAAAAAAGGCTTCTAAGGTGGCTTAAAGGTAAAGGTAAAGGACCCCTGACAGTTAAGTCCAGTCGCAAACAACTGTGGGGTTGCAGCGCTCATCCTGCTTTACAGGCCGAGGGAGCCGACGTTTGTCCGCAGACAGTTTTTCTGGGGCATGTGGCCAGTGTGACTAAGCCGCTTCTGGCGAAACCAAAGCAGCACACGGAAACACCATTTACCTTCCCGCCAGAATGGTACCTATTTATCTACTTGCACTTTGACGTGCTTTCAAACTGCTAGGTTGGCAGGAGCAGGGACCGAGCAACGGGAACTCACCCCGTCACGGGGATTCGAACCGCTGACCTTCCGATCGGCAAGCCCTAGGTTCTGTGGTTTAGCCCACAGTGCCACCCGCATCCCCAAGGTGGCTTATGTACCATCAATTAAAACAACGTAGTCCCTGCTTGCAAGTTTTCCATTTTATCAACACAACACAAAAGGGGCAGAGAGGGATGAGGAAAATAGCAAACTACAAAGTAGGTATGTAGAAGGGGCAAGCTTTTGGTGGTTGTTTTTTTTTAAAAAAAGAAAAACCCTCAAACATGTAATTCCTGAACTTTGCAAACTGTAGTGGTATGGCCCCAGGTACGCGATACAATATCACAGGTCATGCTGTGGTTTGGTAGTTTTTGCTTCTCTATTAATTTCTTGGTTTATAACAACATTCCTTATTTCCTTTTCCCCCACCCACTCCATTTTGGAGCAGTCAACTTGCCAGAGCTTCTTCAGTGCCTGGATGCTCCCGTTCTAAGTGACACCGAGTGCAAGGATGCCCTGGTGGGGCAAATCACCCCAAACATGATATGCGCAGGATACCTGGAAGGCGGCAAAGATTCCTGTGACGTGAGATGCTTTTCTGTGCCTTTTTTCTTTTGCCCAGACACAAATGCTGCTGCTGCTGCTACACTTGTGCCTTTAATTAGAAGAACCGTGTGGGTCACATTTGCAGATGACACCAAACTGGGGGAGGGGTAGCCAATGCCGCAAGATGACAGAATCAGGATTCGAAATGACCTCAACAGATTGGAGAATGGGAACCAAACTAATAAAATGAATTCCAATAGGGATAAATGCAAGGTTCTTCACTTAGACAGGGAAAACCAGCTGTGCACAAATAGAATATGGGATTCCATACATTAAAAATAGGACACATTCTAGAAGGCAGGTTGAATCCAAACTGGGAAACATTGGCTTGTTGTGGAGTAGAGCCCAGGGGTTCAAACCAACTCCACTGCTAAGTAGGGAAAATGAAACTCCTTTGAAGACCTTCAGAGGATTTGGTAGGGGTGGGTGGGTGTTTTTTCTCCTTTGTTGTTGTTTAGTCGTTTAGTTGTGTCCGACTCTTCATGATCCCATGGACCAGAGCACGCCAGGCACTCCTGTCTTCCACTGCCTCCCGCAGTTTGGTCAAACTCATGCTGGTAGCTTCGAGAACACTATCCAGCCATCTCGTCCTCTGTCGTCCCCTTCTCCTTGTGCCCTCCATCTTTCCCAACATCAGGGTCTTTTCCAGGGAGTCTTCTCTTCTCACGAGGTGGCCAAAGTATTGGAGCCTCAGCTTCAGGACCTGTCCTTCCAGTGAGCACTCAGGGCTGATTTCCTTAAGAATGGATAGGTTTGGTCTTCTTGCAGTCCATGGGACTCTCAAGAGTCTCCTTTACAATGCCATAATCAGGCTTCAGATGCATAAATTGGTACCCGACTAAAAAACAGATGTTTCTTAACTACCCAAATCTTTTATTTACAGGGGGATTCTGGTGGACCCATGGTATGCAATGGGGAGCTCCAAGGAATTGTGTCTTGGGGCATAGGGTGTGCTCTGAAAGGTTTTCCTGGCGTATACACCAAAGTCTGTAACTATGTGGACTGGATCCAAGAAACAATTGCGGCCAACTGAAAGATCCATCCTTGTCTTTGGATATTTGCCTTTTCTTCTGTTTAATTCAGCACCGTTGTGCTAAATAAAGTCAGATCATGTGATGCAGCCATCTTTTTCTTTCATGAGTTAGCAGAGTTCCAAAAGTGAACTAATTCCCCCCTCTATACTTTGAAGTGTTTATACTGGGCATCTGTGTTAAACATTCCTGTCACACAGTATTCCTCACTATTATATCCCGTGCTTTTTTCCCCCCTAAAAAAAATGTTTAGGTATACTCTTATTTTGACTCAAGAAAACGACCATTTTATAGTTCAAATTGGGGAAAATAAATACAGTAAATGGACAAAACTACAAAGAACATGCATTACTCATATTGAAATACTGCCCCTCAATGAGGCCAAACTTTCATCAGTAAAACACCACACATCCACATTCCACACTGCTTCACACATTAAACGCTCGCTTCTATCTGGGACTCAGGAAACACTGGGAAAGGAAAGGAAGCCGCCATCGGAGGTGGTAACAACAAAACTGACCAATCACCATGCTAGATTCCAATTCCTACTTCACACATTAAACGCTCGCTTCCTTCTGAGACTCAGGAAACACCGTGACAAGAAATGAGGCCACCATCAGGGGTAGCAACGGAACTGTGCTAGAGAAGAAACTATTTTTTAAAACTTTTTTTAGTTTCTTCTCCTGTTAGATTCACAAAATGTTTAGGGGTATGCATACCCCTGCGTACCCCCGGAAAAAAGCACTGATCATAACACCCATTAAGGAAGTAAGTTCATTTTGGAATGAATGGAGAACTGAACCAAATGGGGTTCAGTTTCAAAATAAATGCGTTGGGCAATGAATGGTTGTGTAGATTTCTTGCCCCATTTGCACCCATTTGTTGGCAGTGAAGCTTACCTGGCTTTGGGGGCTGATGCTCTTAGAGGCTGCCATTTTATTTATCCATAATGAATTGTACGACATTCCACAGGGGGGAAATAGTAGCTAACACAAATAAGTGCCCCCACAACTGTTAACTACTGAAATCAGTTTTGCTATCACTGCCCCCATGGCAACAGCAACTTTCCCACCCACTCCTAAAGTCAGAAGCAAGAACCAAAGAACAAAAATGCATAGAATCATAGAATCATAGAGTTGGAATAGACCACAAGGGCCATTGAGTCCAACCCCCTGCCAAGCAGGAAACAAGTAGGTATCGAAACAAATACAAGTCTAATGAATGAATAATGAAGAATTGCCCTACTGGATAAAACCGATAATCCTCTTGTTTAAATATATTGTTACAAAAGTTAGGTGCCTCCCCATTTCTATGCTGAGCAGTGGCAAGAGCCCATGGGGTACCAGGCACTAATCCAGGGTCTGTGGTCCTTTGGGGAATTGAAGACATGGCGGAGGCTGTGGTAGCTTTAAAAATGTAATTTATTCACATACAGTGGTACCTCGGGTTACAGACGCTTCAGGTTAAAGACTCTGTTAGCCCAGATATAGTACCTTATGTTAGTAACTTTACCTCAGGATGAGAACAGAAATCGCGCGGCAGCAGTGGGAAGTCCCATTAGCTAAAGTGGTACCTCAGGTTAAGAACAGTTTCAGGTTAAGAACAGACCTCCAGAACGAATTAAGTTCTTAACCCGAGGTACCACTGTATTTACACCTGATTTTAGATGGAGTCCAGATCTTAACGCATGGTCATCTCAAGAGGGGCTTGTTCCCCCCAGCAGGGCAGCGCTAGTATCTCTCTCTTTTTCCTCCCTTCTTCCTCCCAGCACACCTTGTTAAATACATTCTTTTCCTGTCACCTCACACCCAGTTACCCAGGCAACCTTCCAACCCCCCAAGTCTGTTCACACCTCAGGGCAGGGGGGAAGGACAGTTCTCCTGTGCTGCCAAATGGCCTTCAGTGGCCCTGCATTGTTTCTTAATGACCCTAGTTTGGCCAGGTCCTTTTGCATAGGCTGGCCCAGGAATCCCTCTGCAGCTTGTATTTCTCCCTTCACATCCCAAGTCAACAAAATCCTACCATTTATTAATTTCTAGGGGTCATCCCCCCACTGAATCAATAACACCATTAATGTCTAGCCAGATGCTTTGAGAAAGCATCCCAGGTCAAACTCTGTTGACTCAAGCAGCTGATTACCAGAACCCATGTATTACCAGGCATCGCCCAACTTGCTGTTTTTGGACTACAACTCCCATCATCCCTAGATAACAGGACCAGTGGTCGGGAATGATGGGAATTGTAGTCCCAAAACAGCTGGAGGGCCAGGTTTGGCCATGCCTGTATTACACAGATTCGTGCTTGGAGGACAGAACGGGGGTCCTCCACCGCCTGACAAATAACAGTCTATCAGGCACAAAGACTTTTCTGAAAATCTTGAGCATTGTCAGCATGGACTGGGGTGGCTCTGCAGAGTTTTGGTGGGAGTTCTCTCCCAACCCTACCTGGGCATGCTGCAGACTGAATGGTGGACCTGCTACACACAAGGCAGAAGTGCTACCAATGAGCCACACATCTCTTCCCTGAAGGACTTGAGACCTGTGGAGGTCTATATACATAGGTTTACATTGGAAAGAGGTGTTCCACAGGGAGGGGCCACTACCGAGAAGGCCCTCTGCCTGGTTCCTGGCAACCTCATTTCTCATAGTGAGGGAACCGCCAGAAGGCCCTCAGAGATAGATCTCAGTGTCCAGACTGGATGATGGAGGTGGAAACACTCCTTCAGGTATGCTGGACTGAGGTCATTTAGGGCTTTAAAGGTCAGCACCAACACTTTGAATTGTGCTTGGAAACGTACTGGGAGCCAGTGTAGATCCTTTAGGACCAGTGTTATGTGGCCCCAGTGGCCACTCCCGGACACAAGTCTAGCTGCCACATTCTGGATTTGTTGTAGTTTCTGAGTCACCTTCAAAGGTAGCCCCACGTTGAGCGGGTTGCAGTAGTCCAAGCTGGAGATAACTAGAGCATGCACCATTCTAGCGAGACAGGTAGGGTCTCAGTCGGTGTACCAGATGGAGCTGGTAGACAGCTGCCCTGGACACATAACTGACCTGTGCTTCCATGGACAGCTGTGAGTCCAAAATGACTCTCAAGCTGCGTGCCTGGTCTTTCAGGGGCAGTTATCCCATAGCCTTATCCTCCATGAATCTGTCTCTCTACAGCCTGGAGATAAGTAGCACTAACTGGTATGAACCCTGAAAAAAAGAAGGTATGAACATGGTAGGGAGGAGAAGCACTCAGTGCCATTAATAGGTGAAGCTTTTCCTGGCATGGAGATACCATCTTAAATTTCTCTATTCCAGGCTACTGTGAAATGCAAAAGAGCAGGGGAAGAAGAAAAACTGCAACCTTCTGTATCACTCCCCCTTGCACGTGTTACACCAGCAACAATTCTCCATGGTTCCCTGTGCCAGAACTATGGGCACCAACCAGCAGGAAAGTCCCCCCACCCCTCTGGGAAGGAAAAACCTGGGTCTGACAGAATTGTATAGATAGGCTAATGAGGGAGTGCAGAATTGATCTCTGGAATCTTTCTGACTTCTCAGGGCCAGGGGGAGGTCTTTTGCAACCCAGGGTAGGGGAAAGAATGCTCCCTGCGCCAACATTTTGTCATATGCTGGGCAGGAGAATCTAAGCTCATGAAATAACCACAACTGCACCCACCCGGATGTGCATGTCCATATTCAAGTTCAGAAGATACTGGGCAGATTTTACTAGCTGATGCAATTGGAGATATGTCTGCCTTTAGCAGGCAAGAGGTGACCTTTTATTTGAGGACAGTTGGGGCATTCTGGGGCATGAATGTTTCTGCTGTCCTACTACTGGGCATGGTGCACATACATAAAGCTCATGTCCTCCAACATCATCACCACCACCATCATCATAATACCTCTCTACCTATCTGACTGAGGGACATGGGTGGCGCTGTGGGTTAAACCACAGAGCCTAGGACTTGCCAATCAGAAGGTCGGTGGTTTGAATCCCCGCGACGGGGTGAGCTCCTGTTGCTCTGTCCCAGCTCCTGCCAACCTAGCAGTTTGAAAGCACGTCAAAGTGCAAGTAGATAAACAGGTACCGCTCCAGTGGGAAGGTAAATGGCGTTTCTGTGCGCTGCTCTGGTTCGCCAGAAGTGGCTTGGTCATGCTGGCCACGTGACCCGGAAGCTGTACGCCGGCTCCCTCAGCCTATAGAGTGAGATGAGCACTGCAACCCCAGAGTCGTCCGTGACTGGACCTAATGGTCAGGGGTCCCTTTACCTTTTACCTATCTGACTCGGTTGCCCCAGCCACTCTGGGCTGCTTTCAACATATATAAAAACATAATAAAACATGAAACATTTAAAAACTTGCCTCTACAGGGCTGCCTTCAGGTGTCATCTAAAGGTTGTATAGTTACTTATCTCCTTGGCTTGGGGGCCACATAACTCCATTCCCTCCAACATTTCTCTGATGAACATACGTCCTAAGGAAAAGCGGGACATTCCGTGATCAAATAAGAAACCAGAATGGCTTCTTTAAATCTGGGACTGTCCCAGAAATTTGGAGGGTTTGTGTGTGGGATCTGTAGCTACAAAGGAATCACAACCCTCCCTAGCCAGAATAGTGTGGTTATTAGGTTATGAAATTCTCTGTAAATCTAAAGAAGGTCAGAACAATGTATGAACAGGGCTTGGTGGTTTCCTCGGCACTGTATATTTCTAGTCTGGCCGAAGCTCAGCATGGGCCTGCCATTGATCTGCCATATAATTCCATGCCCTGCACTTCCGACGGGCTTTAGAATTCTGCACTCCCCTGGGCTGGCTGTAGCCCACACAGAACAGGATTACAGGATTTGTGATGTTTCATAAGCATCCAAGATGGCGGAAACAGGGCCCAAGACAGGACTCAGCTGTGTACATTGGCAGAACTACACACACCGCAACATCTCAATTCCTAGAAATGTTTCACTTCAGATATAAGGCACCTGGGGTTATGTTATCACCTTGGGCACTTGCAAGGTCTATTTTAACCAAGCTGATGCAAGACTATGGGAAGTGGAAAGCTGGTGGGACCTTGGGCTGAGGAGATAAGGTCCTAGGGAAAGTATAAATGTGGAGAGATGCCTTCAGAAAGTCCTGTTGTAATTGACGAATCCACTGAGAAGACATCATGAAACTCCTCTTGGTCATTGCCTTCGTGGGAGCAGCAGGTGAGTCTTTCAAAATGCCAGGTTTTAAAAGAATACAAAATGAGCCCCTGTTTCCAGTGGGTTTTGGGGTACTGTTTTGAAAAGAATTTGTTAGCTCTTTTTTATGGTATGTCTGCATATCACCTTGAGACAGATGTAAAAGGTGATTCATAAATTAATTTATTACAGAGTAATGAGGAGGTTATAAAATAATGGAGTTCTGAAGTCGTGGGTCTATACTAGGTAAGACCGTTGCTGTAGATCAGCCATAGGCAACGTCGGCCCTCCAGATATTTTGAGACTACAACTCCCATGATCCTTAGCTAGCAGGACCACTGGTCAGGGATGATGGGAATTGTAGTCCCAAAACATCTGGAGGGCCGAGGTTGCCTATGCCTGCTGTAGATGCTTGAGGAATTCATTCTTTAAGAATTCTAATGTAAAATTATCTGATCTAAAATGTGGATTGCAACACAGTGATTCATTAGTTTCTGCACTTTCCAGTTCTCAATTCAAAAATCATATAGAAACATATGACATCTCTTTTGAGAGAAAATACTACTAATTTATTATTTCTACCCCCACCCATCTGGCTGGGTTTCCCCAGCCACTCTGGGCGGCTTTCAACAGAACATTAAAAACTGAGTAAAACTTCAAACATTAAAAACTTCCCTAGACAGGGCTGACTTCAGACATCTTCTAAAAGTCAGATAGTTGTTTATTTCCTTGACATCTGATGGGAGGGCGTTCCACAGGGTGGGTGCCACTACCGAGAAGGCCCCCTGTCTGGTTCCCTGTAACCTCCCTTCTCACAGTGAGGGAACCACCAGAAGGCCCTTGGAGCTGGACCTCAGTGTCCATGCAGAATGTCAGTGTCTGAGCTGAATGATGGGGATAGAGATGCTCCTTCAGGTATACTGGGCCGAGGTACAGTATACAGAAAATACAGAAACTGAGAAGAGATTTAAAAATATTCATTTAAAAAGACATATGTTTATATGTGCATCTTCATGCAGTGTCTTTTAAATACAGATTTGTATGGGAACTGGACAGAGCAGTCCTATGGGTGAACATATGTAAAACTGATTTGCACATCCCTAAGAACCAGAAATAGAAATATTCCTGAGATGTGACCACATGAAACTCAAGGGATCGAGCAACTGCCTCTCCCTTCTTAACCTTAACTTCAAGGCCAGGTCATGTTATCAAGAAGAAACTGTGCCTAATTTGGGGTTTTGTTTTGCTTTCTGAAGAATCCAAGTTACTTTGCAGTCCGTGCTCATTCTGATTTTCCCTGTTTTTGTCAGTTGCTCGCCCCTTTGATGATGACGACAAGATTGTGGGAGGATACACTTGCGAGAAGAACTCCGTCCCCTACCAAGTATCACTGAATTCTGGGTACCACTTCTGCGGGGGTTCCCTCATCAATGAACAATGGGTTGTCTCAGCTGCTCATTGCTACAAATCGTGAGTGACTGACACTTCCTTTCTCCATTGCCGTGTTTGTACTGCAAACCCACAAGATCTCAACATTTCAGCAGAGCTGGAGTTTAGGAATAGTAAGAACCAGTGTGGGTTTCGAGGGCTCCAGATTGTTCAGAGTAGACCCCTCTCGTTTTTATGTAACTAAGCAACACTACAGCCCATTGCCATGATGGAGCCATTGGTAGCTGCATCTGAATATAGATTTTGAAAGCATATTCTGGGTGGGTCTTCCAGGACAATGCGCTGAACTAGATCCTGAAGTGTAAAATGAAGAAAGCCCTCTATTGATCCAGGAAAGGCAAAAGGCAGGATTTCTAATATTTATACTAGACCCATCCAATCCAGAGACTTCTTGCCATCTGTCAAATGCTGTCTCACAATACCCGAAGCCTCCCTGAGTCCCTTTGGGGAAGGGGCAGGATATAAATTTAACGAACAAACAAACAAACAAGCATTTCCCTCTGAACGTAAAGAGGACTCTGAGATCTGAGCATGAGGATTGAGCCACAAAGAGAAGTTTCTCTGTCTTGAGTCTCACACCTTTCGCTAAATTGTGTTGTGTACTTAGAGCTTCGCTGGGATTATTTCCAGTTTTTATTGAACATAGTTTATTTACCATTTCAGTGCTTTTTTTCTAGAAGAAGAAGTGCCAGAGCTCAGCCATTTTATTGTAGTAACTCTTCTAACTGGTTTACATGAAATCTGGAATCTAATGTGCAATTTAAAAAAACAAACAAAAAACCCACAAAATTTCCAGGGACAGCAGAAAGGCACCACTTATAGTCATTTTAATGAACGGGCTGGTACCATGCTGTTTCTTATTGTAACAATTTGTATGGCTTTAATAGATACATATCTCTATCAATGTATGTTTAATTGTTTTTTTATGATATGTTTTTCTGTGTTTTTAGCAATTCATATTTTTATGTCAGGTAAAAAGGTGTGGGGTATAAATAAATATAAAGCAACAACAACAACAATTAATGGAACAATATAAATATATATCTATTATTATTGTTGTTGTTTAGTCGTTTAGTCGTGACCGACTCTTCGTGACCCCATGGACCAGAGCACGCCAGGCACTCCTGCTATTATTATTATTAGAATTTATTTATTCAGTATTCACAGAGAGAGACAAAGGAATGCAGTTTCTATTAAATAATGGCGTTGCTCCTAGTGAAGTCCAAACCCCTCTGTCTCTCCTATTCTACGTCATCCCTACAGTGGTTGATCTGAGCTTTCTGCCTCTGAGCTTTCTGTTCTACTACTCGCAATGCCCGCCTAGTCCTGGGATGGGGGGTCAGGAATGCTTTCCATAGACACTGAATCTATCAGCTGTCTCTCCCCCGATCCTTCTTCTTCCTGCTATTCTTCTCCCAATATTTCCCAGCTTTCCCCCTCTGCAGCCTCTGAACTGTGGCCTTCTGCAAACCACTGTTCTAAATCTATACAGTGGTACCTCTGGTTACGTACTTAATTCGTTCCCGAGGTCCGTTCTTAACCTGAAACTGTTCTTAACCTGAAGCACCACTTTAGCTAATGGGGCCTCCCGCTGCTGCCGTGCCACCGCTGCACAATTTCTGTTCTCATCCTGAAGCAAAGTTCTTAACCTGAAGCACTATTTCTGGGTTAGCGGAGTCTGCAACCTGAAGCGTATGTAACCCGAGGTACCACTGTATTGTCCTCCTGTTCTTGGGAAGGTTCAGGAGAAGGGGGGGCGGCCCCCCACCATTCCTCCTCAGTCTAACCCCTGACAGGCCAGACACCGCGCAGTGCGCTCAAGCACCCTGTCAACACTTGATTTTGCAGCCGCATCGAAGTGAGGCTTGGAGAGCACGACATTATGCAGGTGGAAGGAGGCGAGCAGTTCATCAATTCCGAAAAGGTCATTCGCCATCCGAAGTACAACTCTTGGCTCCTGGATAACGACATCATGCTCATCAAGCTGAGCTCCAATGCCGAGATTTCCTCACGCATCACCCCCATCACCCTGCCTAGCGGATGCGCAGCTGCCGGAACTGAATGCTTGATTTCAGGGTGGGGCAACACTCTTAGCAGTGGAGGTGAGCATGAACATGGTTTAGTCAACCCATCGGCATTTATTTATTTACTTATTATTTAAACTACCTTTCAACCAAGGTTCCCATCTCAGCAGTACCTAATTCCACAGCTAACAAAACAGCCCACTTTCTCATCGATCCCCAAAGGTCCGATGGGGCAGATAGAAAAGGTGTCAGAGATAGAGGGGCAATTGCAACTCCGACGGAAGAGTTTCGCAATCGAGGTGCCATCACAGAAAAGACCCTGCAGCATGTCACCGCAAAGGGGGGCCACACCCATAGATGGAACCCCTAGAAGGGTACCCCCAGTCTCAACACATGGGCCAGTTTATAATGTACTTTGACTCCAACCCAAGTCCTGCAGGCATATGAAAGGAGAACATCCATTTGCTGGCACTCTGGTGGGCTTGGGAGCACTAGGCGGTACTGTCACCTCAGACATAGCAGATGTGCGCACACCAGGTCTACGTCCGCCCCTGCATCCCCCCGCCATGTGCTGACCCCTGGGCACTCCACCTTCAACCTTCCCATATGTAATGGGAATGTCTGAAGGGGGTTTCTAAGCATATTTGACTTTGTAAGCCCAGAAGCAATGAAATCAGGAACCCTGGTCAAGCAAGGCACCTGATCATTCAGCTACTTCTAAGTGTGTTCATTCAAGTACACTTAGAAGGCCTTTAGCTGTGATTAGTAGCTCGATTCAGAAATAACACCTGAATGGGCCTTATATTTGTCACGTTTTAACTGTAAGAAAAGGTTTCGTTTCTAGAAAAAGAGATGGGGCTCAAGTCAGCGTACTAATCTAGAGCAGGGGTCGGCAAGGCTTACTGGGCATGGGCCGGATCACTCCTGCGGAGATCCGGGTTGGCGCAGCACGATGCCGGAAATCATGACTGCGCATGCCTGTGGCGCCAGAAATCACTTCTGTGCATGCCCAGACGCCGGAAAGCACACCTGCGCAGGTATAGGTATAGGGCAGTATATAAATTCAATAATGAAATGAAATGAAATGGAAGCACCCCGGCAAGTTTGATATCTTGTGAGTTGATCAGCCTTTTTACATAAGGCTAGAGGCCCACAAAGATAGACAACATCTCTCTTCCCAACATTCCTGGCTTGTTGTCTTAGTTGCACCCCTTTGCCTTTTCCTTCCAGTCAACTACCCTGACCTTCTCCAGTGCCTCAATGCTCCCATCCTCAGTGACGCCGAATGCCGAGATGCTTATCCAGGGCAAATCACTGACAACATGATCTGTGTCGGGTACTTGGAGGGCGGCAAAGACTCTTGCCAGGTGAGAGGATTCACCTTCAGTTCCATTATTAAATGAGGAGCTCTGAGCCCTTGAAAATACAGTGGTACCTCTGGTTAAGAACTTAATTCGTTCTGGAGGTCCGTTCTTAACCTGAAACTATTCTTAACCTGAGGTACCACTTTAGCTAATGGGGCCTCCTGTTGCCGCTGCGCAATTTCTGTTCTCATTCTGAAGCAAAGTTCTTAACCCGAGGTACTATTTTTGGGTTAGCGGAGTCTTTAACCTGAAGTGTCTGTAACCTGAAGCGTCTGTAACCTGAGATACCACTGTAATTAGCCACATTTTTTTTTGCCACTCAGCTTTCTTTGGCAGTAGCCACAAATAGTTACAGGTATCCTGTAAGATGTCAGTCCTGAGTGGGAGCAAAGCTTGAACTTTGCATGCATGGGTATAGCCAGGATTTTTGTGGGGGGGCAGGCCTTTTGTTAGAGGGGGCAGAACCGACGTGATTGGTCAGTTAGTTAAGTATTTCTATTGTTTTACCTGATGAGGGGGGCAGCTGCCCCCCGCCCCCTCCCCTTGGCTATACCGTTTGCATAATACACTTTGTGTTTATGCTGCTTCCACCATTTTCTGTGGTGGAGGTGGGGATATTTGCTAAGGATCAGGTTGCACACTTTGTCTGAGGGCGAAATCAGCATCTTAAGCAAGAATCACTGCTTGCTTCCTCAGAGGCTGAATTCACACTGCAAAGCAACTATGCTACAGCACAAGGTGGGGTAGACATTCAGTTCAGTTCCCATGTGAAGGCAAACCTACATAATTCACGCTTTCTAAAACAATACACAAAGCAAAGCACAGCTCTCCCCTAAATTCACACATCTCCGAATATTGCAATGCAGTTCTTTAAGCAAGTCACATAAACAAAAAACACATACGTGCTAGAGTAAAGTGTGTCTAAAAATGAATTATTGGCGAAATGCAGTATATTGCGGGAAATTGCTTTGCAAAAATCTGCATATTAGCCATATAAAAATGTGCATATTTAGCATATAAAAATGTGTATATTCAGAGAAATTCACGCAAAAATGCTGATAAATTATCCCGAGGACTTAAAGAAGCACAAAACCTTAGGTGGAAATGTGGAGAACTAAACTTAAGTCTGGAAAAATCAGAAACCAAAACTATTTGGCTCATCGCTTGCTGTAGAGCACCTATTTAAACACTGCCATGTTATCTGGGCACTTGCTTGGTGTGACCATTTTACTGTGAGAATGGGAGAACTCTGGTTGCTGCTGCTCTTCTGTTCTTGTGGGCTGGCAGGAGAAGCCCCCAAACTGGGGTAAAGACATGGAGAAGAGAAATTCCCAGAATTCAAGGGAAAACAAGACTTTAATTGATTTCCCCCCCAATTTTTTTATTGATTTTCCAAATTTATAACAAACATAGACAGACAAACAAACATAAATCCCAACTGTAATAGTTCCACTTTTGTTAACATTGTTAGATGACTTCTTCGAATCCCCCTGGCTGAGTTTCAATGTAAATCATTGTAACAGTTTTCCAAAACTAATTTCTCATAAAATTTACTTAGTCAGTTAACATCTTTCTTTCTTTTCATATTAACTTTAGACATATTATTCTATAATATCACATATTTAAATCCTAAGCCTATCTGGTATTTGCAAGTTTTTCTATTTAAATGATCTTACCATATTTAACTAAATAGTCTTTGAATTTCACCCATTCCTCCTCCTTCTGGTCGCGGACTCTTCCGGTCAGGTCGGCTAGCTCCCAAACGTCCATCATCTTCACCTGCCATTCCTCCACTGTTGGCATTTCTTGTGTTTTTAATTGATATTTTTGCTGTCGTACAAGGAAAAGCAACATGACCTGGGCTGCATGCATGCCATATTTCACTTGCAACCTCTTTTGTCTCGCAGGGAGATTCCGGTGGCCCCGTGGTCTGCAATGGCGAGCTCCAGGGCATCGTTTCATGGGGAATAGGCTGCGCTCTCACTGGCTACCCCGGAGTCTACACCAAGGTCTGCAACTATATTGACTGGATCCAGGAAACCATTGCTGCTAACTAAGACAGCAATTCCTCCTCTAGTTTCAACATACTAGCACCCTTTGCTTCTCATGTAATTCGTCTTAATAACAATATAAAAAAAGAATTCCAAGGAAATAAATGAATACAGATTACTAAACTTATCCTGGTTTATGGTTGTTTTCTTTTCACCACACTCCAATCAAAGGGCATATCTGTGCTACAGACTTTTATCGTGGCACTTTTCACTTTCATATTTCCACTTCTTTTTACCCTATTTATAAAGTGCATTTCTTTATTTATGATGATTCCTACCAAGACGACTTACAACTAACATTCAATTACAAAAGAACCTGTCAGGAAACTGACATCGGAGCTAGAAGCGGAGGGAAGGCTCTCAAATGATGCTGGAGAAGGGCCCAGCAGGGAGAGAGGCAGCTCCGCAGATGGGGAAGCAAATCAGCGCAACACCAGGGATAAAGAGGGGCTGATGGGGGAATCGGCGAGAGGGCTCCAGGACTCTTCACCGGACACCAGCGGGGAGAGCACGGGTCCCCCGCTACCCACGCCCACCCTGCGCAGAAGACTTCCGCGCAGAGAGAGTAGGAGGAGACTGGGTGTCAAACAACTTTTATGTTGGAAAAGATTTAAGAAACGCCCACTGACGGATTCTGCTAGCGACTGAGGCAGCCACGAAGTGAAGGGCTGCCCAGACTGAAAGGTTTAGCAAGGCAACAAAGCCTGGAGAGGCGGCAACTTATGCACGAGCAACCCATACACATTACAGAACCCTTAAAAAAAAACCTAAAAGGAAAAAGAACACATTTAAAATGTTAACATATTAGAAACAGCATCACACTGCGCAAACTCAGATTTTCTAACCCTAACCCTTTTAGAAGTAGGTGGGATTTTTTAAAAATATATTTCTTTTCCCCTTTTGTTTTAATGTATGTACTGTACATGGGTTATTGTCTTTTGGTTGGTTGGTTGGTTGGTTGGTTGCAAGTTGCTTTGAGTTGCCCTGGGTAAGATAAAGCAACTAACAAAATAAACAAATATCCAACAGGAAAATAAAATGAATTTCAGGCGACTTATGCACAATAACATTACCATGCTGCAATGCAAAGATCAAATTTAAATTCTGCAGTGCTTCCTTTTCTCTTGGCAGTGCCAGACCCTCCGAGTGTCCCTATTTTCCAGAGACAGTCCCAGACTTACAGAAGACATTCCGGTTTCTGATTTGATCCCAGAATGTCCTGTTTTTACTTAGAACATCCCTATTTTAATTGGGGAAATGTTGGTGAGTATGGAGCTGTGCCATCCCCAAGCCATCTGAGAGCAGCCCTGTATAGGGAAGTTTTTTAATGTTCATTGAACATTATGGTTTTATATATGTTGGAAGCCACCCAGAGTGGCTGGGGCAACCCAGTCAGAAGGGTGGGGTATAAATAGTAAAATATAGTAGTAAAGGTAAAGGGACCCCTGACCATTAGGACCAGTCGCGGACGACTCTGGGGTTGTGGCGCTCATCTCGCTTTATTGGACGAGGGAGCCGGCGTACAGCTTCTGGGTCATGTGGCCAGCATGACTAAGCCACTTCTGGCGAACCAGAGCAGCGCACGGAAACGCCGTTTACCTTCCTGCCGGAGTGGTACCTATTTATCTACTTGCACTTTGACGTGCTTTCGAACTGCTAGGTTGGCAGGAGCAGGGACCAAGCAACGGGAGCTCACCCCGTCGCGGGGATTTGAACCGCCAACCTTCTGATCGGCAAGCCAAAGATGTCCCTATTTTCATCAGATAAATGTTGGAGGGTATGCAGTGGAGGAACTTAGACTAAGATCCTTCAGACTGAAGCCTGTTTGTTTGTCTTCCATCTTGGGAAGGCAGAAATTCTGCATCAGCCTTTGACGGATACCATGTGCAGTGGTCAGGCACTTTGTTAGTTCTCTAGATAGCCTTTCGTTCCCTGTTGTATGTGGATTTAGTTAAGGTATGGGATCTATGTGAAGAATATCCCGCATTAACTCTGTCCCCTGCTTCAAACCGATTACAGTTGGAGGCTTCCCTCTGCTGGACGCTTTAGGGACTTCCCCCCCCATGAAAAACCAGGAGCTTCCATAGGTAAATACAGGGGGTGTACAAAAATGTCCCTGCAAATCAGGAGTGGCTGTGTAACCCCCTCCCACTTTAGAGAAGTAAACCAGGTAGGCTTGCCATACATCAGGAAAATTCCTGACATGCCCTGGTTTTCAGGTGTAAAAATGGCGGTGTGTGTGTGTGTGTGTGTGTGTGTGTGTGTGTGTGTAATTTTGCTGAGTCGGCAAAATGTCAGGGGAAACCCAGTTGTATGACAGGGAAAAAAAGTTCAACAATTTTGGGGTCTTCCTAAAAAAAAAAGCCTGGCACTTTGTGGGTCTCAGGAATTTTACTTTTTGAAATACGGCAACCCTAAAACCAGGCTTCCCTCTGGGTTCACAGTGGAGTTTACAGATCTGCTAGGTTGGCCCATGAAACAAACACAGATTCGGTCGTCTCTCCTGCCACTCCTTGCCCGTGCTTTAAGTGGGCTGCCTGCCAATTTTATTTCTAAACTAGCACATCTATTTGTTCATTTAAAAATTTATTGTGCTCCTCTCTCCACTTCCATTTCGACTTTCCTCTTTAAGAACAGAAACATTTCTTCAAATGTCCAAAATACCAGGGCTGTGCGTGGGGCCCCAATCCAAGGCCTGATCCTGCACCTTGGAGTGACCCTGATCTGACCTGGGATATCAAGGTTGTCAGGATGTATGAACAGTTTTAAAATTCCCCTTGAACGTTAAATAATGATGATGATCTTTTGCAAACCGCTTTGAGGCTTCCCACCCCTCCCCCAATCAATTACAACAATATAAATGTTATGAAATGAATAAAACAAATCAATGTTCACGTGAATTGCATGGCTCAGCATGACAGCAGATGGCAGTATGCACAGAAGCCTTTGACTCTCCAAGAGAAAGAAACCCTCTTAAAATAAGCCAGACCGGTAGAAATGATGCAGATAGGAACATGGCTCTAATGTGTGTTGAAAAATGTTTGCAAATATGTTCAGTCTGTCAATCAAGCATTTATGGCAGTCCATCAACCAATTTTTTAAAAAAGCACAAAATCACAGCCTTGGTAGAATTGAGTGTTAGTTATTAATACTGACTTATCATATCAAACTGGAGAGAGATGACAGCGTTCACATATTTTGCTACCTGCTCCATCAAACATTAAAACATGCCAAGAAAACGGGCAGAGCATGTATTTTACCCATGAGCGCATTTGTGCATTAGTCATGTGGGTGCAGGGATGCAAAATAATTAAAGGAAGTGAAAGTTGCAGCACACTGTGTATGCTCTGAATTAATTGAAATTGCCCAACCCCTTAGCCAAAGACCACCCGAAAAGCATCATACACATGCCACAGAAAGAGGCAGTCTCCCACAGAAATGTTGAGAGTGTCTGCTATCTGACAAGATACGGTCGTACCTTGGTTTTCAAACAGCTTAGTTCTCGAACGTTTTGGCTCCGGAACGCCACAAACCCGGAAGTGACTGTTCCGATTTGCGAACTATTTTTGGAAGCTGAACATCCAATGGGGCTTCCGTGACTTCCGATTGGCTGCAGGAGGTTCCTGCAGCCAATCCAAAGCCGTGCTTTGGTTTCCGAACGTTTTGGAAGTCAAACAGACTCCCGGAACAGATTCTGTTTGACTTCTGAGGTACGACTGTACTTGATAATGGCCACTGATTGCATTACTTAGCCGGTGTGGCCATTCATTTGAGATGGTAAGAATCCAGGTTACAGACATACCCTATTCATACACAAAATATCCCCTTAAGACAGGATTTGAAAAGTACTACTGGGAAAAGTTTCTCCAAGATATTTCCTTCTACAGTATAAATATTTGGGGTTATTAAGATGGCTTCTGGATTGCTCTCCTGTACTATTTCAGACATGTGGTTTATATCCTTACGTATGTGTGTTTACCTTGTGCACTGATGAACATTTATGTTGTTTTTGAGACCTTAGAATTCTTATAACACTGGGTATAGCTTGGGACTGAATCTTTGTGCCATCCGAACACCACAAGCCATCATTTGCTCGTGGGGAGATGGGACACAATAGGATTGCGCTATAAGTCTGGATCCAACCCACAGATTCTACATACAAAACCCCACAACAGTGTTAGAATTCCTGATCTATGATTGCAGTCATGGGACTTTTGTCTTTCACATGACGGTATGTGTTTTGACTCCATAGAGTGGGAAGTGATGGAGACAGGATGTTTGTGTTACTGTGTTCCGTGAAGTGGGACTATTGTCTTTTGTTCTTTTTCTCTTTGTTGTCTGATGCTAGAGAGAGAGAGAGGGAGCCATGTTGCAGTGCTCCATGTGTGTTTATATGTAAATAAAGTAGATTAGCCAAAATGCTGAGTTGCTGAGGTCTGTTACACAACTGTGCAAACTCTGCAGATCTCTAAGTGTACCGGTGTCAGTTGGCATCGGTTGCTGTGATGTTCGGGCTGAAGAAAGCTTTTGAAGCTCCCGAACGATCGACCAGGAGGGAGGGAACATGCCAGAGTCCTACTCGAGTGTAGGCTGAACTCCTGACAACCAGGACATAGGCTTTGTTGTGGTACTTCCCCTTTAACATTTCATTCAGCTGCTTGGGTTCTTAGGAATGGTTTCTGGGAGTGAACCAAGATACCCTGATTCATGGTAAATTGGGTGTTTGCACACTGAATGCTTCAAATTTGGGGAGTGTCACTTACAGAGGCCAGAAATCCAGCACGAGGGCAAGCCAGGCCACATGTTAGGTCAACGGTTGGGCTGTGGCGTTCCATTGACCCTACTTGGCACACTTGAAATGGCCCCCGGATTGTGTGTGTATGTATTTTGTGTGTGTCTGGGTGGCGGGTGTGTGAGATTTCCAGTGCCAGCCGTGAACACCTGCCCATGCTTGCATAGCGCAAGGCCTACTCTCAAGCAGCAGAGTCGAAAGAGATTATTAATAAACTAAGAAGGACTTGACGTATCTCGAGCTATCGTCGGCCAGTTTGGGCACAGGAAGTGCAAATCAACTGACATAATTTCCTTCACGGTCTGTGCCAGGAGTTCACCTCTTTCATCATTCGAGCTCAGTTCAGTGTACAGATCAAATGATGTCTCAACTGCTCCTGATCCTTTCGTGGCTCTTCGTGCCTCTTTGTAAGAGGGAGAGGCGGGCGGGGGAGAGAGAGAGAGAAAGAAAGAAAGAAAGAAAGAAAGAAAGAAAGAAAGAAAGAAAGAATTAGGCTGGTTAAAGACTGCTTTTAAAATGTGAAAGTGGTGGGAGAGGCATCTGCCCCATGGTAGACAGATAATTTCTTTCTGCCCCACTGACACTTCTGATCAAATAAGTTTGGCAGCTTTTTAAACTACTAAAATCCACAAAAGCCTGATTAGAAGAGTGGGGTGAGTGGGGAGACCCCAGGCAGAGACCCCTCTTTCAAACCATCTTTGTTCCTCATTTCTCCCGTCTTAGCAAACAAAGGTTGAAAGAGAGAGACCAAGTCATGGATGGCATTTTTTTACGGATAAATTATATTTTCTTGGCTGTTGAGTAGCTTGTGTTCCTGATCACCAGGACACTGGATACAACCTACAGCCTTTCTGATTGCATCCTTTCCTTGCCCCCCGACAGTTCTTTGCAATGGAGAACAGCGCTTGTTCCTTTCCCAGACTCCCCGGTGGGAAGTAAAGCAGCTTGGAGACACGGCCAAAATGAATTGCCACCAGATCGGCATAGACCACAGCTGGATGTACTGGTATCGGCAGCCGGCAGCAGGAGGAGACCTAGAATTCATTGGTATCCTGGTTAGAGGGACTCCAGAGCCCTCTTTTGAAGACAGGTTTAAAGGCGGGCGATTCAGGATGGGAAGCGAGGATAAAAAGCACTGCTCCCTGCAAATAAGCGAACTGAGACCTGAGGATGCTGCCAGGTACTTCTGTTCCTCTGGAGCAGCACAATGCTGCAAACCTTCAGCTGCTCCCCACAAAAACAGTCCTATAGGGTGGGGGTGAGGAACTCAGGAGTGAATGTAGTCCTTCAGGCCTCTCTGTTTGTCCCTCAGGAACCCTCGGCTCAGCCAGTTGCCTCCAGGAGCCGACTTTGGTAACCTTTCGTAATATGCTGCTCTGTGCGAGGTCAAAATTTGTGCTCCAAAATGGATATTCTCAGTTATGGATCTTCTCCATTTTGCACCCCCTTGTCTCGGTGCCCTGTCCAGGGGAACTGGGAGATATCTATAAAGATATAGAATCCGGATTCTATAGCAACTTTGTTTCATAAATGTTAGGCATTTGCCAATTTTGTGGGGGCTTTCTTCCCCCCTTGGCTACTTAAAAGATGTTATGATAAGGAATAATAATGTAAAGGTGGTAACTAATTTGATCTCTGCAGCAAAAAACAGTAATTGCAAAAAACAACAACACGGGGGGGGGGAAAGGTCACCTCTTACTATTTATGAATGGATTGAAAAGATTTGGTCTGTGGTGATAAAGATCAGATTAGCCTACTATGACAGAATGCAATAAATCTACCCAGTAAATTCATGGAGAAATGAGTGTTAATTTCAATAACAATGGCAATGTGCAGCCATATGTTGTTTTCAGTTTATTGTAAAGTTATTATCTGGAAACCTTGCAAATTTATAAAATGCTAACTAAAAGAAAAGGGTGAGCACTGGTTCACAAATCAGTCCTTTCTTATCATCCTTTAATCTTTTTGTGAGACATATGTGTTTCTCTCTCATCTTATTTAAAATGAAATTATTTTCAGAATAATTATAAAATGTTTCTGTAGACTGGTCAAACGCAGCTTGATGACATCACAAATACTAGCCAATCAACACCCTCCATAGCAGGCTTCCCCCACCCCTTGGTTCAAATTAAGCCATATTGAAAACTTGCAAAATTCCATCCACTCAGACTTGCTCAAGGAAAGAAAATTATTTATTTTTTAAAGGAATGTAATTGGGGCACTTAGTCAAAACTTACTCAACCTTAGTCAGTGCTCTAAGAATATAACAACTGCCTTTACTCTTTGGAGAACTCACACTATGAATAGAAAATATTGGATCACGCCCCATTCTCAAAAAAAGATTACCTTCCACAAACTTCCACTCACTGACAGCAGGAATGCCCACCCAACCCTGTAGCTCTGTATGACGTTCAGTCATGTGCTATTATATATATTGACGCAAGTGGTATAGTCATGTGAGCAGAACAAATCAGGAGGGAGCTTGCACAAGATTTTAGCTCCTCCCCCATGAATCGGAGAATCAGATTGGATTGGCTAGCAGGAAATAAGATACCACCTTAAATAAAAGTGGCTTCTTAAGAGAGAATTATTGCATTTTTTAATCGTCTCACATAGAAGAAATATCACGCATCGCTGAGCATTTAATAACAATTTGGGTGTTTGGCTGTTTAAAGAGCTCCCTCAGGAATCCTTATTGGAAGGATTATATACCTGTCTGTTGGGTAGGCTAGGATTATGATTTCCATTTTGCCCATGAGGTAAAATTTGAGCTGGAGAGTCCTCAGTTGCATTCTGACCCACGGCACTATCCTTTAGCTTTTCTCTGGTAAATGTTTTGTTTTTATTCTGTACAACTTTTCTTTAGAATTAAAAGCTCATTTTTTTCTGAACAGGAAGGCAGGCAGATATCTCTACCTCTAGTTCACCACTCATCACATGCCCCTGAAGACTATATAAACTATATATGGCAGCTGGCATACCAATAAGGAGGAGGGGAGGAAACACAGGTCACTGTGGCTTCCTGAGCGGAGGAGCCCCCTAAGGAAATTCTGCGTCTGGTTACATGTCTTTGACGGTTCCCACCAACTCTGCCACTGTTCCCTGACTTGGCTGAAACCTTCATTTGGCTGTTGGTGTCTGTGGTGAAACTCAGGGAGGAGCCATTACTGTATGAGAGTAAATCATTGTGGGGACAGGGGGCTCACAATGATTCATTTCTTCAAGAGGCCTTTACAAAAACCCTCCCTTGCTTAACAAATGGGCTCTAGCCAGGGTTTCACAGCAGATCTAACAATGCAGAACTTCACAGCCTTTTCAGACTTGGGAGCCACCATTATTTCCAACCGAAGAACCACTTTTAATATTTGGCCACATATTTTATTCATTCGTTCCTTTTATTATTATTATTATTTCTGGAATTTTTGTCCCACGTTCCTAACCCACAAGACTTCCAAAGTGGCCTAAAACATCTTAGGTGTCCTGCTCTTTCTCTCAGTCCTTTTCCCTTCTCTCCATGCATCATTCTCACTCTCTATGCCTCTTTCCCCTTAAAAACAATTACAAAAATAAGATGGCATTTGGTACCACTGGAGGGACCCAGCTGAGGTTGCTGGCTTGAATTCCAGTTCTGAATCATGCTCCATCAGTTGAAGAACACTGGGGTAGAAGAACCCACAGAGACCTTCTGTTTATTGGATTTGTCATGAAAAATGGGGCTGACTAAGTCTATAATCTGCTCAAAAAAGGATAAAATCCTCACTACTTCCATTAAGGGTGGATTTCGATAATCACCTCTCTGCACAATTATTGCAGGTAGGTCTTTAAGTGGTTCAGTTGTTGTGATGAGAAGTTGTTTGAATTCACTCTTATTAAATAATATCTCCTCTCACAGTGACCCTCTTTCTCGTTTTAGGAATCTGTCCCTGAGGGAATATCATTCTGGAGACCCTGCTCTCGAAACACTTTACGAGGCAAAGTATGGGCAATATTACCAAGCCTGGTAACACAGTGTTCCAACAATATCCTGTATTTTGGGAAAGGGACTCGGCTCACTGTTTTAGGTAAGTACTTCTTCAACCATGACTTGAAATATTGAATAATCATTCCCTCATTCCTGGGAACTGTAGTTCTGCCAGGGATAGGGAATATTGCTCAGCACCCTCATTAAACTACAATTATTTGGAGGAAAGCATGGCAGCTGAACTTCCACGAGACCAAACTAAATGTGTCTGTGTGTGTGTGTGTGTAGTTTAGACCCTTTCTGTCTGAAGACATCCCCTCTTCCTAGACCACTATTGGGCAAACAACATTCCCTTCAGTTTGTTCTCTAGAGCCTTAAGTTTAAACAAATCATCTCAGTCCTGGGCATATGAGATTATTTTCCAGAGCTACATATTTGATTCTTTAGACTGCAGAATATATACTTTGGTATGCACCCTTCCCCATTTCAAACTGTCTTTTAAAAAAGTGATAATACTAAATAAGGAGAGAAGCATTATACATAAAATAGGTGTTGTGGAATGTCTTGGCTTAAAATATAAATAGAACAAACAGGTTTTACAAGCAACGAAGAGTCCTGTGACTTTCTTGGTTCAGACTGCAGTGCAATTAAATGCAGGTATATAGGGGAACCAAGAAAGAAAAAGTTTGCCGAGTGGAGCCAAAGGGACATACCACAGAAAAGGCAGCAGCAGTCCTGTCTGGCACCTTTCCCTACAGCTGACCTTTGCTTCTTGGCCACACATCCTAAATCTCCCAACTGAAGATAACTTTTTGTGCATCTGCCAGAGGCAGGCTCTGATCTGTGAAAGCACACGATACACCATAAATCTATTAGTCTTTAAAGTGCCATCACGAGACTGGTTTTGCTACAGTAAAATCTAACATGCAGATGCCCCTTTGGGACTTGGTTGATCCATGAGTAGGTTTGCTAGATATCTTCCCCACTTCTTCCATAGTTATCTTGGAGAAACAGAGGGAGGTCAATATGAAATTCTATGAGATGAACTGGGTCTGGAGACAGGGCAGGGTGGAGAGAAATATTCTGGAGGTTTCCCCACCTAAAGATAAGAAGTCCCATCATTTTCTGAAAACACTGTTGACGTGATTTTGTTTTTATCTTTGCCGTATGAGATAAGTCACTTGTGAGCTCCTAAATCACCCTGTCTTAACCAGAGATAACTTCTCTGGGAAATTTATTCTTGCTACTCTGTTTAACACTGTGTCAAACACCCCACTGAACTTTGGCCAAGGAACCAGGCTGACGGTTCTAGGTGAGTTTTTTATCTCCCTAAGAAAATTCTGTTTGTTAGTAGAAACTAATAAGGAACACAATCTCCAGGAAAGGTTTTCTGTGTGCAAGCCCAATTAAAATCCCCTGCTCAAGAGAAGAGTTATGTTTGTTTTGGAGGACATCCAAATGAGCTGTGTCCCAAGACTACAATCGTATCCCAATTAGTAAGAAGCTAAAAACGTGCCCCTCTCACAAATGCAGAGAATAAGCAGAGTTATAGAATTGTAGAGTTGGAAGGGACCCCTTTGGTCATCTAGTCCAACCCCAGCAATGCAGGATTTTTTTTTACCCAGGGTAGGGCTTGAACCCATGAACCTGAGACTAAGAAGTCTCATGATCTACCAAGTGAGCTATTGATATGCTCAAGATTTAACCTAAAACTGGGAGTAGGAAGGAAGAGGCATCTGAATCAATGAAAATCTTGGACATACGTTAACCATAGAGGCTGCAATTTCATTCTGCAGGGGTCATGGTCAGGAAACACAGTTGTACCAGAGGAAATTAGGACGTGCCTTCCCACCCCTTGTTCATTTTTTGGCTGGCAATTGTTGGGCCAGGCAGGTCAGAAAAAGGCGAGAGAAAGGCAGTATCTATGTTAGAAAACGCCATTGTTTTTAGGTGATGGCTTTTTCACTGTGTACTCTGAAGCTTACTTTGGGAAGGGCACTCGACTCACAGTACTTGGTAAGAAAATCCATGGTGAATTGTTTCATTTTTTTGTATTGGAATTGGCTAATTGCGACAGAGGTTTGTAAAAGCAAAGGGGTCTGGGATGTAGGTCCTTTTTAAACTGTTCCCTAAAATGAAATGGGGATGTTGTGAATCAGCACACCTACCAAGAAAATTTGTTAGTCATCAAGACTTATTTTGGATTCCCCTGAGCAGCAATAGATGTTTTTGCCTTAGGAGCAATCCCCAAATTCACTGGCAATTTTGCTCCAGGAGAAGTTTGGGGACTACTTAGGTTGGTGTGCGTACAGAAGGAGAGAAAGAGTTTCAGCTAATCTTATTCACACCTATTTGGCTCCCTTCAAAACTCCACAGGTGTTTTGCCTGAGGAGGAACTCTTAAATTCCACCTCTGTTTGAAGCAAAATGTCTGTGGCAAGTCTCCAACGAACCATTTCAGTGCAGGAACAGACTGGCTAAATAATTAGAGAGGTCTTTTCATTCTCCGCAAGGAATAACTCTCCACATCTGTGCATCACTTGGTGTCTTAGCACCTGATTACTGAAGGCTGGATGTGATAAAGTGAGGGAAATTGTTGAACTACAGTTCCCATCAGCACCAGCGAGCTTAGAAGGGTCAGAAATGATGGGACTTGTAGTCTGGCAACATTTTGAGGGCTAAATGTTCCCCACCCCTGTGATAAAGGCGAAACTAAACCCAAGTTGTGCTGATTTTTCTATAAAGCTGGGGGAGGTTTAAAGAAAGGGAGGAGGGGGCTTGAATCCTTCCTTTGTGCATGCTCTCTCCATGGAACTGCTACTCTCTGGCTGGTCCCCCCCCCCCCCAAAAAAAGGGATTACTTCCATTCATGAAGCTCCACTGGGAGAAATATTGCTGGAGAGAAGTGATTTCAGAGACAAAATGAAAGTGTGGTGGAAAGCTCTGGATGGAAGTTTTCATTCCTGCCTGCCAAACCATGCTTTATATCAGGGTTTCCCAAACTTTCCAGCTGTTTTTGGACTACAATTCCCATCATCCCTGACCACAAGCCCTGCTAGCTAGGGACGATGGGAGTTGTAGTCCAACAACAGCTTTATACCATACCTTCACTCACCTCCCCCTGCTTTATGGAGACTTTGGGCGGTCAGATGCGTTGCCCAAAGGGATGACAAAAAGAGGAGGCCAACTTGCTTGGAATTTTATATGTACGGTATATATGCCAATTTATAAAATAAGTTTGCATAACTGGACAGCCCTCAGGTAGAAGACACCTTCAGACACAGGACTGTCCTCCAACAGCCCTGAAAATAGGCCACCCTAGAAGGAATTGGTGGTGACCCATTTCACGGATCTCTTCTGATCATCAACCTTGGCTCTGAATTTGTGAGATAGCTTCACTGAGAAGTATTGCATACAAAGTCATGTGAGCATTCTATAAGATAGAATGAAACGGTGTGAAAATTCTGTCTGGGGGTGTTAGGTCCTTAAAGTCCCATCCACACACATGCAAATTATCACAATCCTAATGTAGTAGCAGATCCCATTCTCAGAGAGCATGCAGGTGACATTCTCAGCTCATCTATCGTTGTCCTGGAGCCTCCAAGGAATTAAAGGGCAGAGGGGGAGGGGGAGAGATGTTGTCAAGAAACAGATGTCTTAGATAACGTGTGCTCTGCAATTAATTTCTGTGACAGATCAGGAGGAAACAAATGTCTCTGCCTTCCAACAGAAAGCCTCATTTCTTTTCATGTCTTATCAGCATTGGGTAACTTATGAAGTAGTGGCAGAGAGGAGGAACTTTGACAGAGCAGCTTTCCAACCGTAGCAGACAGAGGATTACCTTGTGGGAAATCAAAGTGGGGTTATTTCATGAGCTAGTTGGCTGTGCAAACACTGATCCGTTACACTTTGGAGCAGGGACCAGGCTGACTGTATTAGGTAAGAAGACGAATCTTCTCACGAACCTCTGTACTGAAAAAATGGTAAATCTAACATTCTTTCGAGTTCCACGTTGCTATCTTAACAAAACTAGATATATATTGTGTGGCACAAATTGGCTGACCTGCGGGAAACCTTCTCCTCCTAACAAGCAGCTTGGCTCCAAACATTGACTCCATAGCTGTCCCAGACAGAATGGAGAGCTTTGTTAAACAAACAAACAAAATTAGGAATTGGTTTGCCCAAAACTGTACTGAGGGCTCAAAGGTTGTTGTTGTTGTTTAGTCGTTTAGTCGTGTCCGACTCTTTGTGACCCCATGGATCAGAGCACGCCAGGCACTCCTGTCTTCCACTGCCTCCCACAGTTTGGTCAAACTCATGCTGGTAGCTTCAAGAACACTGTCCAACCATCTCGTCCTCTGTTGTCCCCTTCTCCTTGTGCCCTCAATCTTTCCCAACATCAGGGTCTTTTCCAGGGAGTCTTCTCTTCTCATGAGGTGGCCAAAGTATTGGAGCCTCAGCTTCACGATCTGTCCTTTCAGTGAGCACTCAGGGCTGATTTCCTTAAGAATGGATAGGTTTGATCTTCTTGCAGTCCATGGGACTCTCAAGAGTCTCCTCCAGCACCATAATTCAAAAGCATCAATTCTTCGGCGATCAGCCTTCTTGATGGTCCAGCTCTCACTTCCATACATCGGGCACAAACGTAGCCACAGGCAATCCATTGCACATTCAATCTGAAAGTTGAAAAAGAGGGAGAGAGCAAAAGGCCAATCTCTTAAAGCCCGGGGGGAGAGGAGACAGAAGCAGGAAATATAAATGTGTTAGCTGGACTGATGTGTCATAGGAACATAGAGATAGAAGGGGCCGTGAGGGTCCTCTAGTCCACCCCCTGCAATGCAGGAATCCTTTTGCCCAACGTGGGTTTTGAACCCATAACCCTGAAATTAAGAGCCTCATGCTCTGCCATCTGTTCCAAACAGCAGAGGATGAATATGATCAGAATCTGCACATTTTGCAGAAGCCCTCCTCATCTACATAAACAAGGCAGTCATTGATATAATACATTAGGAGTAAGTAGCATGACCATGGTATTTAGAAATACAAGCACTGGAAAGATGGGAATTGTGGCTGCCCATACCTGCGACCAGCTGGTTCGTGGGTTACATTTGACCATGCTTGTATATATACCAGGACAGTTGTCTCTCAACCTAGTGCCATCCAGATGTTCTGTGCTTTAGCAGCTATTCACCCTGGCCAGCATGTCCAGTAGGCATGATGGGAGCTGTAGTCCCAAACATCTGGAGGGCAGAAGGTTGGGAAAGCCTAGACCATGGGTAGGCAGACTAAGGCCCAGGGGCCGGATCCAGCCCAATTGCCTTATAAATCCGGCCCGCGGACGGTCTGGGAATCAGCATGTTTTTACATGAGTAGAATGTGTGCTTTTATTTAAAATGCATCTCTGGGTTATTTGTGGGGCATAGGAATCCATTCATTCCCCCGCCCCCTAAAAAAATACAGTCTGGCCCCCCACAAGGTCTGAGGGACAGTGAACCAGCCCCCTGCTGAAAAAGTTTGCTGACCCCTGGTCTAGACAATACTGGTCTGTCTGGACGATACATAGTCTAATCTAGGGCAAGGCAACTTCCTATGTTCCAGGAGTATCTGGGAAGCTGTGGAGCAAGTTTGGGGAACCTGTGGCTTGCAGATGTTGCTGTGTTTGTTAGGCCAGAGGCTTTTCCCAGCAGCAGCCAACCAGATAAAAAGTTAAGGGCAAAGCGGTTGCCTGCGCAGGTGGTGTTCTCTTTGAGAGACCTTCCCCAATCTTTGAGGAGAGATATTCCCTCTTTGGTGATAACGGTTTCACACTGTGTTACAATAACCCTCCGAGCTTTGGCCAAGGAACTCGACTGACTGTTTTAGGTAAGCAGAAGGGGTTGGCAATGTGGGGGTGGAATTAAAATAATGGCTCATTTTAAGGGCTGCAAAAGCACTTCAGATATCTGCTCACATTTAACGATTTACTGTATATGGTAAATTTTACAGGAGTGACAATTATGTGAGGTACGGCAATGTCATCGTCTGATTATTTTATTTCCACTTGAGGCAGCATCTCTAGTTATTTCTCATTGCTTGCTCTCCTCCATTTTCTCCCCACAACAGCCTTGTGAGGTAGACTAGACCGAGGGGGAGAGAGCGTCTGAGCCAAGGCCCCCCCAATGAGTTTCATGGCTGAGTCCTAGATGGGCATTCTAACCACTAGATCACACTGCCTTTCATTTGTTGGTTCTCATCACCTTAACAATACCTGAGAAAATGGAAAGGTGTGTGTGTGTCTTGTGCTTCCTCCAGGATTTCCCAAATCTCTGTTTATTGAGCCCTTGAGGAGCTTATAAAGTTGTCGTTGTCCCCAAACCGAATTCCCATAAGTGAAAGAAAGTAAAGAAAGAATTGTTTTAGAAGTGAAACTCCACATTCTTTCCCACCACCTAGGCTCCTTTTGACCTCTTGACTTCTAGGTCTTTTTTCACCCTCTGTCCCAGATGGTCAATTTCAAGCACTTTGGGAAACTCCACCGACCTAGTTCCAACCTCAGTTTATTAGCACGTCTGGCTTCACCAGACTCTGGAAGGCAAACGCCTAATGTAGAGCCAAGCACACAAATTACAGCAGGCAAAGCCTTAAGCTGTGGGAAACAGGGGAAGCAGCTCAGGAGTGGGAACAGGCATAACAAACACACAAACCTCTCCCTGTCCTCACCTGTGTCATGTTGGGAGGCTAGGTGCCTTTAGCTCTTTAGTAAAGGTTTGCCTACAGGAACGTGATGCCGTGTTCCGCTGAAAAGCTGCATTTCGGACAAGGAACGCGGCTCACTGTACTAGGTAAGAAACACATGAGCGGTAGGCGCAAGGAAGTCTTGCCACAGGGCTGGCAGCACGAGAGAAAGCAGAAGCAAATAAATTTAAAATGTGCCTGTGCAATTGATGCAAACCTCAGCTGAACTAATCTACAGAATCCAGGGACTCGGGAAGCCATAAATGATTTGGGCAAAGGTTTGTGGTTTTTTGTTTTGCATTGTAACATTTAAAAAGATGAGATTCAAAGCACACTTTTGGTGAGGGATTCTAGTCAGAAACACTAATGTTTTTGAGGATGAGTGGGACCCTTTAAATGAATGTTGGGATTGTCTGGCATTTTGGGTTCTCTCGGTGGGTGGAATGGTAGGCAAGAAATTTGCCAAAGGTTGCAAGGCATGTAGGACTGTATGATTACCACCCAGTTCCTTTAACTGTCCCCATTGATTTCACTAGGAAGGACTGATGCACAGGCTTCACTTTTCTGCTGAATCTTAAAGGGGCCACTCAACTCTGGCTGGATTGCGTGCGGAAGTAAAACGCTGGCATCTCTAAGATTTCCAAGTTGAGTGTCAGAATATCTACTCTTAAAAGGAACCAAGGAGGCGGCAGGCAGGGGGCACAGAGGAACTAAAATAGCAAAATGCACGGTGGCCACAATTCAAAGTACGATACAAACCCATTCAGGAAAAAGGACCCCTGTGAGAATAACAACAACAATCAAAATTATTATAGCTTATAGTTTAAGAGCACCCATGAGTTCATGGCTGATGTGGGATTTGAACCAGGGATTGCATGGATTTGAACCTGAGAAAACATTGACTTAAAAAAACACACCATGAACTCTACAAAAAAAAAATGATATCAGGAGAAGGCAAAGCAACACTTTATCTTGTGCCTTGGCTGAGCTCTGGGATCTGGTTTTGACACCAGGACTTAACTCTGGTGGATATGAAGAAAGGAAAAAGAAAAATGGGCAGAATTAGGGCCAAGTGAGTTGTGGTGTAAGGATATCTCTGCATTTAACATGCAAGCATTTAAAAATGCAAGCAGCAGCAACAGCTGGGAGAGAATAATAATTACTGGGATTGCAGCAGGGGTAGGTGGGTAGAAATGTAACCATTTCCTTCACTCCTGCAGTCCTGAAGCAAACCCCTCTTCTGAAATGGATTTTTTTGGGGGGTGGGGGGACCACTTGGCACACAGCCCACCCCAGCTGCTATGATCCGGCAGGGAACAGGGCTCCTTGAGGAGAGCCATTTAACCATGAATGCATAACCATTTAACTTCTAGTTTCAGGCTCAACAGCCTTTCTTGCGAGAAGCTCAATGTGGTATACATGATTCTCCCACAACCCCATTTTATCCTCACAGCACCCTGTGAGTTAAGGTTAGGCAGAGAGACTGAGATGGGTCCAAGGTCGCCCAGTGGGTTTCATGTGGCCGAGTAAGGATTTGAACCCTGGTCTCCCAGGTCCTTGTCAAGCAACAATCTAACCATTACACCTCACTGGATTTCTGCACCACACTGGTTGTAGTTTGTGGAGGAGGAAAACTAGTTGTAGGGTCAACGGCTACTTCTGGAGTTCCACATTGGCCTAGTTCTCAAGGTGGTAAAAGAATACATTGGTACCTCAAGTTAAGTACTTAATTCGTTCTGGAGGTCTGTACTTAACCTGAAACTGTTCTTAACCTGAAGCACCACTTTAGCTAATGGGGCCTCCTGCTGCTGCCGCTCCACTGGAGCACGATTTCTGTTCTAATCCTGAAGCAAAGTTCTTAACCCGAGGTAATATTTCTGGGTTAGCAGAGTCTGTAACCTGAAGCGTATGTAGCCTGAGGTACCACTGTATATGGATGCCCTATTTCATATTGCAGGTGGGGACTCACGCGACTAAATTTCTTGAATCTTTTCATGTTTCGGGTTTTAGAGTTCTGGTAGCCCCGATTTCTGTCTGAAAAATGTGTTTCCACCTTCACCAGAGCGGGCTTCAGTGATGAGAGCCCCTCACCCCCAGTCTAAAAGTGGTATACCCCAGACACACGTTTGCTACCTAAGAGATCAGTCAAAGGACTTCAGTGGTACCTCGGGTTACATTCGCTTCAGGTTACAGACTCCGCTAACCCAGAAATAGTACCTCAGGTTAAGAACTTTGCTTCAGCATGAGAAGAGAAATTGCGTGGCAGCAGCAGTGGGAGGCCCCATTAGCTAAAGTGGTATCTCAGGTTAAGAACAGTTTCAGGTTAAGAACGGACCTCCAGGACGAATTAAGTTCTTAACCCGAGATACCACTGTACAGTCTTTGTTGACCCTGAAACTTACCTCCTCCAGAACTACTTGTTTTCACTGAAAATCCTTTTGACAACTGGAGGGGATGGTGGTAGATACAGATCAGCCCTAAAGAGGACTGCTGGTGTGGCAATTCTCACAACCACAACTAGGGATAGGAGAATATATCCATTTTTGTTTCTCTCCATTTGCCATTTTTACACTTAAGTTCAGGTTCCCACATCAGTTTCTTTCTTTTTTTAAAAAGCCCTCATGAAAATTCACCAGAATTGTAATATTAATATATACATTTTTGCAAAGCAAGTTTCCCCACTGTAATGCATGTTTGCAGAGTGCTTTGGCTAATATATGCATTTTATCCACATGTTATCCTAGCCTTTTTGTACATATTACTCTGCTGGAGAACTGCATTTTACACTCACTGGGAAGCAAGAGCAGGAGACCAACGTAACCAACTTTTTAAAACTGAAACCCTTTATGGAACATTTGAGAAAGAACTGTAGTGAAACGAAATGGCTGGCAGAATTTGAATGATGAGCAGCAGACTGAGAATGACAATAAATGGAATAGAGGAAATGTGTATTAGATATAGTTTGACGTTTAATTAAAAAGAGAGAAATGCATTTCAAAATTCGGGGAAGCTCAAAATTCAAAGGATGGTTGTGCTTTGGTTCACATCTTCTTTCAGAAAGTTTGGTAGCTTTGCCTTTAAATGTGAACTGAATTGAACTCCCCCCACCCCCATCCCTAGTCACAGCCACCATCTCACTTAAAACCCACTCCTCTAGAGTTGACAATTCAGGGGATCAGTAGGTGCCCCCTCCCCACTTAAGGGGTCAGATGTGGTCCTGGGGTCTCCACTTGTCTCCCCCTTTTCCTGTTCTCCAGCTATCGAAAACATCTTTAAGTAAACCCCAAATAGTCTGCTGTAGAAATGCAGTTTGAGTGTGAACTTGCATGGCAAAGATATACTGTATTTTTCACTCTATAAGAAGCACCAGACCACAAGACGCACCTAGGTTTTGGAGGAGGAAAACAAGAAAAAAAATATTCTGAATCTCAGAAGCCAGAACAGCAAGAGGGATTGCTGCGCAGTGAAAGCAGCAATCCCTCTTGCTGTTCTGGCTTCTGGGATTGCTGTGCAGCCTGCATTCGCTCCATAAGATGCACACACATTTCCCCTTACTTTTTAGGAGGGAAAAAGTGAGTCTTATAGAGCAAAAAATACAGTATCTAAACAATAGTTTGATGTGGTGCTTTTTTTCCAAAACAATGTTTGGGGTACTCTCATTTCGACTCAAGAAAAAAAATCACAATTTTATAGTTCAGATTGGGGGGGAATACAGTAAATGGACAAAAGGACAAAGATTCACAAAATGTTTAGGGGTCTGTGTCCCCCCAGGAAAAAAGCACTGGTTTGCTGCCTAGAGAAGAAGACAAATGATTTTCGTAGTGCCTCGTACCTCTGTGCTCTTCATATGAACTTCACTTTGGAAGTGGAACCAGACTCACTGTCTTAGGTATGGTCTTGGCTGTAAGTTGGTGGTTCTGGTGGAACTTTTGCCTGTTTGTATGTGCAGAGGGCAGGGGTATAAGGTTTGGACTTTATACTAATATTCTGTGTCCCATTTCAAGTCCTACTGAAATAAGGTGAATTTCTTAGTCACCATTGCATAGGCACATGAATCTCGCCGGAGACTGATTAGAGTACCTGCTTCTTTTCAGAGCACCGGCAAGTAGTTTGAGAGAGGGACTGGTGTCTGTGATGTGCATGCTCATCATTTTGCCTCTAACACAATTTGCTGGGTTTTAAAAGCTTGTTTCGAATATTTGCAGGTTCTGTTTCACCCGAGGCAATTATGAGTGGGGTGGGGAGGAGGAAATTCTTGTTCCACAATGATATCAGGAGCAAGAAAAATGGAGAAAATGTGGGCTAAAGTCATGGATTTCTTATCTCCCCCATCCCTCCCCTCTCTCTCAATTATTTTTATGGCTCAAAAATGGCAAAACTGGGAATTTTGGTAACTCTGAAACCATTCCGTGAAATATTTTCCCCTCACACAAATAGGAGCTCTGTTCTCCGCCCCTTCAATAATAGATGAAGCTTTTTAATATTAGCAAAATTAGTCTTTAAAATGGACAGTGTTATGACAGTGTTAAAATGGACAGTGCCCACATGGGCACGCACACACATAGACTAGCTTGTGAAGAGAATTGGTGCAAATGAGTTTTCAGCTCCACATTGCATTGCATTGTTGCTATTTAACTTGGCAAAATATGGATGGTCTGCTCATTCTTGGCATCAGGGCTGGTAGTATTATTGCAACCATAACTACAATGGTAGGATCTAGTCAGCAAACTTTTTCAGCAGGGGGCCGGTCCACTGTCCCTCAGACCTTGTGGGGGGCTGGATTATATTTTGTAAAAAATAAATGAACGAATTCCTATGCCACACAAATAACCCAGAGATGCATTTCAAAGAAAAGGACACGTTCTACTCATGTAAAAACATGCTGATTCCCGGACCGTCCACGGGCTGGATAGAGAAGGCGATTGGGCTGGATCCAGCCCCCAGGCCTTAGTTTGCCTACCCATGACACTTCATTTGAAAGATATAAGCTATCCAACCTGGAACTGAAAACAAACTCATCATTTAGAGCAAGGTTTCCCAAACTTGGGTCGCCAGCTGTTTTTGGACTACGGTTCCCATCATCCCTGACCACTGGTTCTGCTAGCTAGGGATGATGGGAGTTGTAGTCCAAAAACAGCTGGAGACCCAAGTTTGGGAAATCCTGATTTAGAGCCTTTTCCTCCTTTAAACATATGCACACTCAGTTGGGTGTACGTTCCACTGAGCTAAATGGGATTTACTTCTGAGTAAATGTGCATAGCATTGTGCTGCACATTTCCTACGTAGTCATTTCTGGATTTAGAGAGAACACAATAGAAATAATAATAATGCTGGCCATTATTTGTCTACAGAACACCTTTAAAAACACACGCACCACATACTCGCATTAGCTCTTTGCTGTCTCCAGAAGTGTGGAAAGCCCTTAGCTCAAAGTTCATCCTCCTGGGATAACCAGTTAAAAGGACCTGAGGGGTCTGGGTTAGGAGGAGAGGGCTCTGCCTAATAATAATAATAATAATAATAATAATAATAATAATTTTTATTTATATCCCGCCCTCTCCAGCCAAAGCCAGGCTCAGAGCGGCTAACAACAATAAAATGATAAAACATTCTAAAATCATTTCATTATAAAATTAATTCCAATCAAATTAATGGCAACCATTGGGCTAGAAGTTCTGTGAGGATTGCCAAAGGAGGGAGTCAGGATGTGCCCTGGCCAATGGCCCGGTGGAACAGCTCTGTCTTGCATGCCCTGCGGAAAGATAATAATAATAAATTTCTTTAGTAAGTTCTTTAGTAGTTCTAATGGGCTAGATAGAACAAAGTTTGTGTGGCCACAATTTCCCCTTTCAAAGAATATGGCCAAGCTCTATCCATAATGTATGCTCTACATATTGAAAGTAGGCGCTGATCCTCCAGCGATAATTAAAAATCAATATTTGTGGGCTCCTTGTACAACAGGTGGGGGCAGAATTCAATAGAAGCCCTGACTCGGGATTCATACACAAGTCTTGTATGTAGGAAGATTGTAAGAGCCATTTCACAGATTATGGTTAGCCATGAATAGGCACTCAGCAGGAAGCTGCAGTAAACCCAACTCTTGTGAATATGATACTCATGTGATTTTATTGGTTGCTAGCACAAGCTGACCTCTCTCCAGTCCCCATGCCCTCTGCATGTAGATTACCCACAGAAATGATGCCATTTAAATAGGGCTTCCTAGAATTCCAATTCACTCATGGTTGGAATGGATCTGTCCATTTTGGTTCTCTCAGATTCTCATTTTTCCAACCGTAAATTCAGCTCTCCATGCTTCTGCAGCAATCTCTGTGTTGTTGTTTTTAATCATCCTGAAAATTTGTCGGCATTTTAGTGTGAATTCCTCCTAATAATCACATTTTTTGTATGCAATTCCATGTAATATACGTGTTTTTTTGCATGTTACTTTCATGAATATATGAATTTCCATGCACACTTTACGTTAGTATTTTTGCACAGATCGCTAGGCTGAAGAACTGCATTGCAGAATTCAGAGAAGTGTGGGTTTTGAAGGCTGGTGTGTGTTTTAATTCACATCATGTTTCAGAAAGTGTGAATTTGGTAGGTTCTCCTTTAAATGCAAACTTAATTGAATTTCACCCCCAATCCCTACCTCTTGATCCTCTCATTACTTGATTCCTCAACGCACGGTGATTAGCAGCTGACTCTGTGAACTCACACCATTAAAAAGTGCTGTGTTTCATAGAGTTGGGTGATAAATTCTATGCAGCTTGCCTTTGAAGGCAATTCTGCCTACTTTGCCCTTTCTGAAACAATATGAGAACTGAAACACAGAAACCTTTCGAAATGTGTCCTTCTCCGAATTTTGCAATGCAGCTCTTCAGCCAAGTGAAGTGTGCCCAAAAACACAAAAACAACATACACCCATGCATTCTATTAAGGGAAATGCGTACACTGGTGAGGCTCGCCAATCTCCCGCAAAAGCAAAAATCTGACCTTTTGCTGTTAGGCAAAGATCAGAAGATGACCTGGATAGTCGCCAGATTCTATGTACAAATCTGTAGGCGCAGACCATCGGTCAACACAAAGTAGTCCGGCATGAAAATCCCCCAACTCGGTCCCATGGGTGACTCTGAGTCAACTCCCTGGGATAGTTTATTGTTGTACATTGTTTCTAAATTTATTGTTGTACATTGTTTTAATTGTCTGTTTTAACCATATTTGCACATCAGTTTCTAATGTTGTGAGTGTCCTCTATTTCAGGGGCTTCTACTCTGCAGCCTCTTATAGTTGTTTTAACTGCGGGTCTTTTAGTTCTTATGCTCTTACAGTTGTCTTAACTGCGTGTTTTTATTTGTTTTTAGTTCTTATCTGTTTTAATTATCAGTTTTTATCCATCCATTATCCGTGTTTAATCTAGTATTTTATTCAGATGTTTTATCCAATGCTTGTTTCTTTGTCCTTATTTGCTCTAACAATTATCGGTTAAAAAAAAATAAATCCTAACTGCTATTTTATTTATAGGTTTTTTGCTTTTTGTTTGCTTTTTTTTTTGTTTTTATCCTGGTCTGTGACCGTAATAAAGTTCATTCAGTTCACATGTGTCTATTTAGAGTTAGAATTTTTCATGCTTACTTTAAAATAAATCGCAAACGGATGCCGAAATGTGGAGAAGTTAACGTAAGATTGGGAAAATGGGGAAACTGGGGGACGCCACTATGGACCGATTTGCATATCCCTGGTTTCAGGTGACATCAAGGGAGAAGTGAAATCCACAACGGCCTGTTCGTACGTGCAAGTTGAAAGTGATGTCGTTGAAAGTGGCAAAATAGCCAACCGAAGGTCAAGGAGGTAAATCATCTTTGTATAGCATGTGCTTGTTCCTTTCTCTTCCAGGAGTCGACCAAGATGTCAGCCCCCCTCAAGTGACCGTATTTGCCCCGCCCAAGCAGGAGGTCGACGAAAAGGAGAAAGCCACCATTGTGTGTTTAGTCACCGATTTCTTCCCAGATCATGTCGCCCTGAGCTGGACCGTGAATAACGAGAAGAGAACGGCTGGGGTAAAGACAGAGGACCCAGTATATGACAACACCGCGAAGCGCTATTCAATGACCAGCCGTTTAAGAATCACCAAGGAAGAGTGGCAGAATGCAGATAATAAGTTTGTGTGCAGAGTCAGTTTCCACGATACAGAAGGATCCACAGACTATGAGGATGACATAAATGGTGCAGGTAAGTGAAGAGCAGGTTAGCAAAGACTGCCCTAAAGACTAGGGAGCTCAGATTCCCAGGAAGGTGAAATCTACCACAAGCCACCACGTTCTCTATGCATTCCTGTAGTTTTGCACCATACACAGTCCTGGTCACATTTTTTAAAAGTTTTATTTACAGTGGTACCTCTGGTTAAGTACTTAATTCGTTCCAGAGGTCTGTTCTTAACCTGAAACTATTCTTAACCTGAAGCACCACTTTAGCTAATGGGGCCTCCTGCTGCTGCCGCGCCACCGGAACACGATTTCTGTTCTCATCCTGAAGCAAAGTTCTTAACCTGAAGCGCTATTTCTGGGTTAGCGGAGTCTGTAACCTGAAGAATATGTAACCTGAAGCGTATGTAACCTGAGGTACCACTGTACATGGGCAAAATGCTCCCAGATCCATTTGACTGCAAACCATTCCTCATCTCTAATACATTTTCCTAGTAATGTGTTCTATCATATTCAAACATTTGTTGATGAACTCCTTTCATTGCATTTGTCTTATTCTACCAACTGATCCTCAATGGATTTCCAAATAGCATGTAGTTTCCCTAAACGTACTCAAGAAATTGTGGCGGTTTTCACACCTAGCCAAATCTTCTGATGCCAATATTCAAGGAAGAGTCTATTCCTGCTTTTTGCAAGGGGGGGGGGGCAAAGATCATTTTGCTATCAATATATTGCCCATTATTTTCTCTCCCCCCCCCCTTTTTTTTTACACACAACCTCTGGAGACATTCAGGAGAAGTACATGCACATTTGGGTTTTTAAAGTCTTGCTTTGGAAATAGTACCCCCCCACCCCCACCCCACATGCCCACCTGTCACTTTCCCTGTCTACTTTCAGTTTTTCCAGGTCTAAGGATAGCTAATATGTCTTCTCCCCCTTCTGCTTTCAGATTGTGGTGGCGGCAGCGAGGCTGCAAGAGGTAAACCCAAATTACCTTGTGCTTTCAATGCTGGAATTTCATTGGAAATAAAAACACAAGAAACCTCCCTTATACTGAGCCAGACCACTGACTCACCTAGCTCAGTTTGTCAGCACTGGCTGGCAGCAACCGTACAGGATTTCTACAAAGGTCTCTCACAGCCCTACCTAGAGATGCCAAGGTTTGAACCTTGGGAGCTTTGTATCAGATGCCCTACTAGTGAGCTAGAGGTCTTCTGCCAACCAGTCTTCTACCTAACAGCGCTTGCAATAAACATGGTCGGAATTAAGTCCCATTGACTTCAGTGTACACAGCTTCCTGTTTAGGGAGGATGACGATCTGTACATGAAGACAGGAGGTTACCTGTGTAGGTTTGATTACTTCTGAGTTCAGTGTGACTGGGCAGCAGGGGGACCTCTTGGTTCTGCTCCAAAACGTTTTGGCACAGCCAGTCTGAAATATACTCAGAGTCGAGAGCGGATTTCATGCTCTTTATTCAGCTCATAGGAGGAATGACAGTTCCCCCCAAATATCTGCTTTATATACATTATTTACACAATGGGTTGCATGTGATTGGCTAATTCCAGGATTCTCCTATGGCCAATCAGGTTGTGGATTCACTTCCACCTGGAGCTGGATTGGGTGGCTCCTGCAGACCAATCATACTGCTGCATTGTTCTAGGACCAATCAGACTGCTGCATTCTGAATCCTATTGTTCTAGGACCAATCAGACTGCTGCATTTTGGATCCTATTGTTCTAGGACCAATCAGATTGCTGCATTTTGGATCCTATTCAACTCAGTACATAACACAGTCCATGATAAACGTCATCTCACCTACTGATAGCCTCCAGGGCACCCATACAGGCGTGTCATCATCCTGGGCTTCCAACATGGTGAAGGGAAAGCAATATTGCTACCCCAACCCCCAGCAGAGCAGATGAAGGCAACTGTAGATTGCCTGTAGCTCTCGTTGCATGGCCTCCAGCACCGCGAGAGAAGAATAATAGCCCCATCCTTCAGGAATAAGCAGGGAAGGCAAGTGTAGCAAGGCTCGAGGATGTTCCAAGCTGTCCTCTGTAGACCTCCCCTGCTGTTTCCAAAATGGCCCTAGAACCTGCAAGAAAGCACCTGCTCCCGTCTTATTCAGAAGGCTTCGACCCCAGTCTGAACCCTCGGTTTTGACCCTGATCCTGGGTGGGTACAATATTAGTGCAGCAACTGTAAATAGGCAGATGTCTGCATTTTGATCCATGTTTCTTTGCCCATTGACAGATCTGTTCATCTAATAACCTCCGTTCCTCCAATCAAAAGCTACACGAATAGGAATTGCCAATAATTGTTCTCTGGGTTAGTTGCTTGCTTCATGCAGAGCCTTGTGTGCTGTTTTAATATGTAACCCTGAAAATTGTGCTGTCTGAATATAAGCTGGTGCACAGACATGAGCAGTTCCTTGAAACTGGCCAAGCTTTATCTGAACTTCATCTAAATCTCTTCCTCCTTATATTTGATTGGCTCCATAGACAAGTGAAACTTATGGTTGTGAGTCAGGAAACCCTAGACTGAACAGCCCTAGACTGGGTATTTCCCAGCCACTTTTAAGTGCCCAATATCATCTCAAACTAAAGGAAGATTTTCCTGAACCAGCATGCAGACAGAAATGCAGCTGTCACACTTTTCTGAATTTTATGTTGACGTTCTCCATCGAAAAAAGGCACACACGAAGGAAGCATACTTTATGGGAAAGGGCACCCAAAAATGCTTCAATTAGGGAAAATCATGTATAAAAATGCATTGTAGTATGGAATATTTCGGGGGGGGGGGGAATGGTATATTAGGTACTATTTGTACAAAAATATATATATCATTGGGGGGGGGGGGAGTTAAACTGTGGACTTTGCTGCCACAAGATGTGGTGATGGCTACCAGCTTGGATGACTTTTGGCTCGGGTTTCCCAAACTTGGGCCTCCAGCTGCTTTTGGACTACAACTCCCATCATCCACAGCTAGCAGGGTGGATGATGGGAGTTGTAGTCATGGTGGCCATGTTCTACCTCCACCGTCTGTAGATGACCTTGTGATCATTCACATTTCTTTCCCACCCTTGATTTTTAGAGTCGTATCTCACGCAAGCCTATCTTGGGGAACTGGTGTATATTCTTCTCATTCTCAAGAGCACCTTGTATGGAGCCTTTGTGATGGGATTAAAACTAAGAAAAAAGGTAAAGTACAGTGTTGATTCTTTCCGCCCTGGGCCCACCAATTTCTTTTGAAAATGTGACATACGGATTCTTCCGCTGTGACCCAGCACTGAATTCACTCTGTTTAGCCTTTAAACACCACAGGCTAATCCATACTTCTTCTTGTTGTGTTGCTTTTCCCTGCGGAAAACCACTCTGTGACCCCCCCTCTCCCCAGATCTTTCATTATTCTGGTGCATTTAGCCCAGAAGTAACAATCTGCTCTGTTCTGTTTCCTGTTCCATGACAGTTGGCACCATAGGCACGTTTTACCTGGGGGCATCTATCCTGAGCTGAGTGAACTCCATGAAGACAGAAGGGAAGATGGATACCCTCAACCTCGGAAGTCCAAAGTAGCATTTTCTTAAAACAAAAACAGTTGCTTAGGGTCAGTCAGTAAATAATCTCTCTTTGGTTCTTTTAAATGCTTTATTATTTTGCATTGGAAACATTTATAAAAAGCTTTTTTTGGGGGGGGGAGAAGTCCTTTACCTTGGACTGAGGAGGACACACAAAGGCAGGGGACAGTTGGTGGGGGTGTCCCTGTAGGGTAGAAAGGATCTCCCAGGGTGAGAGGCTGGGGGGAAAGCAGGCTCCAGGTGGAAGATGGGAAGGTCTCCCTCTTGCATAGGGATAAATGACAGTATATACATGATATAAATATGGAAAACGGCCATATAAGTATTTCCCCCCTATCTTTCGGCTTTTTTTAATATTCTTGTTCTATAAGCTAGCTTGATTCTTATTGTATTTTATGCCAAAACTTTTCAATAAAAACACTTAAAAAATATTAAATGCTTTATTTTAGTAAGGCCACAGCACTTTCCCCCCAGAGTTCCTTGCCTTTCACGCCACTTTTAACTATGTTTACTAGGAAATACATATGCTTAGACTTCCAACCTTAAAGTACTATTGATTTTCAAGGAGCCTTATGCATCACTCTTGTGCAGAGATCGAGCCGCAGCCAACATGATACGTTTTTTTAGTAAAGTCGCCGAATCCTTTTTGCTGAGACTCCTGTGTTTCCTTTCATAAACTGTTGCGTCAAAATAGTTCCGATCCAAACTAAGCTCATGTTGTGAATGTCTTTTTCCAAAGAGAGGCTATGTGTTTTCTTGTGACTGCTTGCTAGCAGGGAGGGCAAGGGTTGTTTTAGCTAAATATAGATTTAATGCTTTTGAAATAAAGGCATTATGACATCATGAAAGCAAGAGTGTTGGGCGAATACAATGTTTTGCTACCGATTAACGGTGGATGCGGGTGGTGCTGTGGGTTAAACCACAGAGCCTAGGACTTGCCGATCAGAAGGTCGGCGGTTCAAATCCCTGCGACAGAGTGAGCTCCCGTTGCTCAGTCCCTGCTCCTGCCAACCTAGCAGTTCAAAAGCACATCAAAGTGCAAGTAGATAAATAGGTACCGCTCCGGCAGGAAGGTAAACGGCGTTTCCATGCGCTGCTCTGGTTCGCCAGAAGCGGCTTAGTCATGCTGGCCACATGACCCGGAAGCTGTACGCCGGCTCCCTTGGCCAGTAAAGCGAGATGAGCGCCGCAACCCCAGAGTCGGCCACGACTGGACCTAATGGTCAGGGGTCCTTAAAGGTGGAAAATCCTTGCCCCTGAATGACAAGTTGTGCCCGCCAAAGTTCTCTCTTCTTCAAGGTGCATGTCGCTTGTGCCCAACGTGCTTTTAAAGTCACCTAGAAGCACCAAACTGAGAAGCATCATGAGCTTTTGCTACGCAACAAGGATGTTTTAGATCACTGTTTCCCAACTTTGGGTCTTCAGCTCCTTTTGGACTACAACTCCCATCATCCCTAGCTAGCAAGACCAGTGGTCAGGGATGATGGGAATTGTAGTCCAAAAAGAGCTGGAGACCCAAGGTTGGGAAACAATGTTTTAGACGGACCTGTAGAAATTGGGTCATTTGCTTAGCCAACCTCGAAAACGTCCCCTTTAAGAAAATAAGCAAGCGAGGCATTCATGCGCACAACAGGATGTGGCTTGACATTTGCTTGTTTCTCTCAAGCAGTGGTTACCACAGAGCAGGTTTCGTTGCAGCGTGGGGCTTCGGTGATCAGGCACTTTTCCTGCCACGGTTAGAAATAGCACATGTTGTCCCACCCACAATGGCGGCTTCAGGGCCTGGCGCTATCGCACAATCAATCTCCTGCCTCAGCCAAAAGCTGTTGCTCCGTGATGCAGGTGCACCGGTTGTGGTCAGTGTGTGCCGCATTTCAAATGGAAAATTCAGTGGGTATTTGTTTTGCACCACTCCTGACGTGTTTTGATACCTCTCCCCTGCCGACACAAGCGTGCCTCTATAACAAATGAGCACTCTGGATTTCAGCGACATCGAGTCCTCTCTTTCCTTTCCTTTCTGAAGGCTGCTGAGTAGCCTAGATGACTCTTACTGTGACAATAATGTGTCCTCAGCATGTCCTTGTGCCATTTCCTTTTTAATTCAGTTTTTATTGTGACAGAGAAGAGTGAGAGACAGCGGAGCTGTTGCCTTGGGGGTCCTTCTTCTGACAGTGCCTTAGAAACTAGTTATTTGTCTGGACCTTAGAAGCAAAGGCTACTGAATACAGAGTAAAGTATAGATGTACACAGTATAACAGTGGAAGTACAAGGCATTTGGTTTCTTATGGGCAAAGGGTTATCTCATGTCAACTTCTCCAAATATCCACACCATACATTTAAAACACATGGCTTTCCCCAAAGACTATTGGGAACTGTAGCCTACACCCAACGTAGCTGTAATTCCCCAGCACCCTTAATAAACTACAATTCCCAGGATTCCTGGGGCAGTAGGAGCCATATGATTTAAATGTATGGTACGCATGTGACCATTGTAAAAGTTTCCCTTTTGAAGTTTTGTTCTTCCAGGATGAGTGTCTGAAGATCAACAACACATGGCCTGGTGTGCTCTGTAGCAGAGTATTCCTGGATATCACCCTGACCTTGTTGATCTCATACCCTCCATCATTCATAATAATAATGATAATAATTTTTATTTATACCCCATTTATCTGACTGGGTTTCCCCAGCCACTCTGGGTGGCTTCCAACATATAAAAAACATAATAAAGCATTAAACATTTTTAGAAAAACTTCTCTATACAGTGGTACCTCGGGTTAAGTACTTAATTCGTTCCGGAGGTCCGTTCTTAACGTGAAACTGTGCTTACCCTGAGGTACCACTTTAGCTAATGGGGCCTCCTGCTGCCGCCGTGCCACCAGAGCACGATTTCTGTTCTCATCCTGAAGCAAAGTTCTTAACCTGAAGCACTATTTCTGGGTTAGTGGAGTCTGTAACCTGAAGCGTATGTAACCTGGAGTGTATGCAACCCAAGGTACCACTGTACAGGGCTGCTTAGGGGTTGGATAACTCCATGCAGCCAGTTTTTTTGTGGCACCCACTAGGTGGCTGCCAGCTTCCTTGTTGCACATGCTACCTCATTAAATCACTGGTTGTTTTTTTACTACGTGTATCTCATGCCCAGTTCTCCAACGAAAATAAGGACGTCCTAAGGAAAAGTGGGAAATTCCAGGGTCAAATCAGAAATCAGCTTGGCTTCTGTAAATCTGGGACTGTCCCTGGAAAATAGGGACACTTGGAGGATCTACTTTTTCACTTCATTGTAATCTAACCTGTGGGACAAAGTTAACCCCCCACTCCATGTGCCTTGCCCCTTCTAGTGCCCCCACCCAATTTCTTATTTCTTTTTGGTGTTGCCACTGCAGTGACACAACAGGCACAACTGATGTCAAGGAAGGAAAGGGGGCACATGGATGCATCTGGCAGGGAACACAGGGTGGCGATTAATACAAAGGAAGGCCTTTTTGAAATGTGCTTTAAACGTATGTTGTAGCTGTGAACTGAGCTCCCTGTGGCATTCAGGTGTGCAGCAATGATGTTTGGCTTGCCCAGAGATCTTTGTTTTTAGCTTGGCATTTCCCAACGACAGATATTTGAGTTCTGTTTGGGTTCCTGCTGCGGCAGTTGTTGAAACCATATGGCTATCTGGATGTTGTAGCTGTTGCTATTTATTATTTTTAAAGGTTATGTGTATATTGTGAACCTCTTTGGGATCTATTTACATGTGAAGAGCAGTGTATGTTTTAAAAAAATTAAAAATAAAGGAGGTAGGAGAAAAGGTGTTCAAATAAAAATAATAATAACCTGCCCATCTGACTAGGTTACCCCAGCCACTTTGTGCAGCTTCCAACAAATTCAAACATCAAACATTGAAAAATTCCTTGTACAGGGTTGCCTTCAGATGTCTTCTAAAAGCCAGATAGTTGTTTATTTCCTTGACATCTGGTGAGAGGGTGTTCCACGGTGCAGGCGCAACTACTGAGAAGGCCCTCTGCCTGGTTCCCTGTAACCTGAATGATGGGGATGGAGACACTCCTTCAGGTATGCAGGACCAAAGCTGTTTAGGGCTTTAAAGGTAAGCACCAACCCTTTGAATTGTGCTCAGAAACGTACTGGGAGCCAATGTAGATCCTTTAGAAGACCCAGCCACCATCCTGGTGCTCCTTACCACAACCCTGTAAGGGATATCAATACTTTTCCAATGCAGGAAAGATAGTAAGTGTGGGAGGCTGGAGCTGAGCCAGCTTATAACTTCTCCCTAAACTCACAGGTAAAGTCTTAGCTGATATTCCATACAGGCTGCTACTCACATAAGTGTTCTATTTAGAAATCCCAAATTATTGTTGCTGCAATGGATCACTTTCCACCTCTGCTTAGGAGGTGACATTTCAGGTGGGTTTATGGCCACAAAAATAACATCCAGCATCCCTTTGACAATAGTGTAAAGGGACAGGGTGCCATCTAGCGGCTCTTGATGGATATATTGTTTTGTATCTAAACACATAACACATATGCACATAACACATAACACATGTTTTAATGTATTTTTAATCTTTGTTGGAAGCTGCCCAGAGTGCCTGGGGAAACCCAGCCAGATGGGCAGGGTATAAATAATAAATTATTATTATTATTATTATTATTATTATTATATCTGCAGCAGCTGTTTTTCACATGTTGTTCACCCGAGTGCTGCTTCACTGCTCTGCATCTCTCTCAGAGTCAGTCCATTGTTGATGGCTTCCTTCATGGATCATCACCCTGTCTCTGTTTGCTTGACGACTCATGGGAAGACAGTTTTGGTCTGTATTTTACCATGCTAAACCCAGTGTCTGGCATCCAGAAATTAGAAGGGGTGTGTGTTCAGGCACCCCACAAATTCATCACATTGTGCATTGTTCAGCTGAGCCGCGATTTTCAGGAGGCATTTAATGTGGGCCACGCTCCTTGTGATTTCAACAGGAAGGAACTTGATGCCTCAAAGAATACACCTTTTCCCCACTTCCCTGCGGTGTGGGAGCAGATGGAGCCACAAGCAAGGAGGAGGGTTTTTGTTGAGGTGTTACATTCACTTTGCACAGTGTGTGGGCTCCAGGCACAATAATAAATCCCAGTGTCACCGGCCATGAGGTTTTCGATGCTCAGGAAGAACTTGGTGTCTTCAGGTCTTGATCCTTGGATGTGGGGCGGTCCCTCGGCAGATGAGGATCCCACGGCAACAGAATAGGCAAGCAGCTGAATCTGTCCTTTGAGAATTTGCCTGTACCAGTAGATATTGGGGTTGGATGCCCCATTTATGTTGCAATTAAGAGATACCTTGCTGTCTGGCCGCTGTATCACCGTCTGTGGTGTCTGAACAATGGTTGGAGAACCATCACCTATGATCCACCAAAGAAAGCAGAAAAACTCTTATTACAGTTAAGAATATTTTATTATTGCTGCGTGTCTATGTTAGGGGTAGCCAATGTGGTGTTGTCCAGATATTGTTGAAGCTCCCATCTGCTCCTGACAGCATGGCAAATGGTCAAGGACGATGGGAGTTGTAGTTGAGAATATCTGTAGGATGTTTCACATAAGGAACCCTAGCTAGCTTTGATTTTTCATTTCCAGTGACATTTCATTCAGCCCAAGAAAATACATTCCTACACGTCCCACCACCACCACATATAAGTTAACGAACCACCCTCCTCCAGTGTTTGAAAAACTAATTAGCATTTTCACATGGCAATATATTGTTCACGATTAATTGCTTACAGATCCTCCATTCTGGCTTTGTTTAACAATTAATTGCTTGCCATCCTGCATTCGTAGTTCATGCTTTATGTCCCTCAAATAATTAAAAAGCTTACGGAACTATAATGTTTATAGCAGAGCACATTATAAAACTTTTGCCCCCTGCTCAAGAGAATGCAGTCTACCAGCAGGAAAATCAACTGGAACTTTGCCCTTGACTTCGGGGGGGGGGGTGGTTGCCATAATTATTACTATTCATTATAACTAGGTTTATAATGAATGAACAGCTCTTACTGTCAGGAAGTTCTTCCTAATGTTTAGGTGGAATCTTCTTTCTTGTAGTTTGGATCCATTGCTCCGTGTCCGCTTCTCTGGAGCAGCAGAAAACAACCTTTCTCCCTCCTCTATGTGACATCCTTTTATATATTTGAACATGGCTATCATATCACCCTTAACCTCCTCTTCTCCAGGCTAAACATGCCCAGCTCCATTAGCCGTTCCTCATAAGGCATCATTTCCAGGCCTTTGACCATTTTGGTTGCCCTCCTCTGGACACGTTCCAGTTTGTCAGTGTCCTTCTTGAACTGTGGTGCCCAGAACTGGACACAGTACTCCAGGTGAGGTCTGACCGGTAGATGACACAAGGTTTTCAGAGACTGCATAGGATTATCAATAACAGCAGCACCCAGGCACCTACATTACGCTGCTGAAATTAAGAAAGCTGGGAAGAGGGTAACTAGGAGTGGATTTTTGTGTTGTGGAAGGACTACTTCTAGTAAGGTAAAGGGACCCCTGGCCATTAGGTCCAGTCGTGACTGATTCTGGGGTTGCGGCGCTCATCTCGCTTTATTGGCCGAGGGAGCCGGCGTACAGCTTCCGGGTCATGTGGCCAGCATGACTAAGCTGCTTCTGGCGAACCAGAGCAGCGCATGGAAACGCTGTTTACCTTCCTGCCGGAGCGGTACCTATTTATCTACTAGCACTTTGTGCTTTAGAACTGCTAGGTTGGCAGGAGCAGGGACCGAGCAACGGGAGCTCACCCCGTCGCAGGGATTCAAACTGCCGACCTTCTGATCAGCAAGCCCTAGGCTCTGTGGTTTAACCCACAGCGTCTCCCGCAGTGCTAATTTCATGGCTCGTAATTCCTTGATTCAGGAAGCAGGTGTCTTTTGCTTGGCTCCTGTTGGTGAACTATGAGATTCTTGTAAAAAATATCTAGGTCTGAAGTCTGCCCAACCTTGCTTTATGGGGCTGCCCCCTTTCCAGGACACCTTGACTTTGTATGAAAGAACAAAGGTCTGCTGCAGTTCCCCAGAATGACATGCAACTTACCCAATGCCCTATAATGTCCCAAGGGCTAGAGAGAGGCAATGGACCAGGTGGCATGATAGTCAGTGCTGGCTGGGGGTGTGCACACCTTCCCCTCCACCCCAACCCCAGTTATCACATTGTTATAATAACCATGATAACGAAATGGACCCTCCATGTTCAGGATTAGCATATCTACTCCTCAACCAGGGAGGTTCGTTGCTTGTGTGCCATCATTGGGAATTTCCCGTAGTATCTTGTTGGTCCCTGCTGGAAATGGGGGGGGGCCAATGGGACTTTCCCCCTTCCAACCACATGCTGTTCTGGAGGTTCTTGTGACAGCCCCCCCCCCGCCAATTCCAGGGGACGCAGGGGTGCAAAGCCCCATTGCACAGGTGGAAATCCTTGCAGAGGGCTCCCATTTAATGTGACTCATTAGGCAAATTCCACTCAGGGTGCTGGCCTCAATGGACCTTGGGTTTTTTATGGTTTTGGGGGGGCAACAGAGGTTTAGCCAATTTGTACACTGCTTCAGAAATTTGCTTTGGCCAGATATACGTAGCAGGGCAAAAGTAACGAGCACAAACATGGCAATCTCGCATTTCCTCCTTTTTAGAAACTACCATCTGTCTCCCTCTTCACTTTGTTTTGAAATTTCCCCAACCTAGAGAAACAAAGTGAGCAGTGCTGATTGATTCAATCAATGTTATCCATCGCCTTCATTTCGCACACGAGGCATAGGGAAGTTTGCTGAGCTATCCTTATTGGTGATTTGTCTTAAAACAGATGTGCACATTCCTTTATCTTCTGCGGTTGCCGACCTGGTTCTGCAATCCTGGGGGCAGGGAGTGCTGTTTGAATGCCTCCACCATGCAGGTTGGCCTAAGTCAGTATGAGGTACCCACAACCGGACAGAGTGCCCCCAAGGGCTACGTGATGTTGGCATGTTATCAGCACACTTCATAGAATTGTAGAGGGACCCTGAGGATCATCTAGTCCAACCCTGTGCAACGAAGGAATTTGCAGCTGTCCCATACAGGGATCGAACCTGCAACCTTTGTGTTATCAGCGCCACGCTCTAACTAACTGAGCTATCCAGGCTGACTTGCTTAGACTGACACATGCAGCAGAGGAAAGACTTTTCCTAGTAAATCCCATCATGTGAAGCTGACTTTCCAAATGGTACTGCTGATACGGTATTTGAAGTGGCTCACATACCGTTATCTCAGTAATCTGTATAAACCACTTTCTAAGGGAGGTCTGGGCTATTATCCCAGAGGACTGAGAGAGGCAAAATCATTTGCTGCAGGTCACCTAATGCAGTGGTGGCTAACCTGTGGCTCTAGACTACAGCCCCATCATTTCTTACAACTGGCCATGCCAGCCGGGGTGACAGAAGTTGGGAGTCCAAGAACATTGAGATCGACAGCACAAATGACCAAGTAACTGCTGATATCTTGAGCTGTTGCAACAGACATTTCCTGGTGAAAGGAAATTGGCACTTATTCCAATTCCCATGTTTCAAACGCTGGAGGGCCACAGATTTCGCCATCCCAGACCTGAGGAGCATGAACCACGGATTTCTGCACCACCTTCTAAACTACACCAGCTCAGTTGGGTGCCTCGACAATGCCCCTCCAATTGTTATACGCTCAAAGCCACATATTGCTAACTTAACTCAAATGCAAACAGTCAACACAGATGGGAAGAGCTGCTCTACTTACATGAAATGCCTATGGCAAGCCAAAGCAAAGCACAAATCGGCCACAGGGTTGCCATGTAATCTTGTTCTCTTGGCTCGCTGCTGCCTTCTGAGTCCTTCCTTTGACTTGGTTTCTATGCCTTTGCGGACAACATTTCTCTTCGTTGCATTCACATTCCTCGTTTACAGCGCACCCTGGTGAAGATGCCTGAAGTTGCAGACACAAATACTCCACTGTCACCTATGATATAGGCACTGTCTCCACCAAGATTTTCTTATAAATAATATCATACCCTCCAACCTTTCTTCCAATGAAAATAGGGATGTCCTATTCCATCATAATAATAGTAATAATGTTATTATTTATACCCCACCCGTCTGGCTGGGTCACCCCAGACACTCTGGGCAGCTTCCAACATATATAAAAACATACTAAAACATTTAAAAACATCCCTATATAGGGCTGCCTTCAGTTGTCTTGTAAAGGCTGTATAGTTACGTACCTCCTTGGCTCGGTGGTCACATAACTTCATACCCTCCAACATTTCTCTGATGAAAATAGGGATGCCCTAAGGGAAAGCGGGACATTCCAGGATCCAATCAGAGAGCAGAATGGCTTCTGTAAATCCAGGACTGTCCCTGGAAAACAGGGACACTTGGAGGGTCTGTGAGGTCCGGAGGGTGGCAACACGAGAACAGGCCTTTTCTGTAATGGCTTCCCACCAATGGACACTTGAAAATTGCTGGGAAAATTGCTTGGCAGGGGGTTGGACTCGATGGCCCTTGTGGTCTCTTCCAACTCTATGATTCTATGATTCTATTCTATGACTTGGTGGAACACTCATTGGTTTCCCTGCAATTTCAACGTAGTGTGCTGGGTGCTGTACGATCATTGTGTTTTATTGCTTCTTAAAGACTGCATTCTGTAAGGGAGCCATTGTGGTGTAGTGGTTAAGAGCGGTAGACTTGTAAACTAGTGAACCAGGTTTGCGTCTCCGCTCCTCCACATGCAGCTGCTGGGTGACCTTGGGCTAGTCACATTTCTTTGAAGTCTCTCAGCCCCACTCACCTCACAGAGTGTTTGTTGTGGGGGAGGAAGGGAAAGGAGAATGTCAGCTGCTTTGAGACTCCTTCGGGTAGTAATAAAGCAGGATATCAAATCCAAACTCTTCTTCTTCTTCTGTTGTACAGTGGTGCCTCGCAAGACGAAATTAATTCGTTCTGCGAGTTTTTTCGTCTTGCGAATTTTTCGTCTTGCGAAGCACGGTTTCCCATAGGGTATTAACGGTTTTAAGAAAAAGGAAACAAACTTGCAAGACGTTTTCGTTTTTCGTCTTGCAAAGCAAGCCCATAGGGAAATTCGTCTTGCGAAGCAACTCAAAAAACAAAAAACTCTTTCGTCTTGCGCGTTTTTCATCTTGCGAGGCATTCGTCTTGCGAGGTACCACTGTATTACAATTGGCGCTCGCTGAATTCATATCGTAATACATTAAAAATGCAGTTACATAAGAAATAAAAGCAGCAATAGAAATGCAATTAAAAATACAATTTAATGCCGACATGACGTGGGCCACCCGAATGAAACATGCAGACCACTGGTGATCCACGGACCACAGTTTGGGATCCCCGCCTTGGAGCTACAACATCGTCAACAGTTGGCCCTCCAGCCCTCTGCCTGAAGATCTTTTGTGAGCAGGGCCCTCTGAACATTGAGGGGGACCAGCCCAGAGGGACACAGTGCCTTGGCCCTCAGGAGCCAGTGCCCTGGGTGCTGCACATGAAGGAGAAGACACACACTCAGACTGCAGAATAACAAAGAATACTTCATTTTTTGTACCTCTAGCCTTATGTAACTCTCTAGTGTTACCAGCGCCACCTAGTGATGTTGTAACTGTACTACCTTTGCAACTACAGTCATACCTTGGAAGTCGAACGGAATCTGTTCCGGAGGACTGTTCAACTTCCAAAACGTTCAGAAACCACAGTGCGGCTTCTGATTGCAATTGGAAGCCGCGGAAGCTCCATTGGATGATCGGCTTCCAAAAATAGTTCGCAAACTGGAACAGTCACTTCTGGGTTTGCGGCATTCAGAAGCCAAAACGTTCAAAAACTAAGCTGTTTGAAAATCAAGGTATGACTGTATCAGGTCCCATTTATTACACCTACCATCACCCCTCTAAGTACTGTATTTACTCGAATGTCATGCACAACTTTCTTAGCCAAATTTAGGGTGCGCATTAGTTTTCATTACAAGCTTGAAAAACACCGCTGACATAGCAAATACTTTTTTTGTTTCAAGGTTTTGAAATTTGAGGTGCACATTAGATTTGATGGAGCATTAGCTTCACATAAATACGATAACTGTTTCAATTGCCAGAACTGCTCCTATTATCAAAGAATTTCTCCTAATGTTCAGATGAAAACTCCTGTAATTTAAGCCTACACAACCCAGCTCTGCAGTGAATAAGATCTGCCCTGGTTTTTTTTTAACTATTTGTTGCTCCCGCCCCCCACAACTACCATTAATATTCCTAGGACTATTGCTACAGTATTACTAAACACGCACACAATTTCCCCCAATAACATGTCCAATTTAACCAGCTAGCAGAAAGTGGGGTTGAAATATAGTACAGTGGTACCTCAGATTTAGTACCTCTCTATAAGATGCACCAGACCACAAGACGCACCTAGTTTTTGGAGGAGGAAAACAAGAAAAAAAATATTCTGAATCTCAGAAGCCAGAACAGCAAGAGGGATCGCTGTGCAGTGAAAGCAGCAATCCCTCTTGCTGTTCTGGCTTCTGAGATAGCTGCACAGGCTGCATTCGCTCCATAAGACGCACACACATTTCCCCTTACTTTTTAGGAGGGAAAAAGTGAGTCTTATAGAGCAAAAAATACGGTACTTAATTTGTTCCGGAGGTCCGTTCTTAACCTGAAACTGTTCTTAACCTGAAGCACCATTTTAGCTAATGGGGCCTCCTGCTGCCGCTGTGCTGCCGGAGCACGATTTCTGTTCTCATCCTGAAGCAAAGTTCTTAACCTGAAGCACTATTTCTGGGTTAGTAGAGTCTGTAACCTGAAGCGTATGTAACCTGAGGTACCACTGTAATCTGCCACAATTCCCAGCAAGATATATTCATTTATTTCAGTTATGAGTCACTCTGTGTTCTGTAAATGACCAACAACAGGACAGCTTAACAAAATAATACAACACAATCAAATAAACACTTAAAATCAACAACTGAGGCATCACAATGCAACTCCCAAACATGCACAGAAGCACATCCACAGTTGCTTGAGCCTAAAACAACACATCCAAACGGCAAAAGGAGGCTGATATTCTTCTTTCAGCAATAAATACAGTAAAAAATCAGCATTTTGAAAGTCTGGGCCTTCATTTTCCTCCATGAGGCATGTGGTCTGGTGAATGGGGACTGCTCTGAGACAAGGAATCAAGCAAAGCCAGAGGATATACCCCACAGGTTGTTTTTCCACACTTGCCCACTTTCCTGGAATCGCTAACTTTTATTCACTTACTTTTTACAGATCATCCAGATGGTGCCGTTGTTATCTTACAGCATCCCAGTGTTTTCTGAGCCGTTCTCGTGTTTTTGAAGACCATAGAATCATAGAGTTGTAGAGCTGGTCATCCCAAAGGTCATTTAGTCCAACCCCCTGCAATGGAAGAACCACACCTCTCCTGCTCCCATTAAAATAGCTTAAGACCATTCTCGTTGGCACATAACAGGGCAAACGTGGCAATTTAAACAAATAATAATCCTATCTTGTGCAAAATCCTAGGCACACCTCAGAGGATGTTGAGAGAGAGAGAGAATGTGAATTCTATTCTCACAACAGCGATGCGAGACAGAAGTTCAAATAGGACACAGTTGACTACATTAGCTCTAAAAAACGCACACACAAAACACTGTTTTGGAGTTTAGATTAGGAAACCATGAAAGCAATCATTTCCAAATTCTTCAGGGCAAAGATCAACATTAATTAATGCACTTTTAAAAAAGAAAGAAAAAAGAATGTCAATCATAACTCATTCACTGAGCAATTACTCCCAACTTCTAGAGGACCTGGCAAGAAATGCTGCTGGCACATGTCATATGAGGTGATGTGAAACTGTTATTTACAGTATGATAAACACTGCCAAATGTGCGTAATAGTAGTGATGGAATTTGGTAAGTTTTTCCACAAAAGAAACAGATTTAAGATGCACAGTGCCATGTCTCAAGTTCTCCAGAGTATTTAAGCAAGCACAGAGATAAAATGCAAATAGGATTGCCAACTGCTCAGCTCACTGCAGCTGTCTTTTAACAGCAGCTTGATGTGTAGACATTAGCAGGTGGTGATGTTTATCTCCATGCTATGGAAAGCCTTAGCCAGATGATCTCTGCACATTAAAAATAAGCACAAGAGCAGGCCAGACACTTGTTTCTCTGGCCACTTGGCAATCTAATTTTCCCTATCTGCCCAGGACAACCCTGATTCTCTGGAGCTTGTTCCAAATAAAACATTGTCCCTATTATGCTTCTGTTTCAGCATTTTGCAGAGATTTGGGGGTGCTTAAAAGAAAGTTCTTTTTAAAAATATATATATACAAATGTACAACCGCTACATCCAATAGCTAAAAGAATCCTGGGAACTACAGTTTAGAGGTGCAGGTTAATTCTGTGTCCAGGGCAGCTGTCTACTAGCTCCATCTGGTATGCAGGCTGAGACCCTACCTGCCCGCAGACTGTCTCGCCAGAGTGGTGCATACTCTGGTTATCTTCCGCTTAGATTACTGCAATGCGCTTTACGTGGGGCTACCTTTGAGGGTGACCCGGAAACTGCAACTAATCCAGAACATGGCAGCTAGACTGGTGACTGGGAGTGGCTGCCGAGACCATATAACACCGGTCCTAAAAGACCTGCATTGGCTCCCAGTACGTTTCCGAGCACAATTCAAAGTGTTGGTGCTGACCTTGAAAGCCCTAAACAGCCTCGGCCCAGTATACCTGAAAGAGCGTCTCCACCCCCATTGCTCAGCCCAGACACTGAGATTCAGCTCTGAGGGTCTTCTGGCAGTTCCCTCACTGTGAGAAGTGACGCTACAGGGAACCAGGCAAAGGGCCTTCTCAGTAGTGGCACCCACCCTGTGGGATGCCTTCCCATCATATGTCAAGGAAATAAACAACTTTCTGACTTTTAGAAGACATATAAAAGCAGCCCTGTTCAGGGAAGTTTTTAATGTTTGATCTTTTATCATGTTTTTCGTATTCTGTTGGGAGCCGCCCAGAGTGGCTGGGGTATAAATAAATTGTTGTTGTTGTTGTTGTTGTTGTTAAGAGTGCTAAGAATTGTTAGGAGACCCCTATCTTCCTCGCAGAGCTACAAATCTCAGACAAATTCATTGTTAAAACTCTCTGAGAATTGTAGCTCTGTGAGGGAAATAGGGGGTCTTTTATCCAAGAACTCTCAGCACCCTTATCCATGTACCCTTCCCATAATTCTTTGAGGTAATGTAACCTGGGTGTTGTGACCTGGGACCCAGGAAGTATGTCAGAACCCATAGAACAGACCCCTCTGCTTTCACCCTCTGTCACAGAGCATGGTTCTGATACACAACTGACCTCAGCCTGCTAAGTGCCGAGTCTACAGAAACACGGTCTCACAATCACAATTGTCCAGTATAGAAGCAGGTACCTAGCAAAACCAGGGAACGCGGGTGGCGCTGTGGGTAAAACCTCAGCGCCTAGGACTTGCCGATCGTCAGGTGAGCAGTTCGAATACCCGCGGCAGGGTGCGCTCCTGTTGCTTGGTCCCAGCGCCTGCCAACCTAGCAGTTCGAAAGCACCCCCGGGTGCAAGTAGATAAATAGGGACTGCTCCAGCGGGAAGGTAAACGGCGTGTCCGTGTGCTGCGCTGGCTCGCCAGATGCAGCTTGTCACGCTGGCCACGTGACCCGGAAATGTCTTCGGACAGCGCTGGCGCGCAACCCTAGAGTCGGACATGACTGGCCCGTATGGGCAGGGGTACCTTTACCTTTACCTTTACCTAGCAAAACAGAGATTTTTTTAATGCAGTTGTTTTACACATATAATGTAATGTTCAATTAAACCCCAAAGCCAGAGCCAGAAATGTCAAGAACCAATCAGATCATCTCTGAACTGAGAGACCCCTTTGTGTGTTCTTACACTGTAGAGTTAGAATCATAGATCTGGAAGTTTAAACTTTTTTCCTCTTCTCCATGCACCCCCGCACACCTGTCAATAGAAGATGCATTTTTGTCTTTTTTTGCTAACAAGAGGGCCTCTCTTATCAGCTTCACGTAGCAGAAAGGCGAGGCGGCCTTGAAGAGACTAGAAGCTCTAAAGAGCAATAATTCAGACAGGCCGCTTCATAACAGACTGCCCCAAATGCAACATTTTGCAGGAGACCCATCTGGGGTGGCCTATAGCCTATTAAAATTACAATTTCCTTAAAATAGTATAAGACAATTACAAATGTGACCAGCTCAGCAGTTTAAAAAAAATAAAGGCATGGCCTAGGACATAAAGGTCTGCTCAAAATAAAAGGTGTTAATAAACTGGCAAAAAACAGTGAATGAGGGGACAAACCGCACATCATAAGGCAAAGGATTTCAAAACATGGGTGCCACCACTGAGAAGGCCCTCTCTCTTGTCATACTCAGCTAATCATAGACACACCCCCCCCCCCGATGTTTGGAAACAGGCAAGATGGCAGTTCCTAAGGTATTCTGGACCTAAGCAATCTAGGGTTTTAAAGCTAATAATCACCAACACTAAACTGTCTCCACCCCCATTGTTCAGGGCCTTCTCGGTAGTGGCACCCAGCCTGTGGAACGCCCTCCCATCAGAAATAAACAACTATCTGACTTTTAGAAGACATCTGAAGGCAGCCCCGTTTAAGGAAGTTTTTAATGTTTGATGTTTTATCGTGTTTTTAATAGTCTCTTGGGAGCTGCCGAAAGTGGCTAGGCCACGGGTGGGCAAACTAAGGCCCGGGGGCCGAATCTGGCCCAATCGCCTTCTAAATCCGGCCTGCGGACGGTCCGGGAATCAGCGTGTTTTTACATGAGTAAAATGTATGCTTTTATTTAAAATGCATCTCTGGGTTATTTGTGGGGCATAGAAATTCGTTCATTCCCCCCCCCCCAAAATACAGTCTGGCCCCCCACAAGGTCTGAGGGACAGTGGACCGGCCCCCTGCTGAAAAAGTTTGCTGACCCCTGGGCTAGGGAAACCCAGGCAGATGGGCGGGGTATAAATAATAAATTAATAATAATAATAATAATAATAATAATAATAATAATATTGATTGTGAGCATGCACATACATGCACTACTCTTCTTAAAATTGCTTTGCTCAATTCTTCTGGAGCTACCTCACACACTAAAATTGTAGATGTACTGAGATACTGAGATTATTTAAGAGTACAGTACTATGATTGGTTGCAGCTGCTAGTTGGGCGTCATGAATCATTCCACCTATGTATTATATTATTCTTTCCTTTGTGTTACATTATCTTTTTTTAAAATTATTACTTTAATTCCTCCCCCACATCTTATCTGTTGAATGGATCTCTGGGTTTATGCTGAGAACCATTTCTGCATCCCCCCCAGTCATTCTCTCATACTGTATAAGTATTTTATTAATCCCCTCCTCAGCCTGTTTTCTTTGCATTTTAAAGCTTTAAAAGCCCCATATAAGGGCAGACTTTAAAGAACTTATGTTTATTGGCCAAATGTACATTACTTTGCAATTACTAACTTTGATTTAATCACCAATTTTCTTGCTCAACCACTATAACAGGAGAAAGACTCTCTCTCCTTGCTTTTCATAATCTGGTTTGGCTTATACTATTCTGAATTAAGGATGCCAAGTAACCTGAAAAAATGATTTGGTTTACTCATGTGCTTTCTAACCTCCAGGTTCAGCTTTTTCACAGCTTGAAGATATTAAACAATCTGCTAATGCGAGTAGATCAGGCTACTGTTAAAGACACAGGAGCTGGGACCGGTAAGAAAAACATTAACAATGCTAACCTGAATATTTATATAATTGTACATATTTTGCCACTTCTATTGTGAATCCTAAAATCCAGGTCCTTTGTAAATAGACTGTTAGACAGACACTAGGTGTCCCCTTTTTTTAAAAAAGCTCAGAATCGGCCTTTATTCTGTATGATGACAGTATTTGATGGTGGAAATATACTACTTTTTAAGAGAGTAGAACATGGTATCCATCCCCTTTTTTATCACAGGTGGAAAAATAATTTGGGAATGGCAGGGTTTTTGGTTTTAGTGGCCTCTGGGGAAATAGTTAAACACCGTTTTCTACCCACTGCCCCTTCTCTGATCAATTTCACAGCCTCCTGCAGCTGCTTCTCATTAAGAGAAAGGGAGGAAAGCTGGAAAAGTGTTATATGAAGCTGCAGTGTAATCTAGTTTGGCCTAGAGAGTGTAAACAATATCTGAGTTTAGGGGCCTTGGTCAAAAGAGTTCAAGATCTGCTTGTAGTAAAGGGTGCACCCCCCCCCCAGCAGACCCTCCCGGTGTCCCTATTTTCCAGGGACAGTCCTGGATTTACAAAAGCCATCCTGGTTTCTGATTTGATCCTGGAATGTCCAGCTTTTCTTTAAGACGTCTATATTTTCATCGGAGAAATGTTGGAGGGTATGGAGTTATGTGACCTCCACTCCCCCCCAGCCTAGGAGGTGAGTAACCAGGGCCAGATTTAGGTTTGATGAGGCCCTAAGCTACTGAAAGTAATGGAGCCCATTATATGTCTAGCTGTCCTTTGTCAACAACAAATTGCCGCTGCTTTTTTGTGTTGAATATATGCTATATGGTCATTTATGGACCTCATAGGTATCTAAAGCCATTTGCACATAACTAAATATGTATTTTGTCAAAGTAGTTTTTGAACTGAAATACAGTTAAGAAGTATATTAACAGTGAAATACAATTATGAAGAAGTACATTAATAGTGAAATAATTATTAAGCTCTGACTTAAAATGATTTTTTATTCATAACAAACTTAATAATGCAAACACATTGGCATTTGGCAATAACGAAAGTTCCTTTACAAACAATTTACAAAGACTCATAATTTAGTCTGTAGAAACTTGCTATAACATGAAATAATAATTGCAGGTTTTAGTTTATTTGTTTTTTATCTTATATTTTGGAAATGTTCATCCAGTTTTTCCCCTTTAATTTTTTGGGGGCCTCCAAGAGATTGGAGCTCTGAGCTGTAGCTTGTTTAGCCTATATGTAAATACGGCACTAAGTAACTATGCAACCTTTAGAGACATCTGAATAGGGAAGTTTTTTTTAATGTTTCTGTATAGGGAAGTTTTTTTTAATGTTTCACGTTTCATTATGTTTTTATATATGATGGAAGCCATCCAGAGTGGCAACCCAGTCAAATTGAGGGGTATAAATAATACAATATTATTATTATTTATTGAATAGGCCATCCCTATTTTCATTGGAGAAATGCTGGAGGATATCCTCTGGCCATGCACTTGTGTCTTTAAAAGCAGCCAGTTACTGGGAAATTTCACAAATTAAGTTTTTTCACCACTTGGCCTGGAAATGGAATTAAAGCGAATTGGCTGTCCTGCTATGGTTTGCCAAACACCAGTTCTATGGGGATGGGTTTTAAAACTTGGGTGGGTGGGTGTTTTGTTTGGGAGGTGGGATTGCTTCAAATTGTTTTTAAATGCTGTATGTTACTTTGTATTTTGTATTTGCACTTATATTTGTTGGCTGGCATATTGTTTAGGGACTGTTTTAATAGTTTTTATTACGTCTGTTGTGCTTTTTATGTTGTGAACTGCCCCGAGGCCTACAAATATAGGGTGGTATACAAATTTAATGTAAAAAAAAAAAAGAAGTTTTCGAAGGAAAGCAGGAAAAACAAAAGTTGCCCGTTTTGCACGTGTCCTTTTAGCAGAGGTCTGAGGTGCAGAAAACAGGAGATGGAGTTATTTGTGGCAGGGAGCTCAACTTTATCACCTGCTAGGCTCGCTTTCAGATTTTGGCAGGCCTAGCTGTTTCACTCTTTATCTCTGGTCAAGCAGGTTTTGAAACAACTTAGGGGAGGAAAAAAAAATCTGCCAGCGATCAAAGGAGGATGATCAAACTGTAGAGTTTGCAAAAGGTGTTGATAACTGTTAAGAGACCTCTTTTCCCCTCACAGAGCTACAATTGTCAGAGTTCCCTGGGAAGAGGAGTTGGTTGTTTAAATCCCTTTTAGAAACTGTAGCTCTGTGAGGGGAATCGGGGTCTCCTAACAATTTTCATTACCTTGAACAAACTGCAGTTTCCCAAGATTATTTGAGGGAAGCATGGCTGGCCTGATGGAATGATGATGCTTTAAGATAATAAAATAATAATAATTATTTTTAGATTTCCTTCCATCCTTATATTCCCC